AGAAAGGAGAGACATTTCAAGATGTCTCAAGGCACAATGTTAAAATGGGCCTTTTGGGAAGTTTTGAATTCAGGGAGAAGTGATTTTGGAAGAGTTCCAGAAGATGGGTTTGTCGTCTGAAGGTTGGGCGTCTGCTGGTGGAGACATGACAGCATTTACAGGTTGATTAATGCTCCTCGTGGAGAAATGAAAGCAATTCTTAATGTTACTAGACATTGGAACTATTAGATTCACAGCTGAGAAGAGAGTGTAAAAGGGCTGAAGGATCAGTTCTAATTCACAGACCCATGGTACAGGTCTTCTGTAAATCCATCCCTAGAAAATCTGAAATAATCTACAAGTGGAGTAAAACATCAACTGAAACGGTGGGGGAGATGCTTTGGTACATAGTAACAACAGCAACAAAATTACATTTATAGAGCACCTTTCACGTCGGGAGGATGTCCCAAAGCGCTGGACGGGGGCAGGGGTCAGGACCCAAGCATGGGGGAGGGGTGGGGTAGAGGTGAGGGAAGGCAGAGAGGTGGAAGAAAACCAAAGGCACGATCGAAGAGAAGGGTCTTGATACAGGCCTTGAAGGAGGTAAGGGAGGAAGCGAGGCGAAGGGACTGTGGGATGGCGTTCCAGTGTGTGGGGGCAAAGAGGCTGAAAGCCCGGCCACCGATGGTAGGGCGGGTCGGGTGGGAGACATGGAGCAGACTGGAGCACGCTGAACGGAGGGAGCGGGCAGGTTGGTAGGGAGTCAACAAGTCAGAGAGGTAGGAGGGAGCAAGGCCATGGATGACCTTGAAAGTGAGGACGAGGATCTTGAATTCGATCCTCTGAGGGATGGAGACCCAGTGGAGTCGGACGAGGGTGGGAGTGATGGGGTCACAAAGCCTGGTGCGTGAGAGTACATGAGCTGCAGAGTTAGTGACAAACGTACACATCGCTTGACACCTTCAATATCTGTGGGTTTAGAACTGGGAGAGTTATTCCATCTTGCAGAATAGTAGGATCATAAGCCAGCTTGGAAAGTTATAAGGTTGTAATATAAGCAAGAAGGGTCAGGTGACAGGCCTGTATAGTTTACAAAGTCACCTGTCCCGATACCGTTTTTAGTTTCATTTCACACAACCTAAACCAGCTGATAAATGTAACTATTCTGATGAAACTTAAATTATTCTTACCTTACCGGACAGTCCTCTTTTTGAGAAGTGGTGCTAATTGACGATACACAGGCTCAGTTGCAGTCTCGGCTGCTCAGTCTCTAAACTGACATCTTGCAGTTTTTAAAGAGGTAGAATTCAGTCTGGTAAGAGAGAAAAAAAACATTTTCCTGTTCAGTGTTAAACAGACTCAGAGACTAAGAAGGGAAAATTAAAAATTAGCTTTCAGCCAGGGTGACAATGAGCTTTAAAGAGTCTTAACGTTGCTAGGTCTCCAAGGCAACAGGCGAATTTTGCAAGACAGGTGGGGGTTGGGCAGATGGGGAGGGGGGATGAGAAAGGAAGGGAAATAAAGAATTCCCATTTCTGAGCATATCTAGCAACCCAGACTGTAAAAGTGTTCGTTTAATGTCCTCCAGTCAAATACCCAGCCAAGGTTCAGGAGAGCATCCCAGTATAAGTAAATGCCTTCAGGAAAGGAGCAAAGAAAATTGGAAGGTGAATAAAGAAATAGTTATGTGGTAGTGCCACTACAGATACTATCAATTATAAATTTTGTTTTATATATTTCACTTGGCAACGATGGAATAGCCTGGCGTATAATGTACTTGTCTGCAGTAATTTACTGGCCACATTGGTGTGCACAACAAATACACAATATAAACAGAATTTGAGATTGGCTAGTTTGAAACTGGCTGATGAAACAGTGAGGATGAGGTGGTTTCATTGGATATCTTTTCTCACCACTGCAACAAGATTATTTCCACTCAGAAATTTTCCCTTAAAGGTTATTTTCAAAATTTAAAAATAACCACATACTAAATTAAAAAGCATTAACTGTGCATGTCAGGACCTTCTTCAGCTCCCAATTAGGAGTCCCTGCTCCCTGAGTAAATTGGGTGTTATAGTAGCATTGTATGTACAAGTAAAAGGCCTCAATACTAAAACATTACAATTCAGTGTAATAAATGGAGATCAATTGCATTAGTCTCAACTGCTTAACAGAAGGGAAAAATGGGAAAATGAATAATTAGCAAACCAAATGATTAGAGAAACAGGTAAAGTGTGAGACCCACAGTCAATGTAAACATAGCACAAGTCACCAACTACTAAAGCCAAAGGCTGGTCTGGTTTAGCATGAAGTATATAATCAATTGCATTCAGACATTTATCCAATGGATAATTTACTGCTCGTTACCAAATAACTAGTGCACGAGTATCTCAAAATACAGACACATCACTTTACATTATATCCTGTAAAGGACTTTGAGATGTCAGCGACACAAGGAACTATGCAAGGAGTACTTGTATCAAATGCAAGGAGTACTACTATATCCCAGGATAGTATTCTCTTGCAGAGAGTTCCTGCACCATCCAACCAGTGCTAAAGAGGCTCAAGATTATTGTGCAGATAGGACTGTGATTTGGGCTACAAAAAAAATATTCATACATGCTTATATTGATGGTTGCGTCAACACTAGCAAATTCCAAACCGGATCCAAAGCCAGCCAAACCTTTAGCCTTTCAGAATTAAGATTTGTGCTATATTCATGTTACTTGTGCAGCTAACCAAACTTGTTTTTTTTCCTAGTTTGTTAATGACAAACCGTTTATAAAGCTGAGCAGATTTACTTGCTGAGTGACAAAGTGAGAAATTACCACTGATACTCTGCGCTCCATATTACATCTTGAATACAATCTTAATATTTATGGTCTGTTCTTGCTTACCTGTACAGAGTGCCAAGATGCGAGCAGAGGATTTGAAGTGGCAGCTTTCCACTGGATTGGAAATGTAAAATAGCTCTGACAAGGAAGCAAGTATGCAGATCATGACAAATTACATTTTAGATTTTCAAAAAAAGCTTAACAATAGAGTAAGTTACACATAAGCTGAGCATTACCCATCCTGGAATGAAATGTTCAATCGGCAGCAGCAGCATATGCTGTGCAGTCTCCTTTGCTGCAGTTTCTCACAATGTTCTTGTAATTGGGGTAATCAGTATTAAGGTAGTGTTTATCAACTAGCCATGTCACATACATACCAATATCCCCTTCCCCGCAAATTTAACAAGGAATTGAAAAGATGTGTATTGGTGGAAGTCAAGCAGATCACTGTAGTTACCAATTTATACAATTTTGTGTTCATTTGAATAACTTTGTAATGTATTGCTATTCTATGCAATATTTAAGACAATTTTCAATTTAACTTTCAGTTCTACTCATCAACTTTTTAGACTCACTTCAATGTGCCTTGAACAAAGCATTGGCACCATTGCATGTTATTCGATACAGGTTCAAACTATTCATAAAATCTTGAAACATTTAATGTGCTTAAAAAATCCAATTTGTCTATATCCACAGTTTTCATTTGAAATGTTATACACGGTGCATTTATAACCTAATCCCAGGCAATGTTTCAGTTTCAATTAATTCACAGGTCCTAAAGTTCTTTTGGTCATCTTTTTAGTTGTAATTTTACAATGGTGTTGACGTTTCTAGTGTCAAGTTGCTGGAAGCCAGTCCAGTGCCGGGGAATACACTTCCACCATCAGCAGCAAACACTCAAACAAGCACGGGCTGGATGTCAAATAGAGCAATCTCTATTCAGTCCCAATAGTCTATTAACTACAGTTTCAGATGAGAATTTCTATTTTCTGCACCACCTACCCCTGTAACTGTAACAAGTGAGATTACAAAGTTACATCTGTACTGAATTACGAATTGCTTTTGCTTCAGGCCTGTGCACATTAAAGAGTTCGTAATGTCGAGAATCATTTTATTTGAAGACTTTCATCCCATTATCCATCTTTATGTTGGATTGAAACCCAGGTTTGTGTTAAAAAAACACAGCAAGCTAACCGACCAGCAATTTAGTTTATTGCCTTCATCATTTTAACTAAATTATTCAGACTGGAAATAAAATCATGCAGTAATTCCGTGGGTAATATAGCACCATTTGTTTTCTTTTAGTCTGCGCCTAATTACTTTCGAGCTTTACCAAGCTCTATGGGGTACAGTATTACTCGGCTGTAAAAAGTGCAATGCACCAATACAGATGATGAGGAAAAACAAATCTATAGCTGGATCCATACCAAGATGTGGAATTAGTAAAAGACAATTGTTTTTCATTTCCTCACCAAATAAAAACACCCATCTTTTACACCCAAAGACTAACTCAACCCAGCATTCAAATGCAGAAATCCTCCATGGGCAAGTCTCACAGGTTTTTATCCATATGAGGAGATAAAGCATTCGACTCAGGGAATGCCAAACCTTGCCAGATTCCATTGGCTGCGAGTCTCTCAATGGATCAATTTCATCTATCTACATCCTGGCACCTCCTCATCTCTCTGATCATCTCCTACCCTATTCCACTCGACCACTCTGCTCAGCTAACTCAGGCTTGCTGCACGTCTTCCATCCTCATTACAATCGGTGGTTGAGCCTTCAGTTTCTACGGCCTTAACTTCAGTAACTCTCTTCCTTCAAACTCCCACCCTCTCCTTCTGTCCCAGGTCTCTTTCCTTTTTCAAGTCTAGCTTCCAATCTTATTAAAGCACTTATGGTCACATTCCCCAACCCCCTCTTCCATCCAGCTTGTTAAGCACTCCAAGATGTTACCCTACGTGAAGAGTGCTCTATAAACGCAAGTTGTTGTTTTCCCATTTAAAGTACAACTTTGTCATAGCAGCTGAACAAAATATTTTGGAAGCAGAAATGTCAAACAAGGTGACCCAAAACAATTATAAACAAGCTAAACATGTTTCTTCTCAACAGTGAAAACAATTTGCTATCTAGCCTCTGTGCAGAAATGTGGTGCTTTAAATAATTTTTCTGTTCCAGTTCAACTTCTTAATCGTAAACCACAAAAAAATCTTTATTCCTGACCACTTTGTCAATGTCTACTCCTTGTATTCATGAATAAGACAATGGTGTGTTTTACATAAACGACCAACATCCTCAACAATTTTCGTGGAGGATCAAACTGTATATCCTTTGCAAGAACAGTAAAAGGGTCGTCATACAAAGGTGACAATGCAAAATAAGACAAAAAAAAGTAACTATAAAGTGTTAGATCTCAAAAAGTCTTCATTTGTTCCAAACTGGTCTCATTCAATAAGTTTTAATACTTTAACTCCAATGTCTTTTGCGCACATACAAATGGTTTCATCTTTTAAATTTATATTACTGGAAGCTTTGCAACAATATGGTCCACAATTTCTATCTCCACTCAATAAACCATAAATTGTTGCCCAGCATAATCAATACTTAAACAGAAGTATTACCATCCTTCAGATTATATTTGAATCCAATGTTAGAATCACATCAAATAATTTGCATTTTATATATCATTATCATATACATTCTACAAATTTTTGTTAACATTTCTTCAAGGAATTCGCTTATTTACATAATTGTTAACAAAAGTCACACTGTTTTATAGACCAGTGACTGTAGAGTTCAAGCTAAATGATTTAAATCAGTGACATTATAACACACAGGTCTTAGGCGAAAGCAAACTATATCATGTCTTGTGTTTTTTTTCAACCGGCGAGTTGTCTGAATCCCGCTCTTTTCTGAATCTCTTTGTTGATCCAGAAGGCTGGATGCTCTCAGTCGATGGCACAGTTCCTTGAGAACAGTCTAACAGGTTTTGTTTAGCCGTTATACCATTCTTCGTATGTTCTGAACGTTCATTTATCCCAGACTGGCAGCAATCTTCCTTGTGATGCAATGAGGCTATTTGTACATAGTTACCAGCTTCAGACTTGCAAGCTATTGCTGAAGCCCCCTGATCTCGGCCAGTCTGCTCACAGTTGCCTGCGAGTTGCTTATCAATAAATCCATTGTTGTGATTATTACACGACGCTCCAGAACACCTTTCCTCAACATCACAAGTCCTGGTTTTGAATTTATCAACACGGTTTCTGGAATAACCATCAGAATTACTGCTTGTTGCAATCATATCAGTTTGAGAAGGTGAGGATTTGTTAAATTCCTGATGAGATTCTTCTCTGACTGTCTGCTGTACATTTTTGGGGGCATTCACACATTCCAAGACCTCTGTGCAACTGCACAGTTCATGTGTCTGGCTGCCAAGTCCTTGACACTGGTCGATTAGGTTACTGTTGTTTCCTACACAGACAGATTTACCATTAACCTTTCTGGCCTCAAAACACTCAGCACCGATATTGGGTACATTTTGGACAGAGTGTTCCTGCTCTCCAGATGCCATTTCCCTCACAGGCAGTACAGTACTGTAGTCATGACTGTGCAAAACCGAATGCCTCTCCATTGCGTGTACCTGTTGACAGCCAACATTGCTTGAGCTTTCACTATTGAGTTCATCTGAATGCTTTTCCTCTGCAAGCTTAGTGAAAGTTGCAGCTGTACGTGTTCCTGTCGACTCACTTTCTTGGGAAGTACTTAAAGTGCCTTTATCGCTCGATTCTGGCATATCCTCGTGTGCCAAAACAGTTATGGAGCTTCCCTTTGTTTTCAACTGTGATTTAAAGGTGCTTTGGATCTTGCTATAGGCTTTATAAACCTTTCTGACTTCCGATTCACTGTCTGAGAGAGGAGACACTCTTCCTCTACCATTATCAATATCATTGCTACTTATTTCAGATGAAGTAGAAGCCGACGAAGAATGGTCACCACTCTTACGTTGAGCATAGTGACAGAAATCCTTACTTGTACACTCTTTTGCTGTTTTGAGAAACATTATATTCCTTTTTTCCCTACAAAACCTTTGCTTGGATCTGGAAGCATTCCTTTGGCGTGTGGATGCTCGTCGTCCTTCATTGCTAGAACTGCTTGAATCATTCTCCTCAGGGCTTGGAGAGCGAGGCCTCGTCACTGGATCTGGATCGGAATCTGTATTCAGTTGTTGATAGTTGTTTTCAGAGGAATCAGAGTCATTAGAAAGAGTCAGCAGTCGTTCATCTTGGTATCGTCTGAGAGCAGACAATCTCTGCTGACGAGAGCTCAAGTCCTCCCTAGTTACAACAGCGGCGGAGAGCTTCTGTCGATCCAGACTGTACGTTGCTTCATCCGAATCGTCAGCATGTTGGGGTGACTGTGGCAAGGAGGCAGAAGATTCAGAGTCACTGTATCCTGAACGTTCGCTGGCCCCTGCGTGCAGCTGAAGAATTGTGCTCTCACTCAAGTCACTGTCCGAGTCAGAACTCCAACCCTCAATCTCACGACGTACAAGAGAATCAAAAAAAGCCATCATTCTTGAGTCTTCTTGGACTGACTGGTTAGCATAATCATGAGACAGACCGCTCCCACTGTTTAAGACCAGGCTGATGTACTCTTCATGGGTATAAAGATTTCGGGTATCATCTTCCACCTCCCCTTCCAAGTCTCCTCCACAACCTGGTTGAAGATAGGGACTCCACACCTGTATTTAACAATATAAAACAGCTTTATCAGTTATTTCAAGTTTTGTTTTCCTGAAAGAGGATAAGGAACATTTTAAACAAGAGATAAATGTACAAGCAAAAGAGACTTATTTTAAGCCAAGATAGGGCACTGCTTAATAGCCCCACACTAAATGAAATTGGTTTTAACAGTTTAAAAATATGGTAAGTTATTTTAAAAAGAGATCCGAGATTATATTTTAACTGTTTTAAAACAATTTTAAACATGCCTTCACATTTATATAGTAATGTTCCAGGGTATTAAAGAGAGAAATGTATAGAAAGCAGCCTTGCGATTAAAACTAAATTATTGTTTTCATTTGTAACCATTTTATCTTGCCACAATCTTGCCAAAGCATTTCAATTATAGTATTATGTGAATGCACGTCAAGCTGTTTTGCTTCCCCGGAAGCAGGAATGAGATGATTAAGCAAAAAACACTACTAAAGAAAATAACCTCCCACCTTCACAACAGATGGTATATTATTTATAAAAATGAATATTGTACTACTGTCAATGTCACCAAGAGAGACCATTCATTTTCAAACTCCTGAAAATAGTTCTCATTATGGCAGAATTTCTTCTTTGAAAAGATTTATCAATACATTAATTTTTTTTTGCTTGTACACACAGCTAAGTATATCTTGAGTAACGTCATTATAAATTCTGCTGTACAGTGCATCTGTACAACACACTGCAGACCAAATATTTCTGAAACAATTTTTAGTTATTAGATAAGATATATATTATTGCCTTACAGGGCATTCATGCAACATACTGCTGTCCAGATTTTTACCCATGTTTTAATGGTTTGATAAGCGTATGCTGTGAAACAGAGAACAGGAATTTCACAGCTGACCAGGAATGCTGGCAGCAGTACTTTGGACAAGTAAGCAGAAAACTGGGCCTTGCTGGAAATTTACTTAGCCTTTAGTAAGCACATTTTCATCAGCATTTGGACAACTCTAGGGTGGCAGGGCAAATCCTGTCCTGCTCTAATCATCTGATGATGTTTGTTGCGCAGAAATAAGGATAGACAGCTACCCTTATGGACTATGAGTGAGAAAGCCAGATCGCAAATTTAATGCTGTTGGTCCACTCCCACTGGGAACTGGATTGTGACTGCAAAGTAATTTCATTTAGAAAGCTTTCAGATGGGAGAAAAACTTCCATTCCATCAATCTGAATGAATTCTATCCAGACACCAAAGGATATTGTGCTAAACAACTGCATCATTCATTCCCCCTATGAAATGTTACTTTTAAGTTAAATCTCTTACACGCTAAAGGCAGTAAATTCAGAAGTATACAAACTGTGTGATTAACCATCGCCATTTTCTCAGTAAACATGTAATCAATCTTTCACTACTGGAAGTGTCGCGTGGAAAGGTTTGTTTCTTTCTTTGGTTGGATTCAGCACAGAGGATGCATTACACAAATTATCGGAACTCACAAATAATTTGTAACAATGGCTCTTCTATTTTTGGTCACATTTACCAAGTCTGCTGCTTTTCCTGACTGGACATCTACTCTTTCCCTGTTTTCTGTATGAACTGGACATTTTCTGCATCTGATTTATTAAAAAATGCCTCAGTTCCTTTCACACTGCTTTTGTTTTTGTGTCAAAGACCTTCAGTGCTTGAAAAACTCTTGTTCAGGAATATGTAGCAGGTTCTTGAATGATGTATATGTGGGCTCACTTCAGAACTGGTAGGTAAATAGTGTTCCATTCTACTCTATATGCAAATTGTTCCAAGTAGTTAAAATCCAAGTGTCCAGAAAGCTGCTCCTGGCATGACATACCTTAATAATCTTTTCCACTCCCGAGGAACAGATCATATACGAATGAGGATTGAAGCGCACTTGATTTACAATGGACCGGTGACCCTTCAAAACCATGAATGCTCCATTCACAATTCTGGCCGGACCTCCTGAAAACAATTTAAAAAGAAAGTTTGAAAAAACACATTTTCTCCCGAAGACGACGCTACTTCCTAGCTTCATATTGAGGCTGTAACCACCTCACAAGCGTCATCACAGGTGAAACCCACAAGCAGACTTTCATTTTAGCAATTAAATCATTTTTTCCCCCATATTTAGCAGTTTCTCAAAATTGTTCTTCTGCTCTTCTTTCTCTGCCCCCACCACCAAGCTTCAATATAAAAACTTTCTTGTGCTTTGAAAAAGTTATTGGAACAACTTTCAGACAGCTGAATAAATACCACGTGCGGAACAGAACCATACTACACCACAGGATTTGCAGAGTCCCTTTATAGGACACTGGAGGTGCAGACTGGATAGGAACTGAAGTCACCCCAAACTGATTTAGCTTAAATGTAAATTTTTTTTAAAGCAAATTCATTCCCAGATTTGAACTAACTTGGATAAAGCTGGTGCACATTTTCCAGACCACCAAAATAAACCTCTCTATTGATTCTTTTGCCTGTTTAAAAATTAAATTAGCTCCATCCTGTTTTGTTGTGTGCTTGAAATAAAAGTAGGCAAAACAGATTACCATAAAAGGGGAAAAAATGGAGTGAGGGAATATCACTGTATAATCAGTCAAGGTATGTGATAACTCACCAGTTTCTAAATCAGAAGGAATGCGCCACATGTACAGGTTAAAGTCATCTGAGCCAGACAGGACGAACTGGAACCAAAGAGAACCAACATTCATTATGTATCATATCAGGCTACCGTTTGCTCATTTTATAAAGATGTTAAATTAAAAACATTTTTTTAAAAAAAAGCTTTTTCTCTTCCTTCAGTTACATTCTGCACATTTCTTTCAGCAGTTATCTGGTAGTAATTGTGGTGGTTTCAGAGAAACATTTAGGAGAGCATATGAGGGCTTAAGTTTTTTTCCCAAAACCTCTACTACCAACACCAGAACAAAGAGAAGTTGGATTTTTCACAGTTGCTAATCAAAATTAGCAGTTATATATTTGCTCTGTTCTGTAACCTATGGATTTCCAAGTTAGTAAAAGTGTGATAAATTATTCTCTAACTTGCTGTATGTAGCTCAATGCGCTGAAATTTTTAAAATTATTTTTCAGAACTGAGCTGTCAAACAATGCAGTGATACAATTTTGTTTTTCACAGAATTCTCAATATTTCTCAAGTAATATGGAAATAGAGCCAAAATACCACAAATGGATAATCCTTGCATTCGCAGAAAAGATACCTCATATGAGAATGTAAAAGAGCCTGGAAACAAGTGAATGATGCTGTATGATTTAAGTGCTGGCGATTCTCTGATGCTAAGTGGAGTTTGTAACTCTGATCTTTAATCCTTATCAATTCCTTAAAATATAGAATGATGCAGCCTTTGAGACAGAGAACGATGATCCTTAAATCAGAATATGTAAAACTAGTATCTAATTGTTAAAATAATCTAACTAGTATACCCGAAAAGCATTAGCCTTAAAGTGTTTACTTTTCCTAAATGAAGCTGCAATTATGATTGGAGAAAAATGCATAAAGCAGGTTTGATCTTTGATAGCTTCAGATTTTTTTTGCAAAATAGACAAGCAGAGAATACCTCTCCTTAGATACAGTAGTAGATTCCTCAAGCCTGGACTTAAAAGATATGAATGAATCCTGAAAACTGGCAAAAATTGAACCTATACACCAATTATAAAGATGGATGTATTTAAACTTGGCTAGTTACCTCAGCACATCTGCTCCACCATTTAGCAGCTGACACTAAGGATATACAGTAATCCACCATGAAATTTAATGCAGAGGGAAAGAGAAAGAGGTGAAAACGAAGACTATGCACTTAACTAGCCTCCCTGCAAGTCAGGAAAAAAGGAAAAAATAGATCCGACCGAGAAGCCAACCACAGAAGAAATAGTAAATCCAGTTCACTTATTAAAAAATAAACTGTTTTGTAATTTTGTAGCTAGTGGAAATTCCAGGATATAATAATAATAATCCTTGCAATTGACATAGCTCCTTATCAGGTCTTTGAGACGCCGCAAAGTGCTTCACAGAATATACTTTAAAGTGAATGGACTGGATATTTTGTAGGCAGAACACAGCAGTCAATTGCACACAGCAGTTTCCCACAAACAGTCGTGGATTGAAGTGACCAATTTATTATAATTTTTTTAAGGAATTATTACCCCCAGAAAAGCGATCCGCCAACCGATTAACAACCAAGTTCCAATACGCCTATTCTGAGTCTTAATCAATGCAGTACCAGTTTAATGGAAATGTTGCATTCGCTTAAAATGGGGAACATACAACAATGGTTCAGTTAGCTACTAAAGTTTTAAAATCACACGTCGCGACTCATCTATGATATAAAACATTTGGGTAAGCCAAGGTTTACGGGCCAGAACATCATAAGAGTTTGCAAAAGCTGGCTATGTTAGAAAGAAGTTAAAAACATACTCATTACATTATCCATTAATTCATTAACAGAGGCAGCTGGCATTTCAGCAACATTGTGGAACATATTTCATTCAAATGGTCTTTTGAATGACATATTTATTTTGTTTTCACTATTCTGTGGCATTAAAGAGTGCCAGAAATGGAGAGCCTGCGATGATTTCCCTGCCAAAGCAACAACTAATTGTGAGATTACCGATGAATTTCTAATGCCAAGATTCACATAAACGCCTAAATATGCAACTTGGTATTTTTTTCAAATATATGTGGTCATAGAAATAATTAGAAATGAACAACGTAGCTAAGACATTTGATACGTTTTCCTTTGGGGCTGCCAAATGTTCTTTGTTATTGTTGCATAATTCAAATGATGTTTTTGCCCACAAAATACACAGTCAATTCACAATATAGTATATTCTGTGAAGCGCTTGGAGACTTCTCAACGGTGTGATAGGATGATATATTAAATGCAAGAATTATTATATGAATGCCTTCCAAGTATCAAGAGATGGGATATCTAAATTGATTGCTTAACTTCAGAAAGTAGCAATATGCATCTTAAACACAATTTTATTGAAACACGATTGCTTTTTTTTGCCCCTAAATTTAAGAGAAATGCTGCCCTGATTTCAAGATCTCAGTGGTTAAATTTACTCAGCAGAACAGCTAACCATGTGAACTAAACTCTGGCATTTAATGATTTAAAAATTTGTGATCTCAATCAGTGCCTTTATTTAAAAAGGCAATACAAATGATTTCAAAGTTGAAATGTTATATGCATCAATGAGGCCTCTGTGTAAGAAATCAATAAATGAATGAATACACAAAGAAATGGTCTTGGAGCATTAAACTGAGAAATTGCCTCGATAATTGTTTTTTTTAAAAACATTGATTACTTTCATTGACAAGTTCTTTAAAAAATTGCTACCAGTGATTAAAATGTGTGAGGATTTTTGTGTAGCCAATCACAAGTTATAGGAGGAATTCAATATAGGCTTAAATTTCACTATGAAGTTCCATCACATCACAAAGACACAGACAAGTTATTAAAACAAAGACAAAAATGCTTTGAAAAAGTGCAGGGAATCAAATCGGCATCCAAAGGAAAAGGTGTTTTTGGTAGGTCTGTTCATCTGAACTCGTGTTGATGAGTTCTCTGGCATTTGTGCTTTATCTCAAATAATTTGAGACAAATATTGACTTTAAATTAGACATCCCTGTCATGCTCAGTGCAATTCAGGGATGCTATTTGTTTTCCAATGAAGAGTTTTTATTGCTGTCATGTGACATTGTTAACTGTAAATGAGGCTTGGATCGCATGAGATTTCAGACTTTATACAGTAATGCTCCAATGAAAGACAGTGTTGCAGAATTAATATCACAGTATCAACAAAATCGTTTTGTGATCTTTTCCAGGTTGGGTTGAAAGAATCAGTGCTGCATTTGATATGGTTGCTGTAAAGGCTTCACTCAGTTCAGCCCACAACTCCTCCATAGATCAGTGTGTAAATCTGCTCTACAAACCCACTTATCCTGCAGGCTTGTGAAATATGCATGCAACCTTACTCAACAGCTTATTTTTCAGCAAACCAATGGCTTTACTTATTAGAAAAACCTATAGAACTTGGTGTTCAGCCAACAATTGACAACTGTTCTCTCCTTCCATGACTCTTTGAAGAAAGGCAGAGTTTCTGTACTTTTTTCCATTAAATTGTGTTGAATGCAATTTTTAAATAATCAGATGATTAATTAACAATAACAGAGCAAGACATTACAAAATAAACAGATTTTTCTTCAGGGCTAACTGGAGCGAAAAATGCAACGCTTAATGCATTCAATGTGATTTATGGCCATGGAATGTAACATGTCTACCCGCTTTTGAGGTAGGTCAGTTTCCTAATTTTATTCCAATGTTGATCTGTGATTGGGAGCAGCAATCGAACATGTATTTCTTCAGGCCCAATTATTGTGCCAAGCCTGAGATGGGGGTAGTGCGGGGGAGGGGGGGGGAAACATAGAGGAGAAGGAATCATTCCTTTAACAGAGTTCACTTCTTCAAGAAAAAAAAGTCGCAAGGAAGAAATGAAAATACAATGTACAACCTCAGAGACACTGCATTAGTAATTTATGACAAAGCAGCACTGCAACACCCTCTGGTGGCAAACTACATCAATTGACTCAATTCCAAAACAGTTTTAACTTTTATCTGGTTTTCCTTTCCCCTTTAGAATTTACATTTAACTTCATTTCGATTATTTTTCAGCAGATCCAGCAGAATTGTAGGTAACACATTGATACTCCTGAAAAACGTTTTCCTTGCAGCTCACAAATTGGCTGTGGCATTTGCCCATAGACACACAGTGACTACACTTCACAATAAAATCTTGCCAAACACTTTTGAGAATTCGACAACATGATAAGAAGCCATAATCAAATGCAAGCATTGTTATAATTAACTCAAGATATTGCAACAAAGAGAGACTAAACACATGGAGGTAAGCGTCTATAGAACTGATGGAAGGATCCTATTCAAAATATTCTTCTCTTTCAAAGACTGCCTGCTCTGCTGCGGATGTTTTTTTTTAGCATTTCTGGTGTTATTTTGAAAAAAATCCTAACCTACTGATTGTCGAATTGCCACTCTCTGGAGTACTGCAGCGCGACTCCCTATGATGTAAATGATGTACAACAATGGAACCTAAGTCTACACATCCGATTCACCATACAATCAATTGGATTTCAATCGCAACAATTTGTGAATTTCATGAATTGAATCTCGCAAGAGGAAGGGAAAACTAAATGATAATATTTACTTTGATATTCAAAATATTTACCGCTCAACCCCATATCTTTGCAAACATAATATCTTCATGCTAACAATACAGGTAAATACCTTTTGTCAATCAGTCCTCATTTGCTTATTAAGCAGAAAGCAACAGTACATTATACCAACTGCAAGCAGAACCCACCAAAGGTGACTTGCCAAATTATCATTAAATATTAAAATATAGTTGTTATTCAAAATAAATGCCACCAACTCATATTTCCACATTGACAAAAAANGCTTTAAAATAGCCCCAAATAATCTTCATGAAAATTAGAAGGTAATCGGTCAAGTGCTCAGTTTCTATGACAAAATACACTTACCAATATTAAGATTCAACATTTAAAGGACAAGGTGTGTAAAAGAATTCAGGATCCTTATTTAAAAATGGGAATTATACACATCATAACTATGTTGCAATTCTACCTCCTTGTACATAAAGCGGTTACAAAATGGCAATTTCAAAAAGTATATTGATCCAGATCATGATCAGCATCATTAAGTTACCCCTAATGTGATTAACAGCAATTACCTGCGAAGCACTTGAGATGCTTTGACATTACAGGCGCTATACTACTGTGCGCAAATGGGCCTCCGTATTTGCCTACAGAATACACGGTCAGTACAATTCACAGTAAAACCCTATGAAGTGCTTTGAGAGCTTCTCCAGATTTGAAAGGCAGGCACTATACCAAATGCAAGGCTTTTTTAAAAAAAACGATCAATTACAAGGATAATTAAAAGGGAGTGAAAATCCTATTCAGCGACTCCAGACCACATCTTCCATTGCAATGTTGCAATAACAATATGTTATCTTCATCCGTTTTTTTTAAAAACAGAATAAGCATTAACTGTCGCAGGTCACTGGTCAGGTTATCTGCTGAATAAACTGTTCATTGTTTGCATCTGAAATATTTCCACCTTTCGATTAGCAAGACATGCAGACTGCTACACCACTTCCAGTCCACATAATTTACTATCAGTAACTATTTAAACAGATGCTCCCATTGCTGCAACAGCTACAATAGCTCAAACAATTGTGCAGACGGAACACAGCTCTGCAAAAGCCAAGACGGTCAATATCATCTGACGCTCCACACAGGGACTTGCTTTGCAACAGCGCTTCCTGAACTGAAATTTCTGTTCTTTGGATTTTGTGTTACTATTGCAATTGTTCCAGAGAGAATTGTGGGGGGGAAGGGGGGAAATGAGATATTGTACTCCATAGTTTATTAGAACAAGCATAGCTCAATCTGAAGTCTGTGAGTTCACTGATGATCCATCCAAGTCTCTTGCTATATAGGGAGATAAAAATCCATTCTGCATTCCAAACATACTGCATACTGCAGCACTGGATTATGTCAATGGAATGGTTTGCAGTTGCATCGTGCAGATGAAAAATGTAACAAGTACAAAATTAGGAAAATTATTTGAATCCTTATGTATTAACGGTTTCATGGATTTTTCACATTTGTAATTTTTTTTACTTTACAAAATCAATTCATTTTGTAGTTTGGAAAATGTTTTTCAACTTCTCCCAGCAATGTTGTGTTTCTTAACAACAGTAACAGCGATGCAAATAGCGATAAATGAAAATCACCAGTTTTATTTTCACAATAAGAATGGTGAGGCTACCACCATCGATTCAATACCACTGTCCATCCAAGATTCTCTCAGTGTCCTGTCAAGCAGTCCAGGGAAATGCTGTCTTGTTCTGTTTCATATCCCTTGTGTTCCACTCTGTACGAGTGATTATAATGATTGCTCCAAACGTGACGAGCACTTAAATTGACTTGCCTCTGCCTATTCCATTGCGCGGGAAGTATTAACTTAACCCATCACTTTGCATGAGGAGCAAATGCATCAAGTTCCTACTACCTGCATAAAAGACCCAATGGATCTCTACAAAATACATTTTGTGCAAAAGTACTACCACCCATGGGTGCACAAATTATTTTCCTGCAAGATTTTATTATCCCTCATTAAATATATTAAGCTGATGCCTATGCAATAGAAGGTGAGCAATCCACGGTTTTAGTCTGCTCAGTCCTGCAACTGATAAAAAAAAAGAGGCCCAAGCAGCAAAGCGAGAATGACTACTAACAGCATTGCAGTGACTCTTGCAGATTACAGTGTACGTAAATAAATTAGATATCTAATCCCGTTTTATTTTGATTAGTTGCACACATACTTGATCACTGTCTCCTGCAAAACAGCAGCTCTTCATAGTGCAGGAATTGAAATAGCCTTGGTTATCGAACTCAAACACAGATTGCGGTGAGTGAATGTCATATAATACTGGAGGCAGACGACGTCTCAGTGCCAATAGCTGGGTTCCACTGCTGTTGAAGCGGACACTCATGGCACTCTGCATGGGAAGCTTTCCTCCGTAACGTAGAAGTGAACTAAAAGCAGAACACAAGAGGTAAGAAAACTCCCATCAAGTACCTGTAGAAATGGAGTGAGTCACACTGTAGATCATAATACTTGCATTTAGTATTTGCACCTTATCACACCTGATCGCACTTCACAGAATCCATTGCAAAGTGCTGTGACTGTGAACTTTGTAGGCAATGTATCTAAACCTATCCAATCTGGTCAGGAGAACTAAGTCCCTTAGTAAAAATAATAGCAATTGCATAAAGAAACATTAACATGAACCAGCATAAAATGCCAATTAACTCACGTTCGGGGTTTTCGAATGTCCCAGAGTCCCACTCCCTCTTTGGAATTCGCGGTGGCTAGTAGTCTGGGTTCCACAGGATTAAACATTACACTGTGAAACGCCGAGGGGTAATTTGCCAAACAAAAAGGCTCTGAAACAAGAGATACATTCAAAGTTAAGAATTAAGATGGAGCTTGGGCATGGGGGGGTGGGGAAGAGAGAGGATTTAGCAATTTGCATTTAATTCAGGACTTTTTTCTGAAGTCAAGACTTGGCATAGAATTTTAATTCATTCACTGTTACACTATGAGAGCATAAAGAACATGAGAATAAAAGTAACAAACCTCAAGCAAAACAAGATTAGAAGCAATTCTTCCCAGAAATTAGCAAGTGAAACGATGAAAGTGATAAAAACCACAATAATAGGATATATAATTAAACACTCTGGGATGCTATTCAGAGTGAGGGTGCTATATAAATGCAGATTGTTGTTGTAATTGATAACAAATCAGAAAAAGAATCTCTGACATCTTAATGGGCTGAATTAGAATAGTGCAATGGCACATAAATGTTAGCTGTCTTCTACAGAATAATTGTTTACTAAAATTACAACTCTTAGGATTAAATGATGAACCACTGACAACACAAAGAAAATTACTAAACAGCACTAAAGGGGAAGAAACAGCCTTAAGATTTTTTTCAATCACATATACAAGCAATCTAGTTCAGTTCAGATAAAACTAATTATAGCCATTTTAGTTGTACTCAACTATTCCTTATAAAATGATGCTGGAGTCACTTCTTAATACCCACCTCCATGGGAATCCCTTATGTCCCAAATGAGAACCTTGCCATCATCTGAGGAGCTGGCAAACACGTTGTCATTTACAGGACTCACTGATAGGCCATAGACGGCATCATCATGTGGGAAAACATTCAATATTTCAGTGCTGGGAAAAAAAAGCAACATGGAAGTGCACTTACAACTGCAGTCAGTCTGGAAACAGATATTAAAATAGAAGGAAGTAAACTGCTCAACTTCTCACACCATACCCTTTCAGGCTCTGTTATTGACAAGGGAGATGAAAAGATTTTCCCTACTTACAGGAGATCAGTTTCTCTGCCACAACTACTCCCATAATGGCAATGTTGTGCAAAAAATATTAATCCAGGATAGGATCAAGAATAAGAGCTGGATCCCACCTTTGAAGTCCAAGATGTCACACCCAATTCTTGCAAGCATCCGTTCCAATGTAAACAAACACAACTTCAAATAACTGGAACCATCATGTGGCCACTTTTTGTGTGAGCCCAGATGATGAGTTTTTGAAAGCCATTCATCGGTTTACAACTAAACCACTACTTCACCCAAGGCCCAATTTTCTCTCCTCTCCAATAAGCAGCTACCCATGCTGGGTTACAATTCCAGTTATGCAAATTTCCAGCACTCACTATTAGTACTTAGCTGAGAAGGAAAAATGTTGCGAAACCACACGACTATGGAAAAATGGCCCCCTTTTAATAAAATGGAGCACTTTGATGAAGGGCCTATCGTGCAGTGCACCATCAAGCATGAATACAGTATCGACAAAAACAAGCAGCGATTAAGTGACACTAAGCTTGTATGAAGAAGGAAAGACTGAGGGTGAAAAAGAATCTTCAAGTTCAGGGAAATGATAAGCTAGAGCAGGAGATAGTGAAATTAGTTTACAAACAGTGTGGAGGAAGAACACAGAAGATGATGTATTTCAAATATTGAGCAATAACACGTTAAGGCATTTCTGATGGAACTGCATTAGATTGCAGCTTCTTTTACTTACGTTTCAACATCATGCACAATGACTTGTTCGTCATTTCCTGCAAGATAAAAGTTTATTTTTAGCAACAATTTCTCTCTCTCTCTCTCACACACACACACTATTAAAAGTGTTGCAGGTACTGCGGACACTGGATGGCATTTTTATAGAAACTAGTGAATGCCAACATTTATTTATGTTGTGGCAATTTCCTATCTGTATTGTAAAACGCCAACTAGAATAGAATCATCTGGGATATTTTAAGTTACCTTCTGGATGTTCAACTCAATCTGACCATATTTAGTGGACTGTAGTTACTTTATGCTTAATGAACAATGCTCAACATCTGGTATTAATACTGAAATTCACTTTAGCTTTCAAACAAGCAGTTGGAAAAGAAACAGGAATTTACTTTTGTTGCAGTATTTGGCAACTCTAGCAAATTGTAAAAAAATATTGATTTAGAAAATTAAGCATTGGGAAAAAAAGTTATATAATTTAGAACATCTCCCTAGAAACTAATGAATGATACTTAACAAAAACCCTCAGATGAGCAAACTGCATGAGTTGCATAGAAACATTGGAATGTACTGGACTGGAAAAAGACCACAACCATCCATCTGGCCAGGCCAAAATCAGCTAGAGTGTAAAAATTATGGTAGAACAACTCTTAAATCTTAATTAAAGCTCTGTACCCAATTTGCCAAAAAAATTAATCAACTCATTAATCCATAATGCAGACATTAAAAACACTTTGTGGAATTAGTTTAATGTATTGCTTCAAATTAAAATTTTCTAGAATTGTTTTGGTTTCAAAATACAATATAAACACAATTTTCCTTTGCTGCGTTTTGTGAGGTTAACATTTCCCTAATTTTTTTAATAAATTAGAAGTAATAACTTTTAAAAATCACAAATAAAACTGTTGAATATTATACTGAGGAAAGCCACAAATCTTACCATTGAGATCTGAGACTAAGTTTTAAGATATTCAGTTTTTGTTTTGTACATTATGCATTCTCACCTCCAGAGTAGAGACGGGTATTTGTACTGTCAAAAGCCAGACAGAAGATGTTGGATTGGTGCTCCCCCTTCAGTTGGGTGGGTTTAGCTTTCACCTGAATGGATTTTTCAACATGCCACAACAAGACACGCCGGTCATCCCCACCTGCCATGAAAACAAAATCAAATACTCAAGTTAGTTTCTACTGAGACTAAACAACAATTTTACATTAAACATAAAATACCAAAGGCTTTCATTACATCCCACTGGAAAAAACATTTACCAAATTGATTTATACTAAGATGACTGGGATAACCATTTTATTCAGTTACTCCTTAGGGATTTTATTTATTAAGTTTCCATCCCAGCAGTGTTCTTTGTAACTTGTCTAAATGCATTATACTGTACAAAATATTTAACTAACACAATCACAATGGAATTTTTTCATTTATATTTAAACAAGAATGCGAATACGATTGTATCACAATAAGAATTTTTATTCACACTCCCATGTCATGTCATGTCCAACAAAGTGGCAAAATGCAGACTCACAGCAGTTCCTCTCCACAAGTTACTGATCTCAGGCGAGTTAACCTAGCACGAAGAAATCAAATTGACAGTGTATCTTGGGGGTGGTGCGGGGGTGGGGGGCAGGGAGAAGATAAGTGCTGAGAGACACATTAGTTGATTATTACAGTTAAGACGTTTCAAATGACAACAGCGATATTTTATATATGCTCACTTATCTCCATCACTCAGTCTTAAAGGAAAACATTAATCAGGGAGACAGGGAAACAAAAGCTGCAAAATACATAACTGGTGGTAGACTAAATGGGTGAAGTATTCCCGCACACCTCCACACAGCCAGCAAAATGCATACCCTTCTAACAGAGTTAACAGAGAAAATCTTGGCACAAAGAAAAGTTGCAGAGTGATTTTATAGCTCTGCATGCACAGATGTTTAAAAAATCTCTCTCGTTTTTATAGAATCCACCTTGCAATATAAATGAGGCAATTTCTACACCGGAGAAACAGGGAGCCAACATGAGAGATTTGGTTCAGGAAGTGGCTCTCCAATAATAAATGGGCCACTAGAGACATGTGGTCATTGAGATTGTGTTCTATTAAAGGCTGCTAACATCATTAAAAGAAAAAACACTTCATTCATTACTCTTACCGAAACAGATGCAATAAATAATGAACAGTTCTTTTGTTTGCCATGTGTATCAACAGAGCTAAACCAAAAAGAGCAATGTATCACTGGAATATCCTACACAAATGTCTCTGTATCAACAACCCTTCCTATCATGCAATGCGGCATAAATGACCCTTTGTTACAGTATTACTGCATTTTCCTCCACTTGACATAAACATTAACAGCAAGACTTGGCGGTCGATTCGCTGTCATCGTCTGGGAGCAGCATTTGAATTATCTGCCTGCTGCTTTTATGGAACCTCTCAATTTATATTTGGGAGGTTAAGGAATTTACAACGACTCCCACTCAATTGTTTTATAATTGAGCAATGCACACAGAAACAAATCTCTTGTGTGCTGGAGTAGATTTTTTACCACCAACTTGATCTGGGGAGCTAACAGAGTAGGCAGATACAGGAACAAAAACACCTTGTAGGAGAGTGGGAGCAGTTGGAAGATTTGGCAGCCTGTTCAATAAGTCTTGAAGATACGGTGTTGTTTCATGGGGAAAACAGCTATATTCATAACTTATCTAAACAATGGAAAGGTTTCTTTTTATATTTAAAGTTATATTAGTATGACAAATCAAGTTGGCACCTCAAGCCTGGATGAACAAAGGGGAAACATGTTTATTTAGCAAATAACTTTGAATGGCAGCAATGGGTGAAGTGCTAAGTTGTCAGGACAATAGATCAAGTGAAACAGCACCTGTCACGTGGCAGCCAATCCAGCAGCCCCAGCTGAGAACTAACAAAATTAGTGAATTGAACTAAGCGATTCAAAAGCGATACTCAAGGTGAATCCGCAACTAAAATGTCAACTCAGCTGCGAGATTCCAAACTATGAAATTTACCATGTATTTGAATTTAGAGTTTCTACAAACATGTTCAGTTTGTTCCAGATCCCATTAGCATATCTCAGAACCTCACTACTGTTGTCTCAGTATCCACTGAAGAGATCTCAACAGAATAGGAATTTGTTTTCTTCACTTTGTAAAACAATACTCGCAAGATCTAATGCCCTAACCAGCAAGTATTGCTTTCAGCAAATGCCAAAATTGAAGCTACAAAGAAAACATCTTCAAAGACACACAATATCATTTTCTATAATAAAAACATTCAGGTTTCCACTGTCCCCATTCATACTATTGCATAAAGGAGCTGCTATCATGCAACCTTTAAACCAACTGTTCAAATCCATACATCTCACCATATAACCCACAAAACTATAAAAACAACAATAATTCGCATTTATATACCGCCCTTCACGTGGGGTTCCCGAGCGCTTGACAGTGGAGGAGTCTGATCCTGAATCGGGGAGAGGGAGGGTGACCATAAGCACAATCAAAAAGGAAGGTCTTTAGGCGGGATGTGAAAGTGGAGAGTGAGGGGGCAAGGCGGAGAGACTGAGGGAGTGAGTTCCAAAGTTTCGGGGCGTAGTGGCTGAAGGCATGGCCACCGACAGTGAAGCGGAGGGGATAAGGAAAAAACATAAGTAATGAGAGCTTGGGCTGCTTTGGTTGTGAGGTATGGACGGAAGTAGGCAATGTGACTGAGGTGGAAAAAAGCGGTCCTGGTCAGGGAACGGATGTGGGGTAGAAAGGAAAGCGGGGGATCGAACCTGACGTCTAAGGTGTGCACGGATTCGATGAGTCTGAGGGAGAGCCCGGGGATGTTGAGGAGTTCAGATCCACAGGAAAGGAGACGTTGACGGGAGCCAAAGTGTATGGCTTCTGTCTTCTGACATTCAGTTACAGGAAATTTGCGCTCATCCTACAAAACTACAAAAACACCTTGTAGGAGAATGGAAGCAATTGAAAATTGGATGGCCTCTTCTATAAGTCGAGTGGATATAGTGTTATTCACAGGGAGAACAGCTTATATTCATATCTTATACAAACAACGGAAAGTTTTAATTAATGTTATATTCGTAAGACAAATCAAGTTGGCACCTCATGCCTTGATGAATCAAGGGGGAAAATGTTTGTTTAGTAATTACTTCCAAAGAAGCATTATTTCGACTACTTCTAAAGTAAGGATACTTGTGTCATCTCTGATTTACCTTTACATCACTCAGAGGGATGAACCAATTCAGTTCATCTTTTTGAAACATGCATGTGGATGTGGACAGTTGACAATTGCAAACGCTGTACAGAAGATTTTAGTTTCTTGTCAAATTTGTCATGGCATACAACATAAACTTAAAAGATGGGCCATGACCTGTGTGGAAATAACGAGGTAAAAGGTAAAATGTAATGTGAGCAAAACTGAAGATTAGAACTTTCTAAACTATTTATTGGACCTATCAGATGACAGTGTGATTAATCTGTAAACTGAATCCTTTTAACACTAAAATTTACCCATTAATTTGCAAACCAAATCCTTTTAATGCGTAGACTCCTCCCCCTTCCAATTTTATACAACTTACGCTTATTTACCATTGGTTATGCAAACCAGTATGTGAAGCCAGGAAACTGCCTCCAAGTTTTTTTTGACAAAGATGGGCTAAGCAGTCAACTACTTTTACAGGCCAAAAATGTATTCCTTCCCTCAAACCACAAGTTTACCACAGATCTGAAGGATCCACCACCGAAAAAGTTTTGACTGAGAAAGAAATTCAAAAACTCACTATAGAAGCACTAACCAGTTATTTTTATATCGCTATTAGTGCTTTGGATTTCAATCTCAAAATAAATGGGCCAGGACCATAATACTACCAAAACAAGATTACTTTGGAACCCAATAATAAATAGGTTCTCATTCTAAAAAGGCATTCAGTGAGAAAGTTATTGCAGGTGGTCGAAATTTGAGAATAACTTTCCTTTCCTTATTTCCTGGCCTATGAGAAAGTACACTGGTTTGAGGTCAACCCTCCACAAACGGACTGAATTACATGGAACTGTATAGCACTGAAATTGGTCATTTGATCAGTTCCAATGTTTACACTTCACGTGAGCCTTTCCGTCCATCTGAACCCACCGTTCTCCGCTACTTCTCAATTGCCTTCTCCCTCACGGATGCAAAAATACAGTAAAAGTTCAGCGTCGTGCAAGAGCTACCGCGCCGTTTTATTTGGGCTGTGGAGAATAAGAGCAAACAAAACGAGAGAATTGGCCACCGAAGGGAGAGCAAACGACGATGGGGACGGGGAATGGGAAACGGCCAGGCGGCACCACAGTTGTTGCGTGGTTTCGGTGGACACGGCCATTGAAAATGGGACATCCAATCCCAATGAAGGTGCCAGAGCCCCAAATAATGAACCCCATTTTCGTTCAGGTGCTGACTGAGTGAGTGAGTGAGTGAGTGAGTGACTGACACTGAGTGAGTGTGGTTTTCGGGCATTTTCTGACTTCCTATCACAAACCCTATTCAGTCGTGAGATGATCATTGTTCCATCACTGATTACAAAGTGCTGGGATTATAATCTCCCCTCACCCCCCCCTCCCCCTCCACTCTCCCCCTCCCCTCTCCCCCAGCACAACCCCCCCTCCCCCCAAGATTACACACACACACACACACAGGGGAAGAGGTGTTAACGCTAAAAGGCCAAACTCTCATTAATAATAATAATAATAATAATAATATCATTACGTGAGAAAGGGATAAATAACGCGGACAAATGACAAGACCCGACACGGTTACCCTCCTCCTCCTCCTCCTCCGGAGGCTTTTAATTTGAACGCAATGTTTTCGCCCCAAAAAACCTCCTGTGGTACGAGTCAGCCCCACTCGAGCGTTTTTTTTTAAAAAAACAAGAGAGAGAGAGAGAGAGAGACGTCTCGACGACGCGCTGTATCCGATGCAAAGACCACGATGATGATTTACCATTATTATTATTATTATTATTATTTTTTGACCGACCGACCGACTCACTGAAACTGACCGACTGAGACGCCGCGGGCAGTGAAGTTATCTGAAGGGGGCCTACAGGTCTGGCTCAGACCTCGGCCTCGATTTATGTCGGTGCGGAGGCAGCGGGAGGGAGAGTGGGCGAAACCGAGCCCGGGGTCAGCCACCTCTGGCTGAAAAGACTCGACACCGGCGCCGCCACATGCGGAGGCCTGACCACCCCCCCCCCCGTCCCCAACCACCCGCCGCCCACCCCGAGGCCCCGACACCGGGAACCCGGCCCCGGGCCCCTCACTCCCTCCCTCCCTCACTCACCGGACACCAGCCACTCTCCGCCATTGTTGGAGAACTCGATGGCGTTGACGCAGCCGAAGTGGCCGAGCAGGTCCTTCTTGAACAGGTTCTTGCAGCCGAACAGCCGCTTCCGCTGGAACCGCTCCTTCAGAAAGCGGTCGCCGCTCACCGCCCGCCGCCCGAGGAACTCCATCAGCGACCGGTCGCCGCCGCCGCCGCGTTCCCTCATCCTCACCTTCCGCCGCCTTCACACACTCCTCATCCCCCGGGTGGCGGGGAGGGTGGGGGTGGGTGGGCTCGGCCTCGGGGTGTGAGTGAACACGGCGCTGAGTAACAACGAGAGCCGAGCCGAGCTACTCCTCCTCCCCCCTCCCTCCCTCTCTCCCTGAACTGGAAGCAAAAAAAAACAGCAGCCGCTTAAACGACACTTTGCATTCAAATATTTCAAGGCGTCTATTTTTCTGTTTCTTTCCCTCTCTCAGTGACTTGTCGGCAGATTCATTGCGACGTCTTCGGAATACTCAGCTGCAATGTTTCGTTCCTTCTTTTCACTCTCTCACACATTCCCCCTCTCTCTCTCTCTCTCTCACACACTCCCTCCCTCTTTGCTAGTGAACGCCCACCAAATGTCACTCACTGGTTTGGGTGGTGGTGGTGAGTGGGGGAGTGAGGGAGTGGGGGAGGGAGTGAGTGAGCGTCACTCAATTTGGGGTTCAAAAATACGTGACCTATTGTGATGGGTCACTCTTTTTTTTTAACTTAACTTATAGGTATATATAGATATATATGTGTCGATAACGAAAACAAAGACCGCTGCCCCGGGGTTTAAGAGTGTTTTTGCGACCTGCCGCGCTCTTGCTGCTGAATAGCGTCGCCGCTAACATTTCTTCTCCCCTGTTCTCGATCCCAACGTGGGAATGTACAAGACCCGGAAAGTCCACTGAAGCCCACCTGGTGGGACCTAAGTAGAAACAAAGATAGACCGTTCGATCTCTCCTCACCCCACTCAACCCGCTTCCTCCTCCACACCGACTAAAGGCTTAATTTTAATTTTCTCTCCGTCTTGGAGAGGCGATGATGACTCAAATGGGACCTTACAAAGGTTTATGACATTTTAGATGACATGGAAAAAAGTGGACCCAGGACAACATTTTCTGGTGCAACAGGACAGACGGAGGACATAGGTTTTTAGAGCTGGAAAGGGCAATTTTAGGGCAGTCGCCAGGAAGTATTTTTTTCACTTTTTAACAGCTGGAATAATTTACGCCTTAACGTAACCTATCTTAACGGAAAATTAACAACTAGAATCACGTCTTCAAGACATCTCAAAGCGCCTCACAGAAAATACCGTAAAGTGAATTGACTATATATTTTGTGGGTGAAGCGCAGGAGCCAATTGCGCACAGCAGTGTCCCACAAACAGTAGTGGATTGAGTGACCATTTTTTTAAAGTAATTATTACCCCCGGAAAAGCCCCAAATCTGCCAATCGACTAACAACCAGGTTCCTACTTACTGCTAAATAAACAGGTCTGTGGAGTAAGGAAACTTGCCTAACATTTTGCCCTGCCCAGGAATCAAACCCAGGTCTCTCGCCTGCGAGGTGAGTGCTCTAACCACTGAGCTACAAATGGCCTGTTTCTATGGCAGGATTTTCAGCATTGGAAATTATATAAATTAAGGAGTAATTACACAACAGATTATTATTCTTCTAACATTCTTGACAACTGTTGAAATCCACTTTAACCAGGATTGGTTGTAGATATATCAAAGCATCGCTGAGATAAGTGTATTGCACTACCTCTGATTCCCATCATAAAGTGTGTGAAAAGGGTTAGAAACTCTGGGCTCTCGTCCAAGTTGGTAGTAGTCTGAATCCCATGAGATAAGAAAAATGAACACTACCTCTTTCCACCCTACATAGCCACCTTGCCCCACAAACATTTTTTTCTCCTGAGTTGCTACTGCATGGAAACTGTCTTAAGGAACATGAAGAAAAATCCTGTCGTTAACATGTCCGAGTGCATGTATTTTCATAATGGTAGTTGAGTCAAAATATAAGCACTGGATAATTTTTAATTCATAAATTCATATATTCAATAAAAAATATGTTAATTCTCCCTAAACAAATCTCCGAGTCATCCTAAATTAAAAACTCAAATGATAGAAATACTCAAGAGTTATTGAAAGTGAAGTAAATATTTACTGCTGAATATGGGAAGTTTATTCTTAGTCCAATTTGCTGACATCAAGAAATGTGATAACTTTTAAGTATTAAGCAAAGCTATTTTATTGCATTACAGATACAAAATATTACAGGAGTCAGATATCCTATGAACAAAACCAGAAAACACAACTTTCATAAAATGATACAGTGGTAGTTGTAATTAACATAAAATAATCCTTGCCACATGAAAATAACTTGGCAGAATCTCAATTATTTAATCATAAGAAAGGTTTGAATGAAGAATTACGACCTCATCCATACAGAATACTAATCCTTCTGACTTCCCTTTATGTCAAACTAATGTTTAGATGAATTCATTATCCTGGCCTCCATACAGTACAGAACAAAGCAAAAACATATGAGTACAGTATCAGTATTAAAAGTTACATGCCATTACAATGAAATCTATGATATATTTTAACTGATGATAGAATAAATGATGTGTAGAAAGAAGATATTGTTCTTGCCATTCTTCTAACAAGTGAGTACTTCTAGCTTGATGTCTTTTTTGGCCTTCATAAGGATATTCAACCTACCTACATGATACAGCGTAAGCCTTTTTGCTTGCCTTAATCTTCTTCAATGTGAAAAACAGATGTCAGGTGAAAGAAAGTACATGCCAAATTCTGTCTCCAAAAGACTGAGCATAATTCTATTGGAGGAGGGGCTAGAGAGGAGAACACATTTTACCATTTCATCACAATACATTATTAAATGCAGAATGAAGTACAAATGTGGAATGAATTTGGTTCTATTTTAAAAGAATACTTGTAGTCAAGAAAGTGTCATACAAATATTTTATTTACAATAAAATCCATATCCATTGTTCTTACAGTGAAAGAAAGAAACTGCCTGTTTTACAGTGATTGTTTAACTCAAGTCAGTTGCTCTGATTTGATATTGAGCTCCAGAAATAGTTTGCATTTTTACACCCCAAAGAAGCTTCACCCCAAAAAAGTTCCAGTTCAAATAACAAATATGATTTGAATTGTGCATGTGGTTTAACAAACGATCACAAGGTATATCAAGCACAAATGACTTGCACAAAAAAGCTTTTCAAATGTTTTTCAAATAATAAACCGAACCTCCTCAATCTGTCAGTACTCCACACATGTATTGCAGTTTCACGTTATTCTTTGAATTGCTGTTTGTTTAGCATTTTATGCAGAAATGCCTGAACTTTTGTCCAGAGGTCTTCTTGAGCAAATGAGTGTGCTTTGGTATTCCCTCCCCACAAGACAGCACTGTCAACCACAGCATGATAAGAGGCATAGCAAAATGGGAAAAATGGAGGATCCAGAAAATGCCCAGCTCCTGGGTAACTGATAAGCTCATAGTTGTCCTTGCCATGTTCTCTCAGTCGTTTAATGGCTTCCTCCATATACAACTTGCTTTTCCAGTTCCTATCATCTTCCCCCACAACAAATAAGAAGTGTCCCTCAGCTTTTTCTATTGGAATTATACTGCTATGGTTAGCTTTGTCCATAGGATTATTCATTACCTCATATATATCTGCAATTCCTGAATCTATGATCTGTAATTTCCTGGCATTAATACCCATACCAGTGAGCACCAGTTTATTTTTGTAGCACATTCCAAACAAAGCACTTGCATTGCATCCATTGATATTAATCACTGCTGCAACATGTGGCAAAAAGGTGGCTATCGACATAACCAAATCACCACCTTTCGATGTTCCTATTGCTCCAATTCCAGGACCTTTAACCTGGAAAATATTTGCAAAACATAAAATCATAGCAACAAACATACTGAATACTGAGGACTATAAGGCATGACTTAGCAACAGTAACAAACAATCAATTAAGTCTGTATAATACATAGGAACATAGGAATTAGGAGCAGGAGTAGGCTATTTGGCCCCTCAAGCCTGCCCCGCCATTCAATAAGATCATGGCTGATCTTCTAACCTAAATCCATCTGCCCACCTTATCCCCATATCCTTTAATCCCTCTATCCTTTAGAAACCTATCAATCAAAGTCTTGAATATGTTCAAGGACTGAGCATCTCCAGCCTTCTGAGTGAAGAAGTGTTTCCTCAACTCTGTCCCTTAATCTTAAGACTGTGACCCCTAGTTCTAGGTTCTCCTACCAGGGGAAATAGTCTCGCACTCTACTCTATCAAGCCTGTAGCCTAGTGGTTAGAGCACTCGCTTTGCAAGTGAGAGACCCGAGTTCAATTCCAGGCAGGGCGAAACCTTGGGCAAGTTTCCTTACTCCACACGCCTAATAATAATCCCTCCAAAACCAAAAACAATAATTAAATTGGTCATTTTCAATCTACGACTGTTTGTGGGACATTGCTGTGCGCAATTGGCTGCCGCGTTCGCCCACAAATCAGAGCTCACTCTCCCACTTAGCTTAGTATCATCCGTGAATTTAGATATTTTAAGTTCTATGTCCTCGTCTAGATCATTGATATAGATTGTAAATAGTTGAGGCCCAAGCACTGATCCTTGTGGCACTCCACTAGTCACATCTTGCCAATCTGAGAAGGACCCCTTTATCCCTACTCTCTGTTTTCTTCCCATTAGCGACTCTTCAATCCATGCTAATATATTGCCTTTAATTCAGTGGGCCCTAATCTTATGTAGCAGCCTTTTATGTGGCACCTTGTTGAATGGCTTCTGAAAATCTAAACATACTAGATCTAGGTTCCTCCCTATCTAACCTGCTAGTTACATCCTCAAAAAATTCTAAAAGATTTGTTAAGCATGACTTCCCTTTTGCAAAGCCATGTTGACTCTGCCTAATCATGTTATGGTCCTCTAAGTACCCCACTCTGACGACCCTAATTAAGGATGCTAGAATTTTCCCTACCACCAATGTCAGACTGACTAGTCTATAGTTCCCCAACTTCTCTCCTCTACCCTTCTTAAATAGTGGTCTTATGTTTGCGATCTTCAATCATTGGGAACCATTCCAGAATCCAGAGAACTTTGGAAGATCAAAAACAAGGCATCCACCATCTCAGCCACCAGCTTTTTTAAAACCCTAGGATGCAGGCCATCAGGTCTAGTGGATTTGTCATTTTTCAATCCCAACAGTTTTCCTAGTACTAATTCTTTAATGATGTTAATTTCCCTAAATTGCTCACTAACATGAGCTTCTTGGTGCCCCTCTATTTTTGGTAAGTTTTCCATGTCTTCTAACGTGAAGACAGAAGCAAAGTATTTGTTTAATGATTCTGCCATATCTTTATCCTCCGTTATAATTCCTCCTGTTTCTGCCTGTAATGGACCCACATTCACTTTTGTTAGTTTCTTCCTCTTAATGTATTTGTAAAAACTCTTGCAGTTTGTCTTTATGTTCCTAGCTAGTTTGCCCTCATAATCCATTTTCTCCCTCCTAATCAGTTTCTTAGTCTTTCTTTGTTGGTCTCTGAAGCCCTCCAAATCCTCGGGTTTACTGCTCTTTTTGGCAGTATTATAGGTCTCTTCTTTTAATCTAATATTTTCCCTCACTGCTCTAGTTAACCATGGTTGAACCACTTTTCCCGTGGTATTTTTAATCCTCAAGTAAATATGTGATCACTATGCATTATGTACTATATCTTTAAAGGTTTGTCATTGCTGGTCAACTGTCATATCCTTTAATCTAATTCCCCAGTCTGAATCTAGGATTTTTAACTGAATCCTCTCTCATACCTGCAAAGTTGGCTCTATTTAAATTTAAGACCTTTGCTTTGGACTTAACTACATCACTCTCTAACTTAATGCTAAATTCCATCATGTTATGGTCACTCTGCCCTAGAGGAGCCTTAACTCCCAGATTGCTGATTAGCCCTATTTCATTACATAAAACAAGATCCAGGACCATTCCCTGGTTGGTTCCTCAGCATACTGATCTAGAAAACTATCTCTAATGCATTCTATAAACTCCTCCTCTAACTTACTTTTGCCAATTTACTTTTCCCAATCGATACAAAGATTAAAATCACCCACTATTAGTGTATTTCCTTTGCTACATGCTTCTCTAATTTCCTGATTAATACTCTGCGCAATACTGTGACTGCTGTTTGGGGGTCTATAAACTACTGCCACTAGTGTTTTCTGCCCCTTGCTATTTCGTAATTCCACCCATACTGACTCTACATCCTGATTTTCTGATTTAAAATCCTTCCTCTCTACTGTTTTTATCCCATCCTTTATTAGCAGGGCTATCCCCCACCTTGTTTTCCACATTGCCTATCTTTCCTATATGCCGATTACCCCGGAATATTTAGCTCCCACCCTTGATCCCCCTGTAACCATGTCTCAGTAATGGCTACTAGATCATACCCGTTTGTTTCTATTTGTGACATTAATTAATCTATCTTATTACAAATGCTTTGTCCATTCAGATTCAGTGCCTTTAATTTTGACTTTTTGCTATTTCCCCTACTCGCTAATGCCCTATTTTCTTTTCTGAACTTCTTGTCCTTTCTTGACACACTCTCTTTATCTCCCTCGCTAATCTGCTCTACCACCTTCATCGTTTTTAGTTTTGCTGGTTTACTTCTAACTGTCGTTGTAACCTTGCCTCTCCACCCCCCTTAGTAGTTTAAATCTCCTACCTCACTATTTATTTGTTTTGCCAGGATATTGGTCCCAGCCTGGTTTAGGTGGAGCACATCTCTATGGAATAGCTCCCTTTTCCCCCAATACTGGTGCCAGTTGCCCATAAAATGAAACCCCTGCCCTCCGCATCACTCTTTCAGCCACGCATTTAATTCTTTAATTTGTTTGTGCCTGTACCAATTTGCACATGGGTCAGGCAGTAATTCCGTTATTATTACTTTGGAAGTTCTACTTTTTAATTTCATTCGCGATTTTTTGAACTCATTTCTCAAGTCGTCCCTACTAGTCCTACCTACATCGTTGGTACCTATGTGGATTACTACAATTGGATCCTCCCCCTCCTGCTTCAAATTCTTCTCCAGCCCTGAAGAGACATCCTCCAACCTAGCCCAGTGAAGGCAACTGAGCCTTCATGTCTCCTGGATGCGGCAGCAGAGAAGTGTGTCTGTCGTCCTGACTGTCTCGTCCCCACTTACAAATAAATTCCGTCTATCTCTCCTCACTTAGGTGGCCTCCTATGTAGAGGTGTTGGAGTCAGTTTGCCCATCCTCCTCACAGGCTTCCCTGTCCACACAATTTGCAAGTATCTTGTATCTGTTGGACAAGGTTAAAGCCTGGGGTTTCTCCGCCACTCTCTATGTGGTCCCCTTACCTGCTTGACTGTCAGTCACCGTCCTGTCCCTAATTAGAAACATAATTCATACGTTCCCTGAGCCTCAGGGGAGTGACTGGCTCCAGGACAAAACAATCCAGGAAGCTCTCATCTTCCCTAATACTGCGCGATGTCCGCACCTCAGATTCCAGCTCAGGTGCTCTGAGCTGGAGCTTCCTCAGTTGCAGTCACTTGTTGCAGATGAAGTCGCCTGGGCTCAGGTTGCCCTCTTATCAACTCCCACATACCTCAGTCTTTGCACATTCTCATGCCATTCTCTCCTCTCTTTCTCACTGTATTTTAGGGATTTTTTTTAAAAAATGTCTTTAAAAAATTTTCTTTAAAAGTTTTTTTTTAATTTTTTTAAAGTTTTTGTTAGTTTTTCATTAGTGTTTTCATTAGTGTTTGTGCCCCTGCTCTGACCCGGCTCCGCCCTCCGCTCAGCGACTGCTTACCATGCATAATCTTAAATTAGACAAGTTATGCAACAGCAATAACCTACTCCCCCTCTACAGTGCAGTACATATCTTAAGTCAATGTTGGCGAAAGATGCCTTTTCCCCCTATCTCTGTCTTTGCCACCCCATTCTTCATTTGATACTTCTTAATTTACTGACATTGCTAAAGTACTTTGCCCCTCATAAGCCCCCTTGCTGAAAATGAAACAAACTCTGCCCTTGCATTCAGTGATGCAATCTGTTCACTTATAATGTGGAGTACCAATAGATCAGCTATTGTTCAGAGATTTTCTTTTCTTACTGTTTACTAAATATTTGAAGCAATATCCATTGTTTTTGTCAGATCAATCCCTCACATAGCCTGTAATTCAATATATATATGATGAAAGCATGATAATACCTTTTCAAATGGTATGACATTCCAAAATTCATATTCATGGAAATAAACACTTGTGAAAACAGCAAAACAATTGCCAAGCCATTTGTGATAGAGCATTGTTACACTTTAATGCATGATTTTACCTTAATGTAAAGTCTACCCAAGTAGAGGAATGTGTTTGCTTGTTGGTACTCACTTTTGGATGCTGTCTTAAAAAGGTTACAGCTTCTTTAAAGTATTCCAAGTACAGGTTTGTCACAACTTTCGGGTGGTCATCATGACCAAAGTAGGCTAAAGCCAATGTAGTAAATCCACGGTTTGCCAAGAGACAGGCTCTCTGTTCAGATAGGCTACTTTGCAATGCATAGATATCAATTACCCCGGGAAAAGGACCATTTCCTGTCAAATTCAAACAAGTTAGTTATATTTATTCTATTGTCAAAACATTTCATACATAGTTCCCAATTTCAGGGATTAAGAACAGTTTAAAGCAATCCAGGAACATTGATTATGTTATAAAGCTGGATGAAAAGTTCCCATGTGGATTTTCTACAGTTTTTTTTATTCTCTCCTGAACTTGACAAACCAATATAAATACTTACTCTCCCACACTCACCCCAACTAAAATAGACTTTCTGTATGAATCTGAGTTTGTCGGGTTAAACAACAGTATTGTACCAGCGTATTTTAAGCAGAAACTACATGAATTCATGAGTCATATGTGTAGAAGGGAGATGCTATGGGCACAGAGGTATCAGAAGGTATAAAACTTGCTTTAGATTTAGATAAAGAGGTTTCCACTGTTATATAGAAACCAGGCTTAGCAACAGCATTACAATAATATTTTTATGTTGTTTTGCTCAAGGGGAGTTATCTTTTATGGAACAGAGTATCACATTGCAGGTAATATTACATTTGGCATCTGGCCAAATGGTTTAGGAACTAACAAACTTGTGGATACCCTTATCTTAACTCCAAATCTATCCACTTTTGGTGGAGCAATATAAACTGCAAATTCAAATCATGACAGTATGAAAATTTGTCTTGTGCTTCAAGCGATCATTCACACAAGTACTTACTGAAACTCAAAAACAGAAGAAGAAATGGACGAAGCCACCCATAGACAGACAAGAACAATGTCAAAAGATTCTTGGTAGATGTTGCAAAATAAGCAACATTTTGTCAACCTGGTATTTCTGTTTTTAATTCTTAATATTTTGCTGCCTACATTTCCTTCTCACAGTGCACAAAACTCTCTGACAGGTTATGTAAACCACAGGTGGCAGAGAGGCTCTCAGGATATCTAAAGGACATCTCTGACTCAAATTTTAAGGTATATAAGGCACATATGCATCCTCTGACATTCTTTTAGATCTTTTTATTGACATAAGAATATAATTTCCGAAAACAAATGAAATCGCAACAATTCAGGTTATTTATCCAAATATGCTTCAAGGGGCTTGTTCTCCAAATTCTGAACCTTTTTTCTGTGGGGGGGAATTATTTGAATATCCATTTATTAGGAAAGATGTGGAAGTGTCCGTTAACATATACATTAGAATTCATTAGAATACAGGATAGGATATACAGCACAGAAACAGGCCGTTCGGCCCAATTGGTCTATGCCGGAGTTTATGCTCCACATGAGCCTCCTCCTGCCCTTTGTTAACTAAGTCTTCAAGCATAATCTTCTATTTCTTTCTCCCTCATGTACCTATCTTGCTTCCCCTTAAATACATCTATGCTATTTGTCTCAACAACTCCTTGTAGTAGCATGTTCCACATTCCCACTACTTTCTGTGTGAAGGCATTTCTTCTAACTTCGCTATTTGATCTATTTGTGACTATTTTATATTGATGGCCCCTGGTTTTAGTCTCCCCCACAAGTGGAAACATCTTCCCTATGTCTAACCTATCAAAACCTTTCATAATTTTAAAGACCTCTAACAGGTCACCCCTTACCCTCCTCGTTCAAGAGAAAAGAGTTCAAGAATGTTCAGCCTTTCCTGATAGGTATAACCCCTCAAGGTTCGATAGAAGTTCACCATAATTTCCCTGCTTTTCATTTCTATCCCTCTTGAAATGAACCCCAATGCCTGGATTGCTTGTTTTATGGCCTTATTAACCTGCGTTGCTATTTTTAGTGATCCCTTTGCTCCTCAACCCCATTTAGGTTTTTATTTTCCAGGATGTATGTGACTTCCTTATTCCTTCTACCAAAATGTACCACCTCACACTTTTCTACATTGAAATGCATTTGCCATTTAATGCCCATTCAGCAAGTTTATTAATGTCTTGCTGTAATTTGTTGTAGTCCTCCTCTGTATTAACTACTCCCCCTAATTTGTGACATTCGCAAATTTTGAAATTTTACTGCTGATTCCCGAATCCAAATCATTAATGTATATTGTGAACAACAGTGGTCCCAATACCGATCCCAATATTGCTCACCCCCTGCCAGTCTGAGTAACTACCCTTTACCCCTACTCTCTGTTTTCTGCATTATAGCCAACTTGCTATCCATTCTGCTATTTTCCCCCTGACTCCAAATGCTCTAACCTTATTCATTAATCTATTATATGGTACCTTATTGAACACCTTTTGGAAATCTAAATATATTACATCTACCGCATTACCCATGTCTACTCTTCCTGATACCCCTTCAAAGAATTCAGTGAGGTTGGTCAAGCGTGGCCTTCCTTTTTGAAATCTGTGCTGACTATTCTTTATTATGTTTTCCGTTTCCAGATGTTTTTCTATTACCTCCTTCAGTAAGGATTCCATTATCTGTCCTACCACTGATGTTAAGATGACAGTTCTATAGTTCCCTGGGCTTGTTCTATCTCACTTTTTAAATATAGGTGTAACATTAGCTAACCTCCAGTCCTCTGGCACTACTCCCTTTTCTAATGAGTTATTATAATGTATAATCATGCCTCTGCTATCTCTTCCCTCGATTCTCTTAATATACGCGGATGCAATCCATCTGGACCAGGGTTTTATCCTCTCTGAGTTTCATTAGTTTTTTGATTATATCTACCCTTTGTATCTTAAATGTACTTATATTACTTTTGATCTCTTCTACTGTCACGTCCACCTGATCCGTCTCCCTGGTGAATACTGAGGCAAAGTAATGATTTAATATTTCTGCATTTCGCTGTCACAACCGGTGAGCTTACCTTGTCCATCCCTTAGTGGCCCTATTCCTATTTTGATTTTTCTTTTGTTATTTATATGTCTGTAGAATATTTTATTATTTATTTTTAGATTTCTTGATAATTCCTCTTTGCCTTCCTAATTGTTTTTTTTTTTGACTATCTTCCTGAACTCTTTGTATTCTTTTTTGTCAGGCTCGCTAACCCCTCTTTCCTGAGTCTCAACTTTACCCTTATGTCTTTATTTATCCAGGGTATCTCACTAGTATTTAACTTCGTCTTGCTTTTTAGCGGAATATATTTCTCCTGGACTCTATTGATCACTGTTTTAAATGTTTCCCACTGCTGCTCCAGTTTATTTTCCCAAGTTCCATTCTCATCCCCTCAAAATCAGATTTTTCCCCCCCCAATCTATCACCCTTGGTCTTTGTCATACTCATGTCCTTCTCAATCTTTATCTTAAACCTTATTAAGTTATGATGGCTATTGCCTTAGATGTTCCCCTACTCGTACTTCTTCCCATGACTAAATCCAGCAGGGATTCCTCCCTTGCTGGGCATCTGGGAGTCCTGTAGCTCAGTGGTTAGAGCACTCGCTTTGCAAACGAGAGACCTGAGTTCAATTCCAGGCAGAGGGCGAAACCTTGGGCAAGTTTCCTTACTCCACACAGAGCCTAATAATAATCCCTCCAAAACCAAAAACAATAACAAATTGGTCATTTTCAGTCTACGACTGTTTGTGGGACATTGCTGTGCGCAATCGGCTGCTGCGTCCGCCCACAAATACACAGTCAATTCACTTTACAGTGTGTTCTGTGAAGCGCTTTGGGACGTCCTCCCGACGTGAAAAGCGCTATATCAAATGCAAGGATTATTATTATTATTATTATCTTACAATACTGGGGCAAGTAATGCAACTGTGCTCAACACATGTTCAAAACATAAATACTTCTCACAACGTAGCAAAGCCCAGAATATCACAGTGTAAATTACATCCGACAATTGCGAACCCTCTGAAGCAGCGACGGTCCATTCCCACCCAAATGAATTGACCTTTTCGGTCGCTGAGGGTTAGAGAGGACACCAAACCCAACAGATCCAACGGTGGCCGAGGCCTCACCAGCACTCACCGGGCGGCACGAAGAGAGTCCCTCTGATGTTGCCCTCTCTCACTGGGATCCTCTTCACTCCTTCCCTCATAAACCACCGCTCGTTGGTGCCCTTCGCCAAAGACTGGTCGAGCTGCTGCTCTCGGCTCCGGTGGCCATCGAACACCTCGATGTCTACGCACAGCGGAGAGTTGGCCACGTCCCTCTTCACCAGGCGGGTGAATGGCGTCCTGGGTATGAGTGACCAGAACAGCCCCATGGGCTCAATCCCGGAGTAGTGTCCACCCAGGGACGGGGACCGGGACAGGTCCAGCTCTCCCCGCTCGTCAGCCTCGTAGTAGGCGAACGATTCGAAGGTCTCCCCCTTCTCGTCCGTGAGCGAAGCCTTCATCGTGACCTGTTGGAGCGGAGAGAGACCGTCCGCCCGGATCTGGAGCGGGTCATCAAACAGACACTTGGCGCTGGGGAGGAGGTGGACGGTCACGGCCCTCCCGGCGCGCTGACCCCGCGGGGCCGCGCTCCTGCACCTGCCGCTGAGCAGCGACAGAGCCGCCGCCGCCGCCGCCGCCGCCCGTCCCCCGGGTCTGCGGCACAGGTACATCCCAACCGCGATCAGCCTTCGCTGCCCACAGCTTTCCCGCCTTTCTGCACAGCCTCGACCGCGACACCCGGACCACCCCCCGACCCCGCGACACCCCGACCCCGCGACACCCCGACCGACCCCGACACACCCCGACCGACCCCGCGACACCCCGACCCCGCGACACCCCGACCGACCCCCGGACCGCCCTGGAGTTTTCCTTCTTTTTAAGAGTATATATACCTGACGCCCAGTAACGCCCGGGGGGGGGGGGGCGCCCCTCCCCCCTCCCCTCCTCCCGCGATTGGCTCCTCATCTCGATGCCCGGGGCTGGGAATTCACAACCGCTACATGGACGCGGTGCCATGTGCGGGGGGAGCGGGACCGTGGAGGGCTTTGAAGGTGAGGATCAGGATCTCCTGTGATGGGAAGCCGGTGGGGTCGGGCGAGGATGGGGGCGATAGGGTCGCGGAGCCCGGTGCGGGAGAGGACACGGGCGGCAGAGTTCTGGATGATCCGCAGCCGGTGGAGGGAGGGGTTGGGGAGGCCGACAAGCAGTGAGTTTGCATAGTCGAGCCTCGATGTAATGAAGGCGTGCGGGAGGGTTTCGGCCGCCTGCGGTGTGAGTGAGTGGTGGAGCCGCGGAGGTGAGGGAAGGCAGAGCGGGTCATCGCACAGATGTGGGGTAGAAAGGATAGTTGAGGGTCAAACAAGACCCCAAGGTTCTGGACTGGCTTAGCAGGGCGGCGTGTGCAACTGTTAGCATAAGGTGTGCGAAATTAACATACTAACAATGGGCCAAAATGGGTGAAGAAAGTCATGGAACATGTAATCATGGAGTCAGTACAAAGAAAGAGTGCTGAAGGAAACATATGATTGGATATGTTAATAAAGGATTGTAACATATTCAACAACCATTGAATGGTGTAAGATACGGTATGTAAAATAACAGATTGTAAAAGCAAGACCAATGAGTGGATGTGCAAATAACAATTGTAAATGACTGACGAGAGATTGGTGGAAGGTATAGAGAGAGTGGAATGAGAGTATAAAGATAGGGAGAACAAAAAATGGGGAGAAGGAAAAGATCGGAGCAGCACGAGTGAAGACTTGATGGAAGATTGAAAGCTGAACATCTCGTCCCGCGGTAGCATTGCTTTGTTGTAACCCTACATGGTGTAACTTTATAGAACCAGTAAAGTTTGGCTTAACAGATTTTACCTAAACGGAATGCTGGGTGACCTTTCTTGATATCTAACACAACCATGGATGGCGATGTTGTCAGCACCTGAGTTGAGGAGGCGCTGACAGGAGCCAATCATGAGAGCCTCGGTTTTGTTGACATTCAACTAAAGAAAGTTAGCTCTCATCCAGGACTTGATGTCCGACAAACATTCAGTCAGGACAGCAGTGGTCCTGGAGTCGAGGGCGGAAGCAGAGAGGTAGAGTTGGGTGTCATCCACATACATGTGGAAGTTGACCCCATGTCTGAGGATGATGTTACCAAGAGGGAGCATACAGATATTGAAGAAGGACCAAGGACAGAGCCTGAGGAACGCTGCACAAGACGGTCTGGGGATTAGAGGAGAAACCGTTTTGTGGAGATGAAGTGGAAGCGGTGTGAGAGGTACGATCTGAACTAGTCAAGGACAGAGCCATGAAAATTGAGGTGAGAGGAGAGGCGGTGGATGAGGATACAGTGTTCAACGATGTCGAAAGCAGCAGAGAGGTCAAGGAGGACAAGCAGGCAGAGGGATCCCTGGTCGCAGATGGACAGAATGTCATTTGTCACTTCGCAAGTGGATTGTAGAAGATCAGGTACTCCATCTCAGTATTCCTCTCCAAAGGTGTTTTAACCCCTAGTCAGAAAAGCAATTTGAATTGTACGATTGTGTGACATTTGTGCATCCGACACCACCCCCCCACATGTTCAACGTGTGTTCAACTCTGCGAGACTGCTTAGTGTCAAATTGTGATTTTTTTTTGGCCTGTAGAAAAAGTAACGGTTGAATCTTATTGTAAGAAAGGAAACAAGTCAGCAAATCATCTTGGTTCTTTCTTCCACTTGTTTTTCTTGCAATCCAACTATCAGGAAATAGAAAAGGGATTTGGTTTCTGGTTGATAAAACGGTCAAAGAAGGTTACAAGATACATTATATTGTCTGCACATGTTCAACTTGCTCAATTTTTTCCAGTTAGGCTCCAGGTAACTTCACATCAATATTGTATTTATGTACCCATTTCTATCATGTAAAATAAAACACAAATTATTTTTCATTAAGATTTATTGAAAATGGCAGTGTAAGTACAATAAACATATTTCTTCCCCTTCCGTACCTCAATACTAAATGGATCACTGTTTGGAATGAGTTTGCATACAATGCGGGTGAACTGTAAGCTTTTGTAAAGTGATTTGTAAACAGTCAATCCTGGACGCGTTGTCTCCATATCTCTGGCAATCCACTTGAATGCTGAATTTGTGGAAAGTGGAACCAAAGTGTGGAACCTGAACTGAGTTCCAGAGAAATTTACTGTTTACAAATTATTTATCAAATCTCACAATTTAAGCCCCAACATTTTTAAAATGGAAGGTTTCAAGACTATAAAGAGTTTTGAAGATCCTCTGCATAACAAAATACTTATTTCCCCCCAATTGCATGGTAGTATTTTCTAATTTTCTTGAATTGCCAATTTGGTCCATCCTCATTTAAAGGGAGTCTGATGTAGTGCACCAAATACTTCCTATACTGTAGTAAGGAAGGGCATAGAAGATTGCATTAACAACTTCAAACAAGAACATTTTAAAATTATTTGTTTCTTCACAGGTAACATATTCTATTTCAATCAATTTTTTTTAATATGCTAGAAAAATGGTACCACAGGCTCGGCAATACTCCTATATACTTACCATTCCTGGCATAATACTGATAAATAAAGTATTTACATACAATTTAAAAAAATTATTCAACAACTTTGCCTCCGAATTTGTATTTTCTAGAAATAAAACAGTTTAGTAACCAATATACAACAAAATCAGGAAGTGAGGATTTATTCATGCCCAGTTTATGCAAATTGCATCACGCCTGAAAACATCAACTCAATTGGCTCCAGGAATAGGTCTTGAGAGCAATTTGGACTGTTTAAGCCCCCGTTCATACTTCACATTTGTTGGTGAATTACTGACAGCCAAATATCCAGTATAAACACAGCATAAGAAGTATTTTGGGAGATCATTGCATTATTAGTGCTTTGAAGCTAAGCTAAACCAACGAAAATGGATCAGTAAACTGAAATATTTTCTGAGAAGATATTTTCTATTGCTCGAAATGCAAAATACTGCAGATGCTGGAAATCTGAAACAAAAACAGAAGACGCTGGGAACACTCAGCAGGTCAGGCAGCATCTAGGGAGAAAAGAAAGTGAGTCAACGTTTCGGGTCCACGACTTTCGGGTTCTGACAAAGGATCGTGGACCCGAAACGTTGACTCACTTTCCTTTCTCCATAGATGCTGCCTGACCTGCTGAGTGTTCCCAGTGACTTCTAGTTTTGTTCGCTAATGCTGTTATCGGTATTATAATGCTAGTTTCAGAAAATCATGGGGCAGTTTATTTTACTTATGGTATGACATAAAGTAGCATACAAATTACAGTGCTTCACGTTGTGAAATAATTAATGCCCAATATAAGATTAAAATCAAATTACATATTCTGCTGAGTCAAGAGAAATCATGTTGAAATTGTTATTTAACCCATTGGTTTAACGTTGCTTAAAGCTACTCAGCAGATTAGGTACATTCAACTTCACTTCCACATAAGTGCAAACGAAAGAAGTTTTGAATTTTTTGCCAAGAGTCTTGCTGAGCATGGGCATGATCTTTTGCATTTCCTCCTCCAACTATTGGAAGCCCAAAGAGTCTATCAATCCTGGCATAACAATATGGAGAACAAGGAGGTTCAATGTGGTGTCCAGCTCCCGGGTAGCTGAGGAGCTCATAGTTACTTTTGCCATGTTCTTTTAGTCTTTTTATGGCTTGTTCAGCAAAATAACTGCTTTTCCAGATCTTGTCATCCTCTCCTACCACAAATAAAAATTGCCCTTCAGCCTTTTCTATTGGGATAATGGTATCTTTGTTCTTTTCAGCCATGGGGTTTTCAAGTGATTCATATATATTCAGAATTCCTGTTTTTAAAAGAACAATTTTATCCATATCATAGGTCAGGCCACGCTTTGTCCAGTCTTTATAATGCAATTCAGATTCAGTATTTGCATTACAGCTGGAGATACAGACGGTTGCCGCCACATTTGGTAGAAAGGTGGCCATTGACAAAGCCAGATCTCCTCCTTTTGATGATCCCAGCACTCCAATTCCAGGCCCCTTCACCTATAAAAATCAAAATCTATTATTATAGTAATGTAATCATACCAATTGAAAAATTTAATGTACACAGCAACTAAGGTCACTTAAATTTTGAAAATAGCCCATTCATTAAAATTTCCATTTATTCATTCGTATAAACAAGGTACTGTTAAATGGTGAATTTAATTTCACATCAACGTTTTTCTCCACATGACAAAGGTTTGAAATGTGAAGTATTCAGTGTTGATACTCTGACCTATTTTCACTCATACTCGTTAGGTATTTATAATGATTTATGAATATAACCTCGTAAAGCAACATTTAGGGTTTAAAAAACATTTAGGATGCTATTGAAATGCAATCTATTTTCACAAAATGAACTGAACCAATGTTTCAACACATTCATGCACTGGGCCACTGACTGGGAACCCCAACTTGAATATTTTGAGTCTGGCTCCTCCAGGTAGCAATTGTGCCAGAAACTCACCTTTGGATATTTCTGCAGATAATTTGCAGCACTTTCAAAGTATTCCAAATGAAATTCCTTCATGTTCATTGGTAAGTCTTCAAAACCAAAGTAAGGGAGAGCAAGAGCACAAAAGCCCCGGCTTGCCAGCAGACAGGATCGAAACTCAGTTAAACCACCAACATCTCCAAACATATCTATCACTCCTGGAAAGGGCCCATCCCCTTAAGGTACAAGCAAAAACAAATTCACAATAAACCATTAATGTGAAGAATGACAAGATTTTTCAAGTGGTAGTGAAAACATTTGGTCATCTACAGCAGGGGTCTCAAACTTTGTCTAGCTAAGAAAAAAACTATTACACCTCCCTATGCTTTACTAAGGCAACACAAATAACTCAAAATACTCTGCAAGAATATGAGTAATAAAGTAGAAGGGCTTTGATCAATAGTTATAATAAAAGTAGGAGTGTCAAAAGTACAGTAAATCCTGTGAAGCACCTTGAGATTTTCTCCAAAGGGTAAGGCATTATATCGAATACAATGCTTCATTCATTCATTTATATAATCTATTTATTGATTGTTTATTTAACTACTCCATATAGTAATTAACAGTTCAACTCATTCCTTAACCGTAAAGTGTAATAAAAATTGTTTGGATCATGAGCACATCCAGAGGTAATGTAATTAATTTATCGTTGATGGTTGTATGCTGTAGTCAAATTAATTTATACTTTTTGGCCTCACTCGAGGGGACACTGGCTTCGAGAAAAGGTTTTCTTTGATGGAAGAGTGAGAATAGTTTGTGGAGTAAACTTGAGTCACTGAGGTAAGTGATATCATGTACTTTTTGTGGGCAGTTTGATGTCTGAGACATGCCGCAACCCATTGCCATTCTTAAAGAGATCCAAACTAATCTTTGCAATCCACCAAAACATCAAAATTTTCCTTGGCCTGAAATGTAGTTTCCAATCAATGATTCGAAGGAAGGCACCCTGTTTGCCGAGTTCAAGAAACTATTAGATGCAGGTTGGAACCAACCAAGGCTTAGGGAGCCCAGAGTGATGTGTTCAGGTATTGCCGGAGTAATAATAATTCTTGACATTTGATATAGCGCCTTATCAAGTCGTCGCGACGTCTCAAATCGCTTCGAAGAATATACCGTAAAGTGAATCGACTGTACAATTTGCGGGCGGAGTATAACCGGCCAAAACTGCCGAGCTTGCAGCCGCGAGTATCGCCTGGCAAGCTTCCCATACCTTATCCAGTCAAGACCGCTTTACCAGTGAGGACCTTGGCTTGCAGGGTCAACAGCAGCCGGGAGTGGGAAGAATTCCCTACAAGTCCTGCCGAAGCAGCTCGGTCTGACATCAGGTGTGTCTTGGTGGTGGGTGGGTGGGTGGGTGGGGAGGGGTGGGGGTGGGGGAGTACTGTGGAGCCACCAGAGATTTTATGCCACCAACCCCTCGCCCTGGCCAGGTCACTCCCAGTTGCTACAACCTGCGCTTGAAAAGAGTCATAAATAGTATTTTTTAAAAAAAACACCACCACCACCACCACCAGCAGCAGCAGCAGCAGCGGGTTGTCCCGTGTGGTTTCCTGCCACAGGATCGGAGTTACCTGGAGGCATAAACAATGTACCCCGGAGTCTCCCCTCCCTCAGTCTGATCTTCCTCAGCCCGGGCTTCGCGAACCACCGCTCCACCTTGTCCTTGGCCAGGAGTAGGCCCGGCAGCACCCCGGAGCCGCTGTGCCCGTCGTGGACGAAGATCTCCACCCCCATGGGGCAGGTGGCGGGGTCCTTGGCTATCAGCCGCTGGTAGGGTCTCTCCATGGCGGCGGGGGAGAGCGACCACAGGAGCCCCATGGGTTCCACGCCCACGTAGTCGCCACCCAAAGACGGGGCCCTCCGCAGGTCCACCACCCCCCGGGAGTCGGCCTGGTACTGGGCGCAGGAGTCGAAGAAGTGGCCCCGGTCGTTGGACACCAGGACCCGCAGCGTGACCGGCTGCCGGGGGCACAGGCCCGTCACCTCGATGTGGATCTCCTCGTCCGTCAGGCCGGACTTCGGTGTGGCCGACAGCTTGACCGAGTCTTCTCGGCAGGGCCTCCCCGGGGCGGCCGTCGAGTGAGGCCGACAGCCGCCGCCGCCGCCGCCGCCGAGCAAAGAGAGCGGCCGCCGCGCTCCCGCCTTCAGCAGCGCCGACAGCATCACTGAGCGCTTCACCCCGAGCACCAGAGCAATCGATCCCCGAGTCAGTCAATCAGTCAGTCAGTCGCTGCTACAACCGAAAGCACAACCTTTACCCCTCTCTCTTCCCCCTCACACACAACTCCTGGGGATCTGAACTGAACCAGTCTCTTTGCACCCACTTTTTACCCCCCGCAGTGCTTTCAGTAATCCTTGCACCTGAGTTAATGGCACCTTTCTGTTTCTTTTCTTGCCTGAAACCGAAGGAGTTGAGAACGATAAGCGCAAAGGACGGTGACGAAGACGGAGAGCGCCAATGGCTTTTGTCGTATTTAGACCTTCCGGTTTCGTTTGGATCGGACGCCTGCGATCGCGGAATTAGCCACGAGTAAACTTGCATTTATAGTGCGCCCCTTCACACAGGATAGCCCGAATGGGTCGGGTGGTCCCAGCTGGACAAGCAGCGGGTTTCAGCTGGTTAGACTCCAGCAGTACCCCAACGCACACTCTAGGGTCCCCAGGCCTCGCCTCTTGTCAACTTGGGCCCAATACTTTCCGGAATTAGATAAGCAGGATGTGTCCCTCCAGGGAGAATGTGCATTCCATGCCAATGGTCTATCTCTGGGATTTCCACATGTAGATGGGATACTAGGAAATCTCAGCTTGGTTTGGATACGCTTAAGTGCTGTGATGGGTTTCTGTGTGTATCAACAACAACACGATTACATTTGTATAGCGCCTTTCACTTTGGGAGGACATGCCAAGACAGTCAGTGTTTCGGACTTGAGCTGGGGAATGGGATTGGGGAGTGTGGAGAACGGGGAGGTAAGGCGAGTGATGAAAAGCACGGTCAAAGAGGAGGTTCTTGAGATGGGTCTTGAAGGAGGCAAGAGTGGGCGAGGTGGAGGAACTGCAGGATGGAGATTCAAAGAGTGGGGGCAGAGTGGTGAAGCAGGCCTGCTGAGCAGAGGGCGTGGTCAGCATGGTAAGGGGGTTAGGTCGCAGAGGTAGGGGGGAGTGAGGCCATGGAAGGCTTTGAAGGTGAGGACCAGGATCTTGAACTGTACCCTCTGTGTGATGGGAAGCCAATGGAATCGGGCGAGGATGGGGATGATAGGGACACGGAACCTGTTGCGGGAGAGGACGCGGGCTGCAGAGTTTTGGATGATCTGCAACCTATGAAGGGAGGAATTGGGGAGGCCGAAAAGCAAGGAGTTTGCGTAGTCAAGCCTGGATGTAATGAAGGCGTGTATGAGGGTTTCGGCGGCCTGTGGTGATTCAGTGGCAGAGCCAGGCAATGTTGCGGAGGTGGGGGAAGGCAGAGTGGGTCATGGCACGGATGTGGGATAGAAAGGATAGCTGAGGGTCAAACAAGATGCCAAGGTTTCAGACTGGCTTAGTAAGGTGGAGTGTGTATCCATGGATGGTGATGCTGTCAGAGCCTGAGGTGTGGAGGCACTGACGGAAACCAATCAGGAGAGCCTCGGTCTTGCTGACGTTCAACTGAAGAAAATTAGCTTCATCCAGCACTTGACGTCTGACAGACATTCTGGCAGGACAGCAGTGGTCCTGGCGTCAAGGGTGGAGGCAGAGAGGTACAGTTGGGTGTCATCTACATACATGTGGTAGTTGACCCCCATGTCTGTGGATGATGTCACCAAGAGGGAGCACATAGATATTGAAGAGGAGGGGACCCAGGACAGAGCCCTAAGGAATGCCACACGAGACAGTGCGGGGCCTAGAGGAGAAACCTTTTGTGGAGATGAAGTGGAGGCAGTGTGATAGGTATGATCTGAACCATTCAATAATAATAATAATAATCCTTGCATTTGATATAGCACTTTTCACGTCTTCGAGACGTCTCAAAGTGCTTCACAGAATATACTGTAAAGTGAATTGACCGTATATTTGTGGGCGAAACGCAGCAGCCAATTAAGCACAGCAGTTCCCACAAACAGTCATGGATTGAAAATGACCAATTTATTATTGTTTTGTTGTTTTGGAGGGATTATTATCAGGCGTGTGGAGTAAGGAAACTTGTCCAAGGTTTCGCCCTGCCTGGAATAGAACCCAGGTGTCTCGCTTGCAAGGCGAGTGCTCTAACCATTGAGCTACAGGACTCCGCTAAGGACAGAACATGAAGATCAGACACCCAGCTTATCAATAAAAAGAGCTACAGGATTCTGTTGGAAAGCATAAAAGTGCATCAGGACAGGGTAAATTAATCAAATATCTCAAACTAAAAACATTATTCCCTGAACATTATTGCTTTTTAAAACATCCTGACTGTACCTGCTTTTGATTCAACGCACAGTAGGTTTATAATTTGCTCTTTGCAGTGATCTGATGGTTAAGAACTTTTTGTAGAAATTGTTGCATTTTGGACCACAAATCCTTCTGAGCAAAAGAATGCGGCTTGGCATGACCTCCCCACAAAATGTTTGCTTTTACAACAAAGTGATAGGAAGAAAAACAGAATGGGAAAAATGGAGATTCCAAACAATGGCCAACTCCTGGATAACTGAGAACCTCATAGTTATCTTCGCCATGTTCTCTCAGTCTCTTTACGGCCTCCTCAGCATATCGTTTGGTGTTCCAGTTCTTATCTGAAACACTGGTCCACGCCTTCATTACCTCAAGGGTAGACTACGGGAACTCTCTCCTCGTCGGCCTTCCCGGCACCTCCCTCCACAAGCTGCAGGTCATTCAGAACTCTGCAGCTCGTGTACTGTCCGGCACCAGGCTTCGGGACCACATCACTCCCACCCTCGCTCGCCTCCACTGCCTCCCCATCCCCCAGAGGATCGAATTCAAGATCCTCATCCTCACCTACAAGGCCATTCACAGCCTTGCACCCTCCTACCTCTCCGACCTACTATCCCCCCACGTACCTGCCCGTACCCTCCATTCCTCTGGCTCCGGTCTGCTCCACATCCCCCGCCCTAACTGCCCTATCATCGGTGGCCGGGCCTTCAGCATCTCAGCCCCTAGGCTCTGGAACTCCATCCCCCAGTGCCTTCGCCGCCTCCTCCCTTTCCTCCTTCAAGGCCGGGCTCAAGACCTTTCTCTTCAACCGTGCCTTCAGCTCCCCTCTTGACTCTCTACCCCCTCCTCGCTCCCTCCCTTCCCTCCTCACTCCCTCCCTTCCCTCCCCTTACCCTGACCATTTCCCCCCTGCTCGGGTCCCGACCCAACTGTCCAGCGCCTTGGGACGTCCTCCCGATGTGAAAGGCGCTCTCTAAATGCAATCTTGTTGTTGTTGTTGTTATCATCTTCTCCAACCACAAACAGGAACTTTCCCTCTGCTTTTTCTATTGGGATGATAATGTGCTTGTTGGCTTCATCCATGGGATCATTCAGTGCATCTGAAACATCCAATAATCCTGCATCTATAACCCTTGTTTGTTCTGCATTATAATTCAAGCCAGACAGTATCATTTTATCTTTGTAATAAATGTCATAGTATTTGCATTGCATCCACCGATAGTAACAACTGGTGCCACATGTGGTATAAAGGTAGCCATTGACAGAACTAGATCTCCACCTTTTGATATTACTATTGCTCCAACTCCAGGACCTTTAACCTGGAAGATTTTTTAAAAAGAAAACATTGATACACTTAATAAAATCAACGTGCACACCTAGAAACAAAATGTAAATTTTGTCCCATTTCTTCAGCTCCCGCCCAGATCCTATACAATCATTCCTTTTATCGTGTATTCTAACCCACTGATTTAATCTAATGAAAATTTATGTATAAATGTTCCCTACTATCAAAATCATCATGCAAAATTACAGTATTAATTTATCTTCACATCTCCACCGATCAAACCAGTCTTGCTCCTACCCACAACTTTCCCTCCATCTCTTCTTGAAGCCGGCACCCTAGTCCTAGAATGTTGCTAGTTGTTCTTATCTGAATCCTCTGCAATACATTTTAAGAGTTAACAATTATATGACTGATAGACATATACAGATAGTTTATTTTGAAGATGGATGTTGGGTTTGGCAAGGACGTAATTTTCAGGGTTAAGTATTTTGGACACAAAAGGTAAAGAGAATTCCACTTTGCACACATTACTATATCCAAAGAAATTGTCAACACAACACAAATGTGGGGGAAATATTCTGCAAGCTATTTAAGTACCATAGAACTATTACACAACTGGTCATTTCATTCATGTATTTTAAGCAGCTCTTCTTTAAGATGTACCATTTATTACAGGTACAGCAAAGTACTACAGCAATATATTTAAAGTACTGAATGAAACAAATAGTAATGACAGATACTTCAGTGATATTTAGTGGTTATGAAATGATTAAATAGCACCAATAAAATAAATGATTCATTATATCTAAAACTAAATGCATTGTATGTTTTTTATACATGATCTGCGTGTCAAGTGAATGCTTGATTTTACAACATCTATTTTACTTTTAAAAAAACTTGCCTTTGGATACTGCCTCAAGAAATTCACAGCTTCTTCAAAGTATTCTAGATTAAGTTTGGTGGTATCCTTTGGAAGATTATCAAAGCCAAAGGAGGCTAAAGCCATTGTAGTGAACCCGTGGCTTGCCAAGAGACTGGCTCTGCAGTCAACCAGCCCACCAATTGACCCATACAAATCAACAACCCCTGGAAATGGGCCTTCACCTATTAGATTTAAAGCACACCAGTTACTTTCACGATGAAATATATCATTGAAATTAGAAACTGTACCAAAACTCAAATTTCTACAAAATACTGTACTCCATATCAGTTGTGCCTTTATAAGATTATGAAGTTATACCACGATTTCCTGAGCCTTTTATAACCCAAGAAATAAAATCTGTAAGAACATAAAACCTGATAAACTAAATGTTCCCATTATCCCAATTATTTCATCCTAGGTATTTTTAAAAACTATAACATTATTTTCTAAATGATTAATTTTGATGTTGATTGAGGATCATATCGCTAAAGGAGTCCCAAGTTCGATTTCAGGATCCTGAAACAATATAAAACATTCAGAGCATTAAAATGAATACAGTATTACATTCATAATGATCACTGAATAAGTAAATTATTGATTCAATAACAACTTTTAAGAGAGAAGTAGATAATTATTTGGGGCGGATAGGTTTGCAGGGCTATGGGGAGAGTGCAGGGGAGTGGGATTGAATTGGATAGTTCTTTTCAAAGAGCTGGCACAGAATAATAGGACAAATGGCCTCCTTCTGTGCTGTATAATTCTATGATTATGATACAATATATTAAAACCCAAATTTCGATACAAATTGCCAATTCACTGTCAGCGAAGCTGGTTGATGGAACTTTTCAGGGTTTTCCTTGAGACACAGTTTTCAACTGCCTTAATACAGTATTTAGTCAAGTGTACCAAATTGTGAAATGTATGAGTTACAAAAGGATAGTTCTGAAAAAGATTCTCTTGCAATAAAGGTTTGAGCAGCACCCTTGTTTTACATGACATCCGTGCCATGACCCGCTCTGCCTTTCACCACCACCGTAACATCAACCGGCTCCGCCACTATCTCACATCGCAGGCTGCCGAGACCACCATACACGCATTCATAACATCCAGACTTGACTATGCAAACTCCATGCATGTTTGCCTCCCCAACTCCTCCCTCAATAGGCTGCAGGTCATCCAGAACTCTGCAGCCCGTGTCCTCTCCCGCACCAGGCTCCGTGATCCTATCACCCCAATCCTCCCCCGATTCCACTGGCTCCTCATCACACAGAGAATGCAGTTCAAGATCCTGGTCCTCATCTTCAAAGCTCTCCATGGCCTAGCTTCCACCTACCTCTGTGATCTCCTAAGCTCCTACCAACCTCGCTCAGCGAGCTCCGTTCCTGCTTCATGTCCCCCACCACCATTGGTGGGCGGGCCTTCAGCCACTCTGCCCCCACCATCTGGAACTCTATCCCACAGGCTCGGCGCCTTGACCCCTCCCTTGCCTCCTTCAAGACTCGTCTCAAAACCCTTCCCTTCGACCATGCCTTTGATCACCCTCCTTCCCTACTTGCTTTCCACTCTTCCCGATCCCGACCTCCAGCTTGGGTCCAAAACACTGATTGTCCAGTGCCTTGGGGATGTCCTCCTGACATGATGGCACTATACAAGTGTAATTTTGTTGTTGTTTGGTTCTTACAGGCAGATCTGCAGTACTCCAAGGTACTACTGGTGACAAACCAGCCAGTTTCACTCATCGGTGATATTGGTGTCTTGGCCAACAATGCTCCAGATAAATCAATCATTCGTTTTAATGGTTGTTTGCAGGATATTGCTGTTGTACAAATTGACTGCCATCAGGAATTTGTGAAATGCTTTGAAATGTTCGACAAATACAAGGACTATGGTTATGCACAACAATTGTTTATTTGCAGTTTAATTTTTGGTAATTCGAAATCAACAAAAATCACAAGACATCAAATCTCTGAATGATCTATCCTCCTTGACCCATTAAACCTTTGCATAAAACCTTTCAATGCTCAAATTAAAAATCTAGCATTAGAGGACCAATGAAAGAGTAATTTGGTTAATTGAATTTAAAAACAAATAATAGGGCCAGTTTTTTTTCCCCAGTACCTATATACTCTTGCATTCCTAATTACCAACAGTAAATTTGAATTAATTCAAACAAACCAGAACTATAGAAGACATTCACATAAAATATAATGAACATTCAACTATATTTAGGTTTTTCCTCCAGTTACATAGTATGGATCAAAAAATTAAAGTTAAAATTGTAGAAAGAGGAAATTGTAATGTGAATAGCCAATACAAATTTTTGTACATTAAATCAAAGAGGTATTAAACAATTGTCCTGTCTTCCAGCCAAATATTTGTTTGTACAAGTAAGAATTTTGTTACACAACAGGATGCTAGTGGATTTTATTAAGATTAAGGCACAGTAACACGATTCAACTTATATGAACTGATAGTGTAGAACAAATTATATTTGCATAGCACCTTTCACAGAGTCAGCTGAGCAGAGGGAGCTGACAGGTCAATAAGTACAAAACATAACTCAATTCAGTTTACTCATAGTTTACTCATCTGCTTGTTGAGATGTTTCAATAAAAATGCCATAGTCTTTGACCAAAGTCCTCCTGAGCCCGTGAATGTGGCTCCATTTTCCCTCCCCACAACACAACATGCCTTGCCAACCGATGATAAGAGGCATTGCAGAATGGAAAATATGGAGGTTCTATGAGGTGCCCAGCCCCCGGATAAGTGAGAATTTCATAGTTGTTTTTGCCACTTCCTTTGAGCTGATTTGCAGCTTGCTCAGCATAACATGCAGTTTGCCAATTCTTATCATCTTCGCCAACAACAAACAAAAAGTGCCCCTCCGCTTTTTCTATTGGGATGACACAGTCTTTATTGGCTTCATCCATGGGATCATCCATTGAATCCGAGATATCAATAATATTTGAACTGGTAAATCTTATCCGCTCAGCGGAAAAACCCAAGCCCGGAAGTGTCATGCTTTTATAATGCAAATTTCCTAAAGTGTTTGCATTACATCCACCAATAGAAATAGCAGCCACCACATGTGGTATAAAAGTGATCATTGATAGAACTAGATCAGCTCCTTTAGATGTTCCTATAGCTCCAACTCCAGGGCCTCTAACCTTAAAAATAAAGACATTTTTAAAAAAATTATTTAAACAGTTGGCAAAAATACACAACTTCCCAGCACCCCAACTGGTATCCCTTTAACTTTTTTGGATCAGCCAACTGTTTCATTTATGTGATTGCAGTGCATCTTACCTTTGGATACTGCCTCAAGAAATTCACAGCTTCCTCAAAATATTCCAGATTGAAGTCATTAATTTCCTTTGGAAGATCATCATAGCCAAAATAGCCTAAAGCCAGTGTAACAAATCCATGATTTGCAAATAGACAAGCCCTGTGTTCAATTAGCCCACCGACTGACCCATACATATCAACAACCCCTGGAAATGGACCATCACCTAGTAAATTAAAACACAACATATTGCAAATTATTTGTCAGTAGTTAAAGTTTGGAAACATCATTTCAATAGTCATATTCAGAAAGATTAGATGATTGAATCAAAATATATAGATATTGATTCAATATAAATATATATTGATATACACATTTGTACATATAATAATCCTTGCATTTGATATAGCTCATCATCGTGTTGTGGAAACATCTCAAAGCACTTCATAGGATATATTGTAACTGCATTTTGTGGGCGAATGAATGATTCAATATATACATTCGCCGGCGTTTTCTAAAATGAAGCACGTACACAATACCTGTGGAAACTTCACTTTAAAATAAGAAACTTGGGACATCTACTCCCTCTCCATTTGCAGAGTTTTTAAAAGAACCGGGTCCAAGAATTGCAGATGAACACAAAACAACCTATGTTGGAACTGCAAACGCTGCCATTCTGACAATTTTACCGGGTGGCACGAAGAGAGTCCCTCTGATGTTGCCCTCTCTCACTGGGATCCTCTTCACTCCTTCCCTCATAAACCACCGCTCGTTGGTGCCCTTCGCCAAAGACTGGTCGAGCTGCTGCTCTCGGCTCCGGTGGCCATCGAACACCTCGATGTCTACGCACAGCGGAGAGTTGGCCACGTCCCTCTTCACCAGGCGGGTGAATGGCGTCCTGGGTATGAGTGACCAGAACAGCCCCATGGGCTCAATCCCGGAGTAGTGTCCACCCAGGGACGGGGACCGGGACAGGTCCAGCTCTCCCCGCTCGTCAGCCTCGTAGTAGGCGAACGATTCGAAGGTCTCCCCCTTCTCGTCCGTGAGCGAAGCCTTCATCGTGACCTGTTGGAGCGGAGAGAGACCGTCCGCCCGGATCTGGAGCGGGTCATCAAACAGACACTTGGCGCTGGGGAGGAGGTGGACGGTCACGGCCCTCCCGGCGCGCTGACCCCGCGGGGCCGCGCTCCTGCACCTGCCGCTGAGCAGCGACAGAGCCGCCGCCGCCGCCGCTCGTCCCCCGGGTCTGCGGCACAGGTACATCCCAACCGCCAACTTCAGATGTCCAGTTCCCCCAAAACCGCAGTAAATATGGCGTCGGAGTGACCGCTTGACCAGTGAACGCCGCCGGGCGTTATGGGAGATGGAGTTCGCCAGGTCTGGGAGAAACTTCACCTCCCAGCAGCTCCCGCTCCCCCTCCCCCGCCGCGTCACCGGAGGCCCCCCCCACCCCGAGGCGGTGCTGGTCACGTGTTGACCGCTCGCTCGGTGTTCTGGGCTCCTCTCGACGGCCTTGAAGCATCTCTTTATCCCTCAAGATTAAGAAAATGTGCCAATGAACTCCATTTGCACACTTATCCCTTTGGGAGGATTCCCGTGGGAGGCCTCAGTGGGAGGATGCCGGTGGGAGGCCTCAGTGGGAGGATGCCGGTGGGAGGCCTCAGTGGGAGGATGCCGGTGGGAGGCCTCAGTGTGAGGATGCCTGTGGGAGGGCTCCTGGCACACAGACAGACATTTTCTCTCTATAAGTGTAAGATAGGTGTATCGCTCCCGTATTAGTACAGATAATAATCCGGTGCCTTATCACCCCTTAAATAGCGCCCCGCTCGCAGGGTGGTGTCCCAGAATGCTTGACAGTGGCGGAGCACAACGGGAGGGGCAGGAAGGGAAGGGAAACTGGTCTCTTGCACAAAGCCTTGACGTTGGGTCATTGACGTTGAGAGCTTCCCAAAGTATTGGATGTTAAATGACTGAAGAATTTAATAGCGCCTTGGGACATCCTCTTGACATGAAAGGCTGTATACAAATGTAATTTGTTGTTGTTGAAGAAAGTAGACCCTCACCCCACACCCACACTTTCTCATAATGCCTTTTAAAGGGTTCAGGTAGCTAAGTTAACTTACCGTGTTTTAGGTCAATTATTTGAGACGTCTCAAAGATAATGACAAGGCGCTATATCAAGTGCAAGGATTATTATTATTATAGTTGTTGTGGCTCTACTTTAGAGAGCGGCTCAGCCAAGTTGCTAATGAAGGACCATGACCCGGAACCCGGTCCGCCTTTCCTCTCACTAACCCTGGTAAGGCCAGGGCGAATTTTTCACCTCCCCATGCAGTCCAACAGACAAGCAAACACTGGGATTTGAAAGTACAATAGAATACAGTATATACTGAAGCAACTGCAATGCATTGCAATCACGCAACAGATAACTTTAAAAACAAGTTAGTTCAAATATATGGTAAATTCTGAGAAATTAAATATGCATGAATTGACCCACAAAATACAGTAAGTCCACTTTACAGTTTATCATGGGAAGCGCTTTTGAGACAAAATACAAGGATTATTATATTATGATATATTAATGTGAAGTTTCTGAATTAAAACATTTTCCACACAATGACTAAGAATGATTTATGAGAGCCTTTAAATGGAAGTCCGAATGATGAATAGATATAATTTGTGCCAAGCTGCAGGGGATATAAACAAAACTGAACTGCATTGGTCTGCAAATTCACTATTACGATACTTTCCAACATTTCCCTAAAGCCTTTTCTGGTTTTTGCCTTTAGGTGGCAGTATCAAACTGTTTTAGAGGTCTAATTTTTTGGTCAGCCGGGTGTCTGACGTATGTGGCAACCCATCATCACCATGCATAAGAATATCCAAGCCAAGCTGAGATTTCCGTGCATCCCACCAACACATTTAAGAGTCTACAGCAGCAATAGGATTGTGCCATTTAACTCTACATCAAACCAAATAACTTAATTGATTTGTGACTGAACGGGTTGGTTTGGAATCATGTAGTATGTACATAGATTTTACCTGGCTGTTCAGACTCTGTCAAAGACTAGTGACATATTAAGCAATGAAATGTATCTTTAGACTTGTTTAGTGTAAGGGTGATGGCAGATATTATTTGAGTGCCAAATACAATCAGGACAAGATGAGGTGTGTGCTTAACAATTGCTGGTTAATTGTGTATTCACCATCTTACAAAGGATTGCTTTTCATCTCGTGATGAATTATTGCAAAGCCTCATCAGTCAATGTTTTGGACATTCTAGGAATTTAAATACCCATTGTGAATGGTGCAATTTTCCTATAATTTTTCATTACGTTACAATATAAGTCGTTTATTCGTGTGAATTATGCAGAGTAATTGTGTTTTGGAAATGCATTACTGGAACCATAAACATCTTGAAACATATGGAAATCAGACCATTATGTGCTCACTTTAAAGTTAATTAACTTCAAAAAGCAAAAAAAGCATGGTAGTGGAGTTGTAAAATTCAGCACATTCACAGGGGTCTCTTATTTACTCCCCCATGATCGCTAACACACATCTGGACTTTTGATGCACACTAGAAGAGAAATTCATGTTTTGTTTTTGTAATGCCATTAGACAAGCAACACTCACTTCAAATATGTTGTATATTATTGTTTCCTTCAATTATGTTGTGCATTATTTGGTTAAATGTTTTGACTTCAATTTTGACCTTCAAAGTTGCCTAAATAAGAAGGCGTCCTCAGGAGTGCAGTATAAGGTCAACCCTCCAATTGTACCAGTACTCTGTCAAATACTTTCATTCATGATTGTGCTCCATTTCTGGTCTGTCTGATAATATCATTATACAGTTTCTCCCTTCTGTTGCCGCCAAATTTCTAACCTCCAGCTATATTTCAATCTTCATCTTTCATTGTGTTTATTTCTCGCCTCTTGTTTATGTCTCGTCTCTTGCTTCATTGTTCATTTGAACCTAGCTTCCATTGTCTATCTCTGTTTTATATTGTATTCTGCATTCTCTCTCTTCATTTTTATCTTTTTCCTTTTTTTAATTCAACTAAATCCTATTGCCTGTCCTTTGTGTTTAGGTTTTGCATTGCTTATCTCTCTCTTAAATGTTTTGAAGAATGGGACATAGCAGAAGAATCCCCAGCCAGGTTTAACCCATTATTCAATATAAACCAATATATGTTCATATAACCACCCCACATTCACTGCATAAAAGTTGAGCTTAGACATCCAATAATGGGAGTGAAATTGCTGTCCAAAGTTTTGGCAGATCATGTGGAAGAGAAGAATCATCAACTTATTTGTAAAAGGTGATTCATATAATCAGGGCTGGATGGGTCATAAATAGCCATAAAAGTCACCAACAATCAAGTACCAGCGTTATAAATAGTGAAAGAGAGTGAAAAGTGATCTTGGTAAAAGATTCAAACACCAGACACCTTTTAATGAATTCTGAATCCAAACATGTGGGACAATTCTGAAATGAACTTCAGTGCAAAAATGCCAAATCTTACCTTTTTAACCTTACCTTAAGTTGTGTCTCCTCAAGGAGAAATCGAAATATTCATTGTACAACAAAGACAGTATGTAGACAGGTGGTGGGTGAACCTGCACACATCTGTTAAGGCATTTTGCCAGTGTGCTCGGAGCCAAAAGAAAGGTATCTGTGACCTGCTAACCCCATATCTACATGTCGGTCTACTCCCCCATTGGCGGTCGGGCCTTCAGTCTCTCTGCCACTACCCTTTGGAACTCCATCGGATATTCCCTTTGCCTCGCTCCCTCCCTTGCCTCCTTCAAGGCACACCTCAAGATCCTCCTCTTCACCCGTGCGTTCGGCCACCCTACTACCCTTCCAAACCTTCACCCTCCTTGATCCCAACCCTCTGCTCGGGTCCAAATCCCTGACTGTCCAGCACCTTGGGACGTCTTCCTGACGTAAAAGGTACTATACAAGTGTAATTTTCTTTGTATTTTGTATTGTATCTTCCATATTTTTACACAGTTGTTTTCTAACCAGAAATATTTAATATTTCCTTAAATGACAAATGTCCAGCAAGTTACATGTTAAAATGTTTCTGCTGTAATAGGCAAACAAACACATTGCTCTATGTTATTAGGAATACAAAAAGAGGCAACATTTTCTCACATTCTCCTCTGACCCAAGTATGTATCTATATTTTATATATACTTTCAGAATAATAAACCAAAAATAAAAATATTTAAGTATCAGCTTGTTTCCAAAATTCCAAATATAATGCTTCAGTTGCAGTGTTTAAATCATACTCATATAATTTACCATTTAAAATTAATGTGTGTTCATATCATCTTTAGAGCAGTATGTTGCTTCAGTATGTTTTTTTAAAAAATATATGTTCTGTTTGTTTTTAATGATAAAAATCCTATTTCTACCAACTAGAGGACAATTTTACACAGAGCTTCCAGGTCATTTCCTAGCATAACAAATATGTCCAGGGCCATTTTGTATTAGTATGTTCATAAATATTATTCATAGATACAAGCCAAAACACCGGAATGTGCTCTCATACTTAAATATTTATGAGTATATGACTCAGTCACTCTTCAAACCCACAGTCTAGTCAGCCTTCCGACCGTGCAAGCTCTTGTAATGAAATCATATAACCTTAGCAATTCACGTTAAGACCACTCTCATACAGTGTTCACACATTCTGCTGTTAGTGTATCACTCATATTCTTGATGTTCTCATGCAGCCAATCTATTTCAATCTCTTGCACTGGGTTATCCATTAAGAATGTTACATAAATTATTAACCACTTGAAGAAACCAGAGTTTTAATTCCTGGCAGCCTGGAAATCATAAATATCCATCTTGGCATTACAATGTGATATTGCACCATTTTATTCGCAGAAAGCCAATTGCCAACTGGCATGAAGCACAAGCCTTCAATATAAATTGTATCAGCAGAGTTTTTCTTTGGAAATAAATCTGTAACAGTGACAACAAAAGTAGGCAACCGTGAATGTTAAGGATTAGTAGGAGTTATTTATCAGATAGATGGATGTCTAGCTGAAGTCCGATAAAAACAACTCACGTTAAAAAAGTCAGGATTTTAAAAAGATTTTCATTGTAAACTTATCATTGATAATGTGAAATGCATACATAATGAGCTTCATGGGTGATCATATTAAAATAGAAATAACTAATGTCTGACTTTTTTCCATTGATACTGAACGTGACACTTAAACATCACAGAATTAGTGATTATAAAAAGTTTTAAAAAGAATCCACTACGGTGTCATAAATAGCAGATGGCACATATAATACTGCGTAAAAAAGCAGCATGGAAGTGAATAAAAAAAACTTTTGAATATGAAAGACTGTCTGTCTTTAATTTTGTCAACCTTTTAAACCCATGGTTTAGCACAACTACTTGAGATGATTATTTCCCAAGTAGAAATTTCCTTAACTATCCATTGAAAAATGTAGAAGAAATTGTCAATTAATATTCGAATTGCCGAAATGAAAGAGTGAGTACTAAATAGAATGCATGTGCTTTATTCTTTTCAAGCCTTGAAAAAAGTAACTTGTTTATGTTCACTTCAAACTGAAATATACTTATCGTTGGCTGGTCTCAGTTTCCATGGTCTATTTAATTTTGAGAATCAATAAAGTGTAATGGGAGGAAAATAGTATAGGATATTAATTTGACAACTGGTAGATGAATAAAACAAAGAGAAAATGTTAGTTTTTTCCATGGTGAATTGTACATTATTAATGATACCACTACCTATGGGAGACTTGAACTGACACAGCCTACTGCAATTCTGCGTACAGAAAATAATAAGAATCCTTGCATTTGATATAACACTTTAGCATGATGAGACATCAGTGTAAAGTGAACTGTGTATTTTGTGGTCGAAACCAATATGAGATTGGGAAGGCTTCCACTTAGGGAGAGGAATTCTTACAAAAATTTTCTTCGGGCAGATTTTGTACCACTCTATTTTGCCATCAGCAGTAATGTGGAAAAGGGATTTTCTGCTTTCCTTTGTATTTTGGTAAAAGTATTTATAACCAGGCAATCAATTTAACTTATTTAAGAATTTAACTTATTGCTGTGGGCAATTGGCTGTCGTGTTTCGCCCACAAAATATACAGTCAATTTACTTTACAGTATATGTTCTGTGAAGCGCTTTAAGACATCTCGAAGACGTTTAAGGCGCTATATCAAATGCAAGAATTATTATTATTAGTTATAATGTCAAATAGAACTAGCTGGAGCTTGGTTGTCCACCAGTTCAGCAAGACATGAACGAGCTTTGGATTCCAGTCTGGATCAGTATGTACACTCATGATTTCCTCAGAAGGCAAGTTGTTGTTGACATCAGTTGCTCATCCGGGGCACTTACTGACAATAGAAAATCTCTTACACTGCAAACTCAGAATCTGGGAAAGAAGCATGAGAAGGGGAAGGGAAGGAAAAGGATTGAGACAGAAAGATCAAATAAAAGAATGACATAACCATAAAACACAGGTACAAGAGAGAAAAAAATTGAGAAACAAATAATACCATGTCATTAAAGTAATTTTCTTTGTTCTGATAATTTAATGCTGGGTTTCCAACAATTGGTAAAAGGTATAGTATAAATAGCTAGATAATTTAGAAAACTGTGGTAGAGAGGAAAACTAGGTGGTGAATTCTGAGACCATGAGGTCAATGAAAATAAGTAAACATTCTTCCTGGGAATGCAATTTCATCATCCTACCCCTTTAGGCCAGTCACAGAAAAGATACGTAGCCTGAAGAAATACCTGTGCCCAACCATTGATTTTCTGAGCCAGAATCTTGGGTGTAGGCCTTCAGCTACAAATAGGAGTGAAGTTTGATGATTAAAAATCCAATAAATTATATTAAAACAATTTCCAAAAGGGCATTTGGACAATATTCAACATTTCTTTGTGTTGTTTTGAGGTAGTTGACATACTGCGAGACTGGTTGTGGACTTAGCACAAACTGAAGTTGGTGACATTTGTTTATTTTTCTCTTTGTTTCTTTGGGACACATTCTCCAATTATGACAGCCCTGTGCTCATCTTCAACACATTTCCCCAGAAAGTAACCTAAGGTTTGCAATGTCAGTGATGCCACTGATGCCAGTGAATCTAGCAGTTCTTGGAACATCTCCCACAATGGCAGGCACGCCAAACATGAGTGGAAATCCTTCCTTTGCACCTCAGAAGATTTTTATATTTCCGTGGAACACCTGTTATATTTTATCTTGGCTACACTACATCACATGCCAGGATACCCAAATTGACTCCTGTCCAGTACTATACACCTAAACCAGTTTTCCATATCTACAGATTTTCCTACAGTTCACAATGTAATAGAGCTAAATTAATCATAGAAAAGAATGTTCAAAAGAACAAGTATTAACAGAGATTTGCATTCATTAATGACAGCCAATTTCAAAGGGGCAGCACCAGAACCAAGTGTTTGAAAAATCCTCTTGGGAAGGTTGAAAAATCAGAGTCACTATCATCAAGATGCAAGGGCTGGAATAACGTGCATTACCACATTTTTTAAAAAAAAAGCAAATGGAAGAAAGTTTGCTAAATTTATTTCCCTGAAGACTTTGTAATTTTAAGCCCACCAACAGGTTTTGATTCGAAAATTATCCCCAAGTGTTCCGTGCAAATGACACCACAGGTTGATCAACAAATTGAGCAGCCTCACAAGACATCTTGGCATATAATTAGGTTTTCCCTTGTAACCTGATGAGAAATGCTAGGGCCATGCTTCTCAGTCTGAGGTTCAGCTGAGCACAAGATGAACAACAACAAATTGCATTTATAGATAGCCTTTCACGTTGGGAGGATGTCCAAAGAATAACCAATGGCTGTGTGAAAAGCTGGCTTTACAAAACATAGCTTCATTTTCAAAGCTTCATACACTAGCTCTTAAGCAGCAACTGCCTGGCTGCCTGGTTATACATTTTGTACTTGTTGTCTTGCCTTAATCAAAATATTTAAAGTGTCATTGTTTCTATACTTTTTTTGCATGTGTTTACACTTATTGTCATTCTGTGAGGAATAACACACAGGAAGACGATCCAAGCTTTTATAAGAATAACAGACTACACAAATAAGATCCCATCAAACATCATGCTGTTTTCTCAAATTCATCAACAGTGTATCACCCATTACAAGTATCGCACTTTAGATATGTTTTCCCTGAACTGAAAATGAATGAGAAACTTGTTGCTTAATAATGAATGCAACAATTTTTTTTAAACAACAAAACCTGTTTTATGTGTTTATCTGAGGTTTTAGTGTGTGCATCTCATTCAACCTTGAATTGGCATTGAGAATAATCTGCGCTCCATTTTGTTTTAAAATAAGTTGAAATTGAACAAAACTACATTGAAGTGTTTCACTTGCACTAGTTTCTTTAACAAGCAAAGGTCATCACAGATTCATAAGACTTCCACACTGTTTTTTATTTAGATAAGTAAAAGTCTTTTTACTAATTACAACGCAGCTGCTAGGCCAATGTGCATTTACAAGTGCTGCTACACACTGAAGTAAATAAATAAGCATTTTAGAAATCTATGTTTCAACAGTAAAGAATTAACAAAATAAATCCATTAAGAACTTACATAAAAAGTACAGCAAAGGGGTTTACAGGTTTTGTTTAAAAGATATTTATCTGCCAACAGCATTACCTCAGCGAAAGGGCCAGCAACCAATGCATAGCCAAAGAGCTCTGCCACACCTTCTCCTCATATTGGACTGTTGACCACAGTAAGTGAAATGGAGGTAAACAGAATCGTTAAGCCCTCTGCTATTCTTCTATACAGATTCTACTTAGATTAATAAATAAAGCTATTTGAAAAAATAAATTAAGAAACTCTCCTCCCTTTTGCTTAATTATCTGCAAACTAAGTATCTACAAAAATACTTGCGACTTCTTACAACTTAGATGCTCACAACCCGGAATTAATAATAGGGCTACTTTCAAAATCATTAAAATCATTAGTAACATTGACGACAAAGTGCCACAGCTTACTGACATAATCCCCAACCCCCCCCCCCCCCAGGTTTATAACCAGAGCAGCCACAACATTTCACCCTTGCTTGATGCTTCAAAATACAATGCGTATTTTGACAGTCATTTTATCCACAACTTTAGCTATTGAGAGTGTTTGGAGAGGCATGTGTGTTCTTCTCCATTCTGCTGTTACTTATTCTGAATTTTTGATTGCTTGTCCCCTCCCCACCTATACCATCACCATGTCTCTAAACTATTTTAGGAGACTCTCGGCTAGAGATTGCAACAGCAGGAGCAAGCTTATCCTGCCTCACCAAATCAATCAACACTTTTAACTTAAAAGCTGATGATGCACTCCTGTCGATGTTTTTCCCTCTATTTGGCATTTCTATTGAGCTCTGTTTTTTAGCCAACCAAAAAAGCAGCAATGCTTAGTTCATTATTTAAAAAAAATGGAATGACAAACTGCCCACAAACAAAAATTGTGGATACATTCAACGTAATGAAAACATATACAGAGTACTGATATAGGAATCGATACACCAGGTGAAACACTGTCATAGCAAGTTTTAACAGCAATATTAGTAATACTACAGTTAAATAAATCTGACTGCTGGAAGAGGAGTGTTCATTAGGGCCAGACCATTCTGGTATCAGCCATCTATCGTATTGAAATCTATTGGCATCTTCTGTGTCAAATCACAGTAACATCTTTAGAAGATGCAAAACTGCACCAGAAGAAAGACTACAGCAAATGCTATTATAATAATCCTTGCATTTGATTTATCCCCTTATCACGTCTTTGAGACGTCTCAAAGCGCTTCACAGAATATACTGTAAAGTGAATTGACTGAGTATTTTGTGGGTGAAATGCAGCAGCCATTTGTGCACAACAGTGCCCCACAAACAATTGTGGGTTGAATGACCAATTTATTATTATTTGTTTTTGCAGAGATTATTACCCCTGGAAACATGATCCGTCAATCGACTAACAACCGGGTTCCTATTTACTGTTAGGTAAACAGAGGCGTGTGGAGTAAGGAAACTTGCCCAACATTTTGCCCTGCCGGGAATCAAACCCAGGCCTCTTGCTTATGAGGCGAGTGCTCTAACCACTGAACTAAAGGATTACAAGGGCATTTCTAGAATGTGGAATAAAATCCCCATCATTCTTTTTCCTTTTCTCCTTACCTGAAGAGACCATCTCTTGCTCAGGTAACACCCAGTGCCACTTCTCAAGTGACTAATCATCATCTGTGATCCAAAGCAATTGAGTGCCATCAGGTTATTTGACCACAGAGAACATCACAAAGGAGCCCAATTCTATTTTTAATCCTATCTTCACCTGTGTGGATTTATCCAATGGTGGACTAGATTGCAATCAGAAATGGGAACTCCAGGTGAATTTTCACTTCCCAACCTTGAGTTGCTAAGGTTAACTGTAGTATTTTACAACAACCTTGGCAATACAAATGTACAGCTCAGAAATTGTACCCTTGACCTTGATGTAAATGTTAAAAAATTGGTGTTGTAGTTGATGTACACCCACTTAGCCACTGACAGCCAGTCCCCATTTTTCCAATGCATGTATTTTAGCAGAAGCCGACTAAGTAATTGAATTGACTATTCTCTAACCAATTCTCCATTTTTCAGTTGTTTATTTTAGTACTTTGGAGAAAAGCTATCACTTTTTTCAGTCTTTACAATTGTTCTTAACTGGTTCTCCTTACTCAGATAAAGAAAAGCACATTTAGCATCAGATGTTGAATATATATATAATATATATATTCTAACATTACCATCAATGTTTCTGAACCATAGATTTTAGACTAAATTAAATCTGCCAGGGCTTGTATGTACTAAATCTTTGACCTTAAGAGCAATTTAAAAAGAAGAATTTACTCGATAAATCACTCTCGGAATAAAGTGGTTACAGTAAATCACCTTAAGCTCTACTCCTCCCCTTTACTCTTCACATATTCAGATGCCTCGGCAGGCCTATGAAAGAGAGGGGCTTGAAGGGGTTTAGGGATAAAGCGGGTGGTGGGAATGAATTGATTTCCTTGCTCTGTGAGCTGGTGCGGACTCGATAAGCCTCCTTCTGCACTGTAGATTTCTATGTTTCTATTCACTTTTTCCTTCTTTATGAACCCTTTCATACAAAATCACTGGTAAAGTTCGGCATATGCACCCTGGCTTTGTTGCACTTTTTTTTGGCAACTTTCTCCGCTCTTAATTCTTTTGGGCATTTTAAAAGGACAAGAAAGTAAATAAAGACATATGGTTTTAACAAATAATAGTTATTTTGCAAGTACCTGAATCAAACACATTACAAGCTGGAATCATTAACTCGTAACATAATGGAAACCAGAAGAAGCAAGGCCATTGAATGGAGCACACTCTTTGAATTAATGCCAGGACTCCATCAGTTCATAAGCCAACAGTTTTCATGTTTCTATCCAAGTAGTTTGTTTTGCTGGCGGTTGCTTTGTTTTTCTGCACGCACACTGTATTTCTCATTGCTTTGGGAATCTGTTTCTGCCATTAAATCCATTCTGCAGCAGTTATTAACATTGTGCATTTTGTTTCCTCTTCCAGAGTCCAGGTAGACCACAGTCTGTCTGTCAACTGGATTTTTCAAAAACTGTGTCTGTGACAGAAAAAGATAAGAAAAAAAAGTCGCTTAAGGAAGTCTCTGTGTAAAATCTTTCACTGGGATTGTAGTTTTGGTGCCAATTCTACAGCTTTTCTTAAAAAAAATTGGCTCACAGTGTTTTGATATTGGAAAAACATTTTGAACGAATACACAAAACAGACATTATTCATTCCTACTATAAACAGTTGCAAGCTACAGCATTTAAGGGGATTTCCAAAGACCTCGTTACAACAAGTGGAACTTTGGTCCTGATTTAGAAGCAAATTCATTATGATTCATAAGTTATTGCATTTTGACTGTTCCCCGGGGAGCTATTTTACAGTTATGGTAAAGGGGTTTGAGAACAGTGATATTCAGCAGGAGAGATGATAGTATAACATACATCTTAACCCCCTTCAATGTTGTCAGCCTTAGTTGGTAGCACTCTCATCTCTGGACCAGGTCCAAATTCTAAGTGCAACACCAAATTTTATAATTTTAGATTAAGTTTTATGAAAACTAAAATGTCAAAGGCATTTTCAACAGTAAACAACAACAACAACAACAACAACAAGATTCCATTTATAGAGCGCCTTTCACGTCAGGAGGACGTCCCAAGGCGCTGCACAGTTGGGTCATGACCCGAGCAGGGGGGAAATGGTCAGGGTGAGGGGAGGGAAGGGAGGGAGAGAGGAGGGGGAAATGGTCAGGGTGAGGGGAGGGAAGGGAGGGAGCGAGGAGGAGGAAGAGAGTCGAGAGGGGAGCTGAAGGCACGGTCAAAGAGAAAGGTTTTGAGACCGGCCTTGAAGGAGGAAAGGGAGGAAGCAAGGCGAAGGCACTGGGGGATGGAGTTCCAGAGCCTCGGGGCTGAGAGGCTGAAGGCCCGACCACCGATAGTAGGGCGGTTTGGGCGGGGGACGTGGAGCAGACCGGAGCCAGAGGAACGGAGGGTACGGGCAGGTAGGTAGGGGGATAGTAGGTTGGAGAGGTAGGAGGGAGCAAGGCCGTGAATGGCCTTGTAGGTGAGGATGAGGATCTTGAAATCAATCCTCTGGGGGATGGGGAGCCAGTGGAGGCGAGCGAGGGTGGGAGTGATGTGGTCCCGAAGCCTGGTGCGGGACAGTACACGAGCTGCAGAGTTCTGAATGACCTGCAGCTTGTGGAGGGAGGTGGCGGGAAGGCCGGCGAGGAGAGAGTTCCCATAGTCCAGCCTTGAGGTGACAAAGGCGTGAACCAGGGTTTCAGCAGCGTGAGGGGTGAGGTAGTGCCGTAATCTGGCGATATTCCGGAGGTGATGGAAGGCGGTGCCAGTTGTGGTGCGGATGTGAGGGAGAAAGGACAGCTCAGGGTCGAACAAAACGCCGAGGTTCCTGACTGGCTTTGAGAGGTGGAGAGTGCAGCCTTGGATGCTGATGGTGTCAGCGCCTGAGGTGCGGAGGCGCTGACGTGAGCCAATCAGGAGGGCCTCGGTTTTTTGCACGTTGAGCTGAAGAAAGTTGTCTCTCGTCCAGGACTCGATGTCGGACAGGCAGGCTGTCAGGACATCGGTGGTCGTGGAGTTGAGAGTAGAGGAGGAAAGGTAGAGTTGGGTGTCATCCGCATACATGTGGAAGTTAACCCCATGTTTGCGGATGATGTCACCAAGGGGGAGCATATAGAGGGTGAAGAGGAGGGGACCGAGGACAGAGCCCTGAGGGACACCACATGAGACAGTACGGGGGGTGGAGGAGAAGCCATTCGTTGAGACGAAGTGAAGACGGTGAGAAAGGTACGACCTAAACCATTCAAGGACAGTGCCTTGAAAGTTGAGGTGGGAGGACAAGCGGTGGAGTAGGATAGTGTGGTCGACCGTATCGAATGCTGCCGATAGGTCGAGGAGGACGAGGAGACAGAGGGAGCCCTGGTCACAGATGGTCAGGATGTCATTGGTGACCTTGACCAGGGCAGTTTCTGTGCTATGAGCAGCACGGAAACCTGACTGAAGGGGTTCAAAAAGAGAATGGGTGGAGAGGAAAGAGCGCAGTTGGGAGGCGACAACTCTTTCCAAGACCTTGGAGAGAAAGGGGAGGTTGGAGATGGGCCGGTAGCTTGATAGCTGCGACGCATCAAGGGAGGGTTTTTTCAGGGTGGGCGTGATGATGGCAGTTTTTAATGGAATGGGGACAGAGCCAGAGGAGAGGGACAGGTTTATGATGTCAGTGATGTGTGGGGCAAGAAAATGGAGCTGGGAGATAAGGAGTGGAGTGGGGATGGGGTCAAGGGAGCAGGTGGTTGGTTTTAGGGATAGGATGAGTTCAGTGACAGAGGGTGGGGAAACGGGTACGAAGGTGTGTAGGGGAGGATGGGTAGGAGTCGGAGTGTGGGAGGGAAGGGGTGGGTGGTGGGTGGAAGTTGGAGGGGAAGTGACCGCGGAGCGGATTCCCTTGATCTTGGATTCAAGGAAATCCAGCATCTCCTCGCAGTGAAGGTTGGAGGAGATGACCTGCGCGGGGTGGCGGGGGGGACGGAGGAGTCGGGATGTGGTGGAAAACAGTAGCCTGGGGTTGTTCTTCGCCTCCAGGATTATCCTGGAGTAGAAGGACGACTTGGCCGAGGCTAGAGTGGAGCGGTAAATTTTGAGGAGGTCCAGCCAGATTTGTCGGTGGACCGTTAAGCCGGATTTGACAAAGGTGCGCTCAGCAGCCCGCACCTGGCATTTCAGTGAGCGGAGGTGGGTGGTGTACCAGGGGGAGGAGCGGGAGTAGGAGACAGTGCGGGAAGTGATGGGGGCAAGAGTATTGAGTGTGGAGGAGAGGATATTGTGGAGGAGGGAGAGAGGAGAAGAGGGGTCGGTGAGGGTTGAAGGCCAGAGGGAGAGGAGTTCAGAGGACTCCAAGGCATCGGTTAGGGATTGTGGGGGTAACTTCTTCCAAGGGCGGTAGAAGATGGTGGTGGGTCTGGTGGAGGTGGGAGGGGGTGGAGGTGGTGAAGGAGATGAAGTAGTGGTCGGAGATGGCCTTGTCGGTAATAGTGACATCCGAGACACTGAGGCCCCGGGTGATCACCAAATCGAGTGGGTGGCCGTGACTGTGAGTGGGGGAGTTTATGTGTAGGGAAAGGTTGAGTGAGGAGAGCAGGGAAGAGAAGTCTGTGGAGATGGAGCAGGAGGGGGTGAAGTGTAGGTTAAAGTCGCCCAGGATGATGAGGCGATCGGAGCAGAGGCAAAGAGATGTGAGGAGTGTTGAAATGTCAGAGATGAAGGTGGGAGAGGTTTTAGGGGGCCGGTAGAGGAGGAGGATTTTAAGGGAGAGGAATGAGGGGTGGGAGAGGGTGAGGTGCTCGAAGGAGGGGAAAGAGCCAGTGGAGTAGGGGGAGAGGGCAAGTGGTGTCCTTGAGATAAGGGCAACACCACCGCCACGGCGGTTGGGGCGGGGGATGTGGTGGGAGGTGTAGCCGGGTGGCGTGGCCTCCGTGAGGGGGAAGGTGTCGCCTGGGGTGAGCCACGTTTCTGTCAAGGCCATGATATCAACGTTCTCATCAAGGATGAGATCGTTGATGACCAGGGCCTTGTTGGAGAGGGAGCGGACATTTTGCAGTTTTGCAAACATGATGGGTATGCTGATAAGTCTTTCATTTTTTCTGTATCATTGCACCTCCTTTTGTGACACGTTCGTCTGGAATATGTCCACCGTGATGATGCAGCCTAAGATTATTACTGTTTACTCAGAAGGGAAAGTAGAATTGGGAAGGACAAGTTTGCAGGGCTATGGGGAGAGACCGGGGGAGTGGGATTGATTTGGATAGCTCTTTTCAAAGAGCTGTCCCAGATACGATGGGCTGAATGGCCTCCTTCTGTCCTGTATGATTCTATGAACAGGTGGTTTAACAACAACAACAACAAGATTCCATTTATTGAGCGCCTTTCACGTCGGGAGCTCGTCCCAAGGCGCTGTACAGTTGGGTCGGGACCCGAGCAGGGGGGAAATGGTCAGGGGGAGGGAAGGGAGGGAGCGAGGAGGGGGTAGAGAGTCGAGAGGGTAAGTACATTCTATGGCAAGTGCAAGATATCTTGCAATTTTTTGCTAATTCTAATGTTTTGTGCTGGGTTCAGCTTACCTTAGTTGGAGCACTGTAGCAAGGCATCTGCACCCACTGCTTCTTTCTGTTCAATATAAAAGCAGCCACTAAGAAAATAATGATTGCAAGCAGTATGGCTGCCAGGACCCAGGCTGCTGACTGGTAGATTACAGACACTTCAGTCTCCTGGAACGGTCTGTCAGAGACTGTTTCTTCTGTAATCAGACACAAAGACAGACAGTAAGAAAGCACAATAAACTTCAGAATTTAATCAACTGCCTCAACAAAAGAATATTTACGGCTATGTAGGGGTAAAGCTAAGAATTATTTTCACTTTCTGGTACTGTCCAAGTTTGCGAAACAAGGAAATATTTGTTCCACTCAAAATAGAGATTAGGATAATAATCACAAAGGGATAATATCCCAGGTTATCATCTTGCTCCGTTTAAAAAGTTGCATTCTCTGAATCTATTGATGGATTAAATACTAATATGTTGGAAGCCTGAGAACTTAACAGTGACCGAGTGAGCCCAGTGGGGTTCACTCTCACTACGTTTAGTTGGTGAAAATTGCACTGTATCCTAAAACATCTTCTCCCAGGGCTGTTAGGAGCAATTGCGCATCAATTCAACCCCATTTAAACTGCACATTTGGTGGCATTTGCAATTATACAACCATTATCAACAAAAGAAAAAACAAACTAGATTTGGTTCTTAACAATCTCAACCAGATTTTCTTGAAGAGACTGCGAAAATGATCGATTAAAAGTAAATTTAACAATTGTGAACAAATAAGAGACAGAGATTGGATGTGCTTGCTTGTTCTATTCAGCAAAGTTTTGAGAAACTGCTTTTCTGAAGACAACAGAATAGACCAATAAGAACTGAGAAGAGTTTGTGCTTTGCTGCAAATAAAACACGATGAAAATAAAACTCCATTCACCTGTGAATAATGACAGGTCAGGCTGATTTGACGGTGTAACCGGCTGTTTATCCATCGATTCTGTTGACTTCTCCAGTGGGACATCGACAGATGCTGTTGTGGGTGAAGAAGCTGGCGGCACATCTAGATACAACATACCGAAATATAGGCAAATAACAAAAAACACTGCATCAATTCAATAATCGGGTTATAGTACCTGAGGGAACTTATTATTGATAAACCTTACATTTTAGAGAAACAATTGAAATCAAATGTACTTTTATAGAATTCAAAATCCTCGTCCTCACCTTCAAGGCTCTCCATGGCCGTGCCGCCTCCTTCATCTCTGATCTGCTGACCCCCTATCAACCTGTCCACTCCATGTCAATTGAATTACATTTGTCTGTTTATGCAACTAACAATTCATCTCAATCTTGCAAGAATCCGCTCCGGGCTGCTCCATGACTCCCGCCCGACCCACCCTACCATCAGCGGTCGAGCTTTCAACCTCTGTGCCCCCACCCTTTGGAACTCCATCCCACATTCCCTTTACCTTGCTCCCTCCCTTGTCTCCTTCAAGGCACGACACAAGACTCTCCTTTTCGACCGTGCCTTGAGCTGCCCTCCTAACTCTGCCCTCCCTCACCCCGATCCTGCCCCCCATACTCGGATCCTTATCCCCGACAGTTCAGGGCCTTGGGACGTGAAAGCAGCTTTACAAATGTAATTTTGTTGTTGTTGTTTCAAATTTACAGGAAGGCCATTTTCAGTGGTTTCAGCGCAGCCTGATTTTTAAGGGGTTTTACTTGGCCTCCAGCCAGTATGTCTAATTTCCACCGAGGGCAGAAACAGTTGTAATGACTTGTCACCCATGCATTAGCAGATTATGTTAATTGGGGTGGGCTCTGTATATTTCTTCTAACTTCCAATTTTCTCCTTTCAAGTTTTGGCAGCGAAGAAGGCAAAATAAAGCTGCACTGGGTCATAACAAAAATATTTTAAAACGATGGTTCTTCCCAGAATGGAGACATAGGCATGTGCCTTGGGGTGTCACAACTTTTCTTTATGAAAACATAGCAATGGGAGATGAGGTGGGGGTTGGGGGAAAGGGACAAGAATATCTTCCTCACAAGATTAGAAAACTGGGACTGACCCTAATCTTGAGGTGTACTGCTTTTAAACATCTTCAGAACTGAAAATGTGGAAAAATGGTAAAAAAAAATTAAAGCTGATCGCCCTATCAACCTGTCTGCTCCATGTCAATTGAATTACATTTGTCTGTATGCAACTAACAATTCATCTCAATCTTGCAAGAATCCGCTCTGGCCTGCTCCACGTCTCCCGCCCGACCCACCCTACCATCGGCGGGTCGGGTGGGAGACACGGAACAGGCCGGAGCCTGCTTTCTTTTCAGAAGTCATCTTTGCCTCTATTTGATGGGTGTGTCAGAGTTTAGAGGATTTCTTTGAAGTCAGCCGGCTTCTAAAGGATGTGCAGTCATTAGGCAACTGACATCATTTCAAAAACTGTCCTGGAGACTATATCATTGTTCTGTAAAAAAAAACAGCCCCTGTGCTCATCGGCCAGCAGAGATGATTAAAGTTATTTAAAGAATCCTCGTTTGAGCAAAATTTCAAAGCAATGACTATTTTGCGGTTTTGATGTCACATCCTATTTGAAGATTTTTATTCTCACCTCATGAGCAAGCAACTGTACATGTGTTGCTAAATGAGCAGCGTGCCAATAGATTAGTGGCTCACTTCTTGCAAGATTGAGATGAATTGTTAGTTGCATAAACAGACAAATGTAATTCAAATGTCACAAATTAGCGACAAGCAAGTTAACGACATACATTTCTCTACTCTGGTAAGTGTAGAATCGACCTCCAGTCTCTGATCATGTGAGCTAAGCATTGTGAAAGGGTTAAACAATCTGACTGTATACTCACCCAAGCAATAAGGGCAACATTGGCCCTTTCGTAGAACTGGCAGTCTACACAAGGCAGGCAAACAGGTCTGAGAGAAACACTGAATGATGCTGTCGCCACACATGCAGCTTGTGCAGGCATTTGGCTTCCAAGATTCTCCAGCCAATAAAATGTCTCCATCACTGGACATGCAGTATCCGGGCTCGCTGGTATTTGTAGGCAACAGGGCTTTCAGCTGGTCTTCTGCGAAGTGAAAATGCGAGTATCAGCTGTCCGAACTCAAGCACCAACCAACAACATGCCTGCCCTGTGTGCTGACACATTTATATGCATTGGGTAGAGGTAGAGACGCGAGATAAGAAAAAGTTGCAGAATTGGCGATATTTTGTTTGTTTTCAAGTTTGGATAAAAGAATGGAATGGAAAGATGTTTCCTGATTGTTTGTGGGATGATTAACGGAATCTTAGGAGCAACGCTGATATACTATTTACAGTCTACAAAAGGTAAAGGGAAGTTAAAAGATGACATAAAACAGCAACATAAAACTATTTGAATCAGCAAAAAGAACATGGCTTTTAAATAGCTACATTCATCATCAAAACAATGAAAATAAATATGAGGCAAGAATGGCAATAAATATTTAGTCGGAGTTGCACTAAACTGCACACTTGGGGGTGCTGGAGAGGGTTGAAGTTTGATTTGAGAACCGTAATTGATGTTGACTTTGGATGTTCTTTTATGTTGTGTACTCATTTCCCTTCATTTGAACTTTTCTGAATTCGCAGATGCCTCTTGAATTCTTGGGACATTAACGTTTTTTGTTCTAATGTGCAAATCTCAGCCACCTAGTGACAGGATTACATTGTGCGGTTACGTAATATAGATTGGAATTCACTGAAAATGCAGAGAACAGCTTTGCATATTAAAAAATAATTCAAAAAGAGTCATTAGGTGTAATCTGAACTGTGACTCAAATAGCATTGGTTACATAAATAAATGGAAACAGAATAGGCCAGTGAATTTACAGGTACAGCATGTTGTAAACTTACCAAAAAGTGCGGTGTTGACTTGTTATACAGAAGTAACTACTCTATTTGGGAGTGAATTACAATAATCAGAAATTGAATTGCATATAATTATTGTAAGCACACCATCAAATAGTTTTTTTTAATATAACTTTACAGTGTTCCATTATATTTTCCCCCCACTGGTATATGCATCTCTGCGTCTGCCTCTTCTTGCTTGACCAAGACAACTAGATAAACCAACACTGAAAGAAGGACACACATTGAATGCTCATCTTCAAAGCAAATGTAGCATTCTTATCATGTGCATTTATTGCAGAAGTGAATAGCATCGAAACTCTCCTCCAGAAAACTCAAGCAAAACTTATCTTTTGAGTCACTGGGAAAACAAGGATTTCTCTTACATTAGTGTACGTTTCCCCAATTATTGCTGACATTTAAAGAGATAAATAACTCACTTGGTTCAACAGTATTATTTACAGTCCTAGCCTAGTTCCTGATATGTATTAATCATCCAATAAGTTTAGTGAAATATTAGCAGAAAAATTTTCTCTCAGAAAAAAAATGTAAATGTTGTCAATGGTAATTAAAACTGTTCACTTTTAAAATACAGGAAAAATATGTAAGGATGAAACTGTACTGATGACTTAGCTACACATGAGACTTCATCTGATTACAAGCAATATGGTTCAGTTTGAAGACACAGCTGCGATACATTTCTGAAGAAGCACACCTGCTCCCATGAAAAGCACTGCTGTTCAGCCACAAACACTTTCAGAAATGTAAAACGCACACTGCACTGCAATCACGGGTGTTCTTTCATGTGATTTAAAACGGTTTGATATTGGGGAAAGAGATTAAAGGTGATGCGCTATAAATAGATTCTTCCCCCCACCACCACCAACCTTTTCACTCGACAAGATGTTGCTGGAATTACAACAAAAGGGGTCCTTAAAGCAAGACAAGGTTTGTGCAGGGAGGAAGGGGAGGCAGAAAAAGAGGGAAAGAAGGGAATATGATCCACGCTATTAAAATGATGATGAGCATCAGATGATGTAAATGTAAGCAGGAGACAAGAATGAGTTCTTCTTATAAAGGCCGAAATAAAACGACACCATGCATAAATTTATCTTGGAAATGTCACTATTGTGCGGCACTAATTACTTACAATCTCGATAGTAATATTCACAATAAACATTCTTACCAAAATACCTAGAATTTCTCCCTTCCTGTTAAGCGACATACCTGGACATGACGGGCAGCAGGCACCAGCTTCTCGGATTGGTGCTTGACAGAGAAGCGGCGGGCACACCTCAGTATCACATAGTACACGGCCGCTGTGACATGTACATTGTGTGCAGCTGTCGAGACTCCACGTCTCTCCCTCTATGTAGTATTCTCCTCCTGGAGCCTGACATACACTGAGATCAATGGCATCAGCTTGTCCGCTGCCCGTCTCATCTGTGGAAATGAAAGACAAGCTCGATTCACTGGATGCGATGTTTCCAGATCTTAGCTTTTTACTCAATAGTTACCGCGTTCTATTCTTATTTGACCGATAACCTTGGAATACAAAAGTAAGGAGAGTTCATTGTGAACATTCTGAATAGAGAACAGTTGGACAAGCACGTACACAAGGGTATTGGGATGGTTTCCTGGAGGAGCAAGCACCAAATCACCTCACTTTCATTTTCACAATCAGCTGTGCAATAAGGCAGATCTCCATCTGTAATTATTTGGTTCATTTCCTTTGTTGAGGCTGACATGTGTGAATGTGGCTTTTAAACTGTCTGTAATGGGTGAGGTGATAGCACAGAGTAGGACACCCAGCAGCAGAACAAACACAAGATTTAAAGCAAAGGGGCACAACATGGGGATGAACAACCCAAAAACAGCAACATAATTGATAATGATAGAAAGCTTGTGTAAATGGAGGTCATAGCATGTAAAAACTAAAATAATGAAACTGGAATCGGGATAAAGATGCAGCCTTAACAAAAGTAAAGAAAATCCACAGAGAGTAAAAGACACGACTTCCATCCAAGACTGTTGTAATCAGTATTAATCTCATGGCATTTGAGGCTTAAAGTCATGTATCAGATGTTAAATGCTGAAAAACGGTATCTATAAAGTGAGAATTAAAGGAGAAAGGAAGCTTCAGAGTGCGTATTTTACAGTGTTCTCCTACGTGCATTATCTTGAACATACCCCCTTTCCCCCACTTCTCCAGCTTTTATCTCCTATTCAGTGACCCAAATGTCAGCACTATCTACTGTCAAAGACTGGATGAAATAAAGCTGAAAGTAAACCTCCCTCTATCCCAACATTATGCCTCGCCACATTTTTAAAACACACTCCAATCAATATGACTTTTTTTTAAAAAAAACATCAGTTATCCTTATCATCTGCTTTGAATGAGACTGTCCAATTAATGCAAATTAGTGCACAATTACAGAGCTATGCAGACACACAGACACCAGAAACTGGGTTAAGATTTTGCCTAATTAATTTCGCTGAGAGGAGACATTCATCCCATCAATTTGAGCTGTGGAATTTCAACCTCGGGGTCTCCCGAAGTTCAAGTCCTATCTCCATTAGTTGCAATAATTTAAAATGTAACATTCACCAAATTAAAGTTGCTCTTAGTTATTGCACAAAACTTTCCCTTAATCCGTCCCCTTTGCTGGATTCAAATCGGCCTCTATGTTCATTTACAATATGCAATAAATCCCGCGAAATGCTTTGAGGCTTTCTCCCGACATGAAAAGTGCAAGGATACTTTTTCAAAATTATTATTAACTAACAGAATGACACTCTACTTTTAGGTGATAAAAGACACATCTGTGAAAATGTTTCTAGTGTTTGAATTTAATCAGGTTAATTTGTAACTCACCTTGACAGGTTGGGCAGCACTGGCCAGGTCTGACCAAGGGGTTGAGACAATTGGGAACGGGGCATGTAATCAGCATACACATTTCCCTTCCACTGTAGCAGTAACAGTCCCGACATCCATCATGCCAGCCTTCTCCTTCCTCATAGCGGCGACCACCAGCAGTTAGGCAGAAACTGCTTTGAGATGGAGGAGCTGTGGTGCTCAGATGTCTACCAGTATCTGCAAAAGCAACCCAGAATGTTGAACTTGTAGTTGTAGCATTTCACTGGTTCGCATTCTCAAGCATTAACCTGTATCATACCTCTTTTCTTATCATTCATTTCTGGTATAGCTTAATGACTGGGTTCTCTGTATGCGGTCACATGATGTTGTATCAGTTTATCAATATACTACTTGTGGAGCAAAGCCGTATATGTGTTTGCACTTGGATGGTGTAACATCTGCTATAATAATGACTTCCCAATCTAGACCTGGCCGACAAGGGAAGATGAATGAAGGAATGGCACTTTCCACCTTGGACCTCTCTAGCATAGTCTCTAGTCAGGCAACATGATTGGGACACAATCAGTAATACTTCTGTGAGTTAGGAGTCAGCAAGATGTTCTTCTGGTTCCTCTACCCCACTCAGATATAGTGCTCAGTGAAAAGTATTTGAATGCATTGAAAAACTGACAGATCAAAGAAGAGCACAATAAAACAAGCAACTACATTTTTTAAAAATGTTTAATAGGAAAAGTCTAATTATTTTGTCATAGAAATATGCAAAAAGAACCATGAGATAGTAAATAAACTTAATACAGCATTTTGAGATCAATTTATGGCTATTTCCAGCAGCATTCCTCAAGAAAGAAAACCACAAATACGTCATTCCGACTTGCAGGAATTCTGCTCCAATAAAATCTAATTTGAAGTCATTCTTCTGCATTATTAGCTGTAATCAAGACGTTATTAGCAGTAATCTTCTGATTACCCCATTTCTTAAGGAATCCTGTTCCGAACGATTAAATATTAAACCAAGGTTACCATTTGGAAAAAATGTTTGGAGTGGTTTCTGCCCAATATTTAATCCCATTTTTACTACAAACTCTTCATTGCAATTCACAGCTCTTGGCACATTTGCTGAAATGTTTAAAATGACTGCGAAATGTTGATTTTCCTGAATGTTAATTCCTTCAATCATATTTTCATAGAGGGGCCCCCCATTCATTAAAATTCAAGTGGACAAATTTAATGTGGCCAACAAAAAAAGACTCCATAAAATTAGTTTGGGAACAGGTCCACATGCTCTCCTCGCTTCCCAGTAAATGAGACAAAAAAATGATACAGGGACACAAAGACATGAACACAGACACAGAAAGCAATTCAGTTTGTAAAACATTTATTTGTGAGTAAGAATACTTCTGCACTCTTCCATATTTCTGTGTAATAAAGTAATTGTAAGCCAGTGTGCATTTAAGTATTCATTAATAGAATCTGGATATTCCTGCTATCCCATGATCTGTTAATGCTAAATTCTATTATATATTAACTATAAGATTTCAATTTAAAATGGTCTATTTCGGTATTTCATTTTTTGAAAATCTACTAATAGAGTCATAGTTCTATGTGCAAAGGGTTTCCAGATATATTTTTCAAAATAAAATGATATGCATTGTATTCAAAACATTATAGAATTATAGTTAGCTGTGATTGTAGCTTAATTTGATCCACCTATCTTATGCGATGTGTTAGCAAAGTACATTTAAATAATCACTATCCAAAAAACTGGCAGGAATTCATTACTTATAGATGAAATACAGTATCACAGAAGCATCTGCAATAGAAAACCACAGTAGTGGTCTGAATCAGAGAAAATAAGAGAAAGCAAGAGATTCAGAGAGTCGGAAGGACATACGTAAAAATAAAAAATGTAAGAAACTTACAAATCGAAAAAAGTCAACAAAATAATACAGAAGTAAAGAAAACAAATGAGGAATTTCCCCCAAAAAAACCAAGGTTGATGTGTAATTAATTTTTTTTAAGAATCATCCATTGAGGACACTGCCTGTAACAGCTCACATGGTGAGTTCCTGATCTGAGGTGAGAGAATAACTCTTATGCCTTTACCTCACCTCAAATCAATCGCATTCTGGGACAAAATTTAAAAGAACTTTCCGTTTGTTCATATGTCAGTGTGGATACACGCTGGTCCCAGAGATCAAAGCAACACGTTGATTTAAATTGATTTAAATTCTAACTTCTGAAATACCACATATGCCCCAAACCTACAATTGGTACCTTGAAGAAGTGTCATTTTTTTCTGGCAAGCAACAATTGGGGCAGGATTGCCAGGATTTACCATGTAGGAAATATTGCCAGGATTTACCATGTAGGAAATCAGCCTTGTTATGTCTTAGCACAAATCGGTGGTGTGACGAGTAATTGCCTGCAAATAAGGTATTGCTATCAAAATGCAACTAATGCCCATTTATACAACATTTTGGAGGAGGATTTCCTTGTAGCTGTGCATATAAAAATATTATTGTATAAAAATAGGATTTTTCTAAGCTTGCATGTATTTTGGATTAACATTGGAAAGAATTTTCTGCCACCGTCATCATTTATGCTCATGGAATGTATCAACGGGATACATCAATAATTATCTGAAAATGATATATAGTGTAAGCTTTTTTTCTTCACAAAAAGATCAATATATTCCTGATCTCAGAGCAAATAACAAGGTGAACATTCGATCTATTATCGACATCCCTGACCTCATCATCTGTTTCAAAATGCTGGTCAAATATAACTTGAAATGATTTAATGTTCTGGTACCTTTGCACTGGCACACTGAGCAGCCTTTCTTATTTTGTTCATATCCTTCTGGGCAATATTTATCACAGGTGAATGGTGGGCACTTCACACAGCGACACATCTCGCAACCGTGCTTGTTTCTCCTAAGAATAGTACAAAATAGCATTGAAAAACAAAACGCAAAATATTATGTCACAGGAGAAGATGTCAAGCGAATGCTTAAATACTGACAGAAATACTGGAGTGAAAATTGTTGGGTTGACTGAAACCGATGAAACTCATTTAACTCGTGCATTGTTAAAAAAATTAATTACCCAATTGTAATTAACACCTCGACTGGTCCACTGGGGTTCTCCCTATTCCCAACACCCAACTCAATGGTTGCATCCAGAAGCCATGGACTCGTCCTATGCCATGAACCTCCAAGAATGCAGCACATCCCCACTGTTGTACTGGAGTATCAGACTAAACTAGCTCAAAGTCATGGGGCTTGAATCCAACTATTTTTATATTTATTTGATTTCTGTGGTTTAAAACCATGTCTAGGTACCACAACTTAAGAGCAAAAACATTTTCGTATCACCCTATTTGCAGCCCGACTTATCCAAATATTCAAAACATAGGTTTATACGAGTACCAAATAACATTATACATAAATGTGCTTCATCCAGACATGCAAACTTTGCTAATGAAACTAAACAAAATAAAAATGAATTTATATGTATGTATATATAAATATATATATAACACTATATTCATTTGCTGCACTTACATGTAACCGTAGGGGCAGTGCTTACTGCATGAAAGATTTCGGCATTTGTGTGACTGAGGGCGGCACGCACAGATGCTGCAGTCGTCTTGATCAGTCAGGAATCCATGGGGACAGTCTAACAAGCAATAGGATGTCAAATCTGTACAGGGCTCCTCTGAAACAGAAAAAAAACATAGCATCAGTTACAACACTGAATTACAAAATGTGTCAAATGTGCAACGACGAAACAGTGTTAGTTTCATGGGAAACTAAACACCTTCAAAGCTGTTGCAGTATTGATCTCGTTCAAACGGGGATGCAGAAATTTGAAACTTGTTTTTGAGGAATTCTGCCAAAAGCACATGAAAAAAATCTCAATTAACTGTCCAATAATGTAAATGCTGCAAATGGTCATATTTCATACTTCATCTTAACATTGAGACGTTCTACCAGTTGAAAATTGCTACCACGGAAAAAATTAAGCTACAGTTACCTTTATTCCAAGAAAATGTTTATTATTTGTGACTTGGGAAAAGCAATTAAGCCACTGGAAAGCAATAATTCTAATTCAAAACGAAAAAAGAAACCACTATGCAAGGAAAACGTTATACAGTACAAGATTAGGATACGCAACATTTTTAAAAAATCAAATTTTTCCACCTTATGACAATTTGGGTTGCAAAATAACTTTTGTGAACACAATTTTTTTTGAAAACAAAACACTCCATAAGGGCCATTTCAGGAACAGAAATGTTGCCCTTTTTTCAGGAACAACGGATGGTAATATAATTTTTAAAAGTTGATATTTATATTTTGGCATTTTTCTCTCATTTGTTATTGATATTAATCCAGCGCCCTAGGACGTCTTTCCTACATGAAGGGCGCTACACAAGGGTAATATGTTGTTGCGCTTGTAATCCACTAAACATGTCAAAAACTGTTTAATGATAACTGCAATTGGTGGGCATACTTACTCGGCAGACACTGACACAACAGACATTCTTTCTCATCTTGTACAAAGCCATAGGGACAATCTTTCTCTGTCAATGTACAGTTTATCAGTCTCTTGCACAGTGCTGGACTAACTGTTCCATAGCTCGGCTCTGTTAGCAAACAAAAAGTAAATCAATTTTATCATACACATTTTGGGTTGGATTCATTCAGTTTACACAGTAATTAAAGTGAAACAATACTGTAAGCACCACGATTGGAGCAGAAGCACTTGATCACTTTAACATCTCCACTCTCAATCCTTTAAGGAGCATTCCTTCTCGACTGTCAAATATATATTCAAGTTAAATAAATAAAGTGCTGGATATTTCACACATTTCAGGCTCCTTGTGGGCCTTTCACACATTTCAATCTCTGAACAAAGATCGGCACTTAACTTCATTGAAACATAAAACACGAAAAGATATTTTGAGTTGCATCTGGTTATCAAAAAATTCAGGTGTCATTCTTTCCCTTCCTCCTCCCTGACACAGGTGAAAATAATCTAATAGATAAAGCAGTATCCTCAGTACAATGAATTTATATAGTAATGTAACTTATTCCCCATGGAGTATCCCTCCCCAATCCTAGCGCCTACCCAACACAGTAAATTCACTTTGGGGCATTCACTTGATGTGAATGGCACTATATAATGTAAATTGCATCAAACAGCCACCTGACCAAAGTAAAGGATTAATGCAAATTCGACCGAATCCACCTGTACTTTTGCACTTTAAAAAAATGGATTTGGTAATGTCGAAGGCAACTCTTTGTAGGTTTCGTCTCAAATGTAGCAGCTACTGGGATAAGAATGATGCCTATAATATTGCAGATGTGCTTGCATCATTACTTTTGCTCCTTTAGCAGTTTAAGATTACACAATTTGAAATTTATGCTCTGATGTTGAAAAACACCAAAAGCAGAGTGGGTGTAATAAAGTCTTTGATGTGCAAGCATCACATTTTGTAACATACGTCAAGTGGTACCGATTGCTGACTCACAGCCCATCTGCTTAGCATCAGTAAAGCCTTTGCTCTGAACTTGAAGCTGGAAGAATATCTTTAATTCATCTGTTTGTCATGTGATTTAACTCATTTCATACGTCTTTTGAAAACAAATTGAGAGAAAACGTGCAACTGGCATCCTGGATTACAGGAAATGATGCTGTTTAACAGCCCAGAAGGAAAAAGTAGGATTCACCACAGAGCCAGGTTTTCCGTCTGTGTCAGTCAAAGGCACAGAATTAATTGAATAAATAAGGTCACAAGTGGTTCTTCTGTTTCTACTACTAACTAAAGCAATGATGTTGATTTTTGGAACGCACATTATTAAATAGCCCTTCTATTAAATAGCTATTTAATAATCTTTCTTTAATTTACATTGTACCTTCACATCGGAGAAAAAATTATGCGTTTAATTCTGGTTCCTCGGGCAATAGGGCACTTGTACAGAAATTGTAGTGATGTGGCACGAGAAAACATCTGCTGTTTGAATAGTGGCTAGGGATGAGCTAAAGACTTGAATTTGAAGTGACCCTGAAAAAGGCACATTGTTACAATATTATTGTTGATTTCCTACCAACTTCTTTCAATGGGCTGTTTCTAAGCAACTTTATTTTTAAGGGTCTTTTCATGAGATAATTACATTCACAGAATGAACACAGGAGGAAATAAAACAATCTCATTCCTATACCTAACTTTTGTACGCTGTATGCAATTGCATTTTTAATGACACAAAACCAGGCTGATTAATGTTATGGATCAAGTGTCAATAACCACCCTCCCGAGAACTAGAACAATTCTGTTCTATTTATCTTTTTTTTATAAAAACTGACGTAGAATTAGAGCCTGTGAATTAACATTTACTGGCAATAAAATTGCTTTAAAGTGAATCAGTGTTGCAAGTATTCCACCCCCATAAGCTCATAGGACACAAAAAATCATGCTTTGAAGTCATGACTCCGGCACTATAGCTTTATGGTCCCTTCACATTGCCTGTCAAAATGTCCTAGCTTCCATACCTTATCCACAGCAATCATACAGAAGTTAAACATTGACATCCTCTCTGCATTTGCCTCAGTTCCATCTTACAACAGCAGCTTTGCTTTTGATCATCTGCTGCAACTCAAAAATCCGAGGGCCTGACATTCCAGGGTTTGTTAATTTTAGTAAAAATGTAGACCTGCCTAAACAGGATGGAATACCAGGAGATTGTGCCAATGGATGAATAGCCTGTGTTTAGCATTACTCTCCCAGCATTCCTACCCCTTCAGAAACCAAAGTTAAAACCTTTTGTGAAAAGGGAGGATAAAGATAATCTAGTTTGTTAAGGCCAAGTTAAAGAGCATTAGGAGGAGCTGTTGCTGTATTGTGCAGCTGAGAAGACGCATCAAAAAGTCAGTATTTAACTCTCAAACTGCTGTTCAGACTTGGAGTTAGTGATCCTAACAAAGGGGATCAAAGTGTTATTGAAGTGGATAGAGCAAGAGCTTTTTTTCCTGCCTGGGAACATGAGTATTGCAGTCATCGGCGAACGTATTATATTGCTAATAAGGTGTCGTGCTCCACCACTGTCAAGCGGTCGTGGATGCTACCCTGTGTGAGGGGCGCTATATAAGTGCAAGTTTTTGTTGTTGTTAAGATACGCACATGTTAATCAGTCACCCAATTGAAACAAATAACCTATTTCAAGCCCAATTTAGTTTCCTTAGTTAGTCCAAACTGGTGTTTGGGTGCGTAAAAAAAAGAATAATTTTTCCATCAGAGAACCAAAGGGGATCTGGTAATGACTGTAGCAGTTTAGAAAAGGGTTTCATATTTCCAGCCTCAGATCTTCAGCAGCATCTGCTGTAGGTCTGGGCGTTTCACTCAACTCACAGATTGCAGATCTGATGTGGAACATCTGCATCTTTTATTTATAGCAAGTTGAACCAGGTAATTCAGACTACGTATATAAGCTGTTAAACAGATTCAGCCACATTTGAAGGGATTGTAGGAAGGTAAAACATTTCATTCTGTCTTTAGAATTTGCTCATTTCACCTGGAGTTCCAAAACGTAAGCAACATCAAGGAGCTACCGTAAGCCTGGCTGCCATGTCTATTCTAATGTTAATGATTCCAAGCCAGTGAGTATCTACAGCGATAATTAACATAACCTCAATGTTGCCCAGCTACTACTAAAACTTGTTGCGAAAAGCACAGCTGTGATGGTGACTTGAAATTCTGAACTGTCTTCAATAATACAGGTCTAATCGCGCCAAGATCACAGGTTTCCATTGGTCTAGATTTCACAGGGAACTCATGCAGAAGGGTATCTGGGTTTAAATGAGCATCAACAGTTTGAGTTGCACTTTTGATTGACGTTAAAATTTGTTTGAAGTATTTAGCTAATTCTGAGCCAGCTACCTTGTAGGCACCAAATAGTTTAAAATGAAGATGGAGGGGGGGGGGAGAAGGGGAAAAGTGGGAGATATACACTTAATACTGAAGGACAAGAAAAAAAGTATTTGGGCGTAGGCACGACAAAGCCATGAAACAAAAAATAAAATGACCTACTAACAAGTTCTATCACGAGTTACATTCTTGGTCATTACATTAGAATTTCAGTTAGCCATTTGTACAATGATGTTGCATTTGCTAACAGTGGTAATTACTAAATAAATATATCTCTGTCTTTGTGTCACCAGTCTTGTGACTTGGATATTAAAAAAGGCTATCAGTTAACACCCTGCCATTTCCACTAAGCACCGTCTAAATACTACGGTAACAAATACACATCTTTTATTCAGCCAATATTAGTAATTATACAATATGTTCAAAGGTCCTTTTGAGCTCTGTGTTTGGGCAGGATACTATTTGAACATTATTATTCGACTATCTTTACTTGTCAATTAGTTGTTCCTATTTGTCCTTTCAGCAAAATGGCATTTTAAGGCAAACAATAGAATACATGTATGAAAAAATAATCATGGTAAAAAACTGGGAAGGGGAATGCATATTAGATTACAAAGAGAAATTCAGGAGCAAAATTCAATGATACAGCAAACTTCGCAAACTAAACCGATTCGCTACATTCTGCTAATTTGATCATTTCCATTGCTATTACAATCTCCGTAAACTGGACATTAAGGAAACCCACATAATTATTCAGATTCTTTCTATAGTAGAATTATTTCCCAAATTGTACATTTGTTTGGATGAGAAACAGAGTGAAGGAAAGCGAGAGTCGTGTTTGGTATGTGAAAGCTGAGACTGTGCTTTGACTCTATGCTCTTCACCTCGATCTCAGATCCTGGCAGTTTACTGCCTTATTTCCGTCTTCCTCACACTCTGGTATCACTGTCCCACACCTGTTTCACTCACTGGTATCATTGCCCTGCACCTGTCCCAACGCCTAAATGTTCTTCCTCTTCCCCTTCCCTGAATATAATGCAGCTTTAGCCCAGAATCCCATTCCTATACTTTCTTGCTGTGCCAAATTGGCTACCATGTTCACCGACATAAATATACTACACTTTACAGTAATTCCTGGGCTGAAGGGATCATCCTCCCTTAATGCAGTATGGAGAGATTTGGACGGAACTTGTAAACACAAACAAATCTCAACAGGAGATCTTTGTGGCAGGAGCACATCCTAAGGAGAAACTGATCAGTACAGATACTACACTTGATCTTAGCTAAAAGGCTTAGAAGCAATAAACCAGATATTTCACTCCAAATTGAAATATGAAACATTGTTGGGGCAATTATTCCTTCTCTGTTTATTCCTCATTATTTAGTTACTACTTCTTCACGAGGCTGGGTAAAGAGCCTGCTCCCAAGCTCAATCCAATCCTGTTGGAACAATGGCCACTTGGCTTTGCGGAGGGGCAATTTCATCTCAGATCATCCTTCCCAACTTGAGTGAATCACCAGCCCTCAACAGTTGATACCAGTTATGATTGGGGAAAATCAACATGTGGAAAAGTGCTCCAAATCCACAGCCTGCTTCAATTGAAGCTGGCTTCTGACAATACTGCTCCCTGTAACACTATACTGTGGGAGAGGGAAGAGACACAAACAAAAATATCTTCATCCAAATGTAGAATAACACGGTTTGAAGAGATGTGCTCCCTTTCCAAGCGCTTGTCGTATATTCATTTGGAAAGAACTCCAAACAAGCAAAAGATTTGGCATTCCATTGCATCTGATGATCTTGATTCAATTAGGATTCCATTTGCATGGATTTCAACATGCAAGTTAGGTTACCATAGGCATGTAACCAGTACATACCAAGAAGCTTAAGTAACTGTTCCACCATCGAAAAATTCTCAATAACACACAGTAACAAATGCAAAATAGCTGATTAACTAAACAGGTAAACACAACACACGGCAACATAACCGTGTGGTGGTCCAGGATTGTTTTACAAAATTTTTAAGATGCTTCAATTGTATTTTCTTCTGTGATATGCAAGCAGTAATGCAATACTGTTTATATTTATACAGCCCCTTTTACATCAGGATGACATTTCAAAACCCTTTATGTAGCTGGCTCTGTATCTGAGCTGGGTGACAGGGGAAGGGGCAGAAGGGATGGCCAAAAACACGGTGAGAGATGTAAGGTGGGTTTTAATAATGGGGACTAAGGGGACAAGTCAGAAGGTCTCTGGGATGAAGTTCCAGACATTGGGGGTAGAATGGCTAAAAGCCCACCCACCAACGTTGGGGTGAATCAAGTCGGTGAGATGAAGCAGGCTAATGTACATAAAAATGCATTACAATTTGAACCCCTTAACTAATATGAACTACCGGGATAACCACAGGGTATTCAAGATAATAAAATGTAGTGACTGCATATTTTGTAATCTCTTTTAGAGAATCATATTCATTGAACAAAATTAATTATAGTTTTGACCCAAAAGATAATAGACATCCTCTTGAGAAAATATTTCAGTAATATCTTCTGCAATTGAAGTGCTTGTTTTTATGTGTGGCAATATTCATGTTGGAATGGTGTTTCCCTTCTCAGGGTCTTACGGTTCTGTTTTTTATTTATCCCCACCAACAGTTAAAACCAAAGCAAAGATGTGGCATCCTTTCAGTACTTTTCTCATTGTGCGGTAAATCCCGTCACTCTGTCAATCATGTTGTTATGATCTTGCAGGGCCTGACCTCAGAGAAGAATAAACTGAACACAAAGTGCAGTCAGACTGATGGGGACAGCTTAGTAACTCAGTAACTTATTCAGCTGATAATTCCTGGCATTTGTTCAATAAAGCCTCTTCGGAAACATTATAGACCTACAGCAAAGGGCCAGCAGTAAGCAGAAACAGGAGCTAAAACGAATAAGCACATCCCCAACTCTGGCCAATACACCATGTTGATTTTTCTCCTGAACCAGTAAACTCCTGGAAAGACTCCAGAATCGTCATTTCAGCTACTGCCTAGATAAGACTCAGAACTGTCCTGTTCACATTATAATTATATCAAGGTTGCTCTGATCTACCCAGATAATGGATCTCATGCCTTGACATAGCATAGTGATCAGTGCGGTTGCCAACCAGACAGTGGTCACTATCCTTTTCGATAATGGCAAAGGTTAATAAAACAGGCACTCCAATGTTCTGCCGGAGAATTGTTTACATTACTGGAAGCCCAGGATTAAACTCACACTGAATCCAACATTTTTAGCGTGAATTGAATGCCAGTTTGATATGAGAATACTGCATTGCTCAATGGTATTTCCAAATTGGACCTACCACTGCAAATTGTAATGTAAATTTTTGGCGCCTGCCTGATGGTAATGCCTACCACATTACCAATATAACAGTGGGTCTTCCCGACATTAATCAGAAAAAAATTGCAGGTAAATCAGGACACCCAATTAGAAGGTGCAGCTGCTGTCTGTCTGACATTCATTAGAGCCTTAAATAGCTTGTGACTTTAATGAAAACTGACGCAGTTCCTAAATATATAACTTATTCCATCCTTTTCAAAGCCTCCCTAACAGGGACTATGTTGCAAACATGTTCCCACGACCTTCAAGATGTGTGAACAGGTGAGAGTAGCGAGGACTCCAAACATCCCTGTGTGGAGCTGCCAAAATGGTGCAGCTCAGAAACATTAAAACACATAAGAAATTGTGGGCACAAATCCATGTTCTATGAGCCACAGCATAACACACTGGTGCCACCACGACCCTCCAACTTCCTATTTTGTATTACCAGCATAAATTAAATACAAACCAGTTGTTAATTTGTGGAGTCCTGTAGCTCAGTGGTTAGAGCACTCGTTTTGCAAGTGAGAGACCTGAGTTCAATTCAGGCAGGGCAAAACCTTGGGCAAGTTTCCTTACTTCACACGTCTAATAATAATCCCTCCAAAACCAAAAGCAATAATAAATTGGTAATTTTCAATCTACGACTGTCTGTGGGACATTGCTGTGCGCAATTGGCTGCCACGTTTCGCCCGCAAATATACAGTCAATTCACTTTACAGTGTGTTCTGTGAAGCGCTTTGGGACATCCTCCCGACGTGAAAAGCGCTATATCAAATGCAAGGATTATTATTATTATTAATTCCATATATTGTACAGGATAATCTTCACCATTCAACATTCAAGTGTTGAAGTTCATTGGCAACTACCTTACATGAACAGGGCAGCTCATCAACATGTTGATACAACTAGAATTTAAGTTGACACAAGTTCTTTCACTTTCACAAGTTCCAATTCATTACCTTCACAGAAAGGGCAGCACTCGCCAGGTATTTTAACTGGATTTTGACACGTCTGCTTGCAAGCCATGGCCATGCAATGATGATCCCCATTGACACACTGGCAGAAAGTACAGTCATCTTCTCGCCACTGATCCCCATGAACTCGAATATGACCTCGAGCCAAACATCCCACTCCACCTAGAACTGGAAACACTTGGTCTGCATAGAACAAAGTGGTAAATATTTAATGACGTTAAAACAGCTTTAAAATGAATATAATAATCTTTGCATTTCAGATGACGCCTTATCACATCATCGAGATGTCTCAAAGCGGGTCAAAGAATATCCTGTAAAATGGAAGAGTGAGTGTATATTTTGTGGGCAAAATGCGGCAGCCAGTTGCGCAAGGCAGTGTCCCACAAATAGTCATGGAGTTAGTGACCGATTTAATTCAGGGAATTAGTTGACCAGGACACCGGGAGAAACTCCCATCTCTTTTCGAATAGAATATTTCCACAATTTAGGCCAATTTAAGTATATAATCTTTGGAAATGTAATTTTTTAAAAAAAAGAAACATTCAGATTGTCACCACAATCAGTAAATGGAAATTTATCATCGCTTTCAACAGCAGGTCTTCGATGGTTTGTAATAATAAAAAAAATCTTTTTTACTGACAGATCTTAAAAGATATGCACAAACTGGCTTCCGCATTCGACCACAAGGTACGCAGTCCTGTATATCCTGTGAAGCTCTTTGAGTTAATTTCTAAAACATTGTCACAATTTGCCACGTATTGGAGCCCATATCAGATCTGATCAATGGAGTGTAAGCACATGTATGATAAAGTTTCCTGTCTTTCTTTTACTAAAGATGTCAATTTATCACTGAGATCTGCAGAAACTTACCCTGACAAACTGGACAGCATTCTCCCTCAGGGATATAATAGTTTTCACATTCCAGCTCTCCACACTCAGCTTTTGAACATAATGAGATCCCACCTCGACAGCGGCAGAACCAGCAAGACTCCATGCGATACACCTCTCCATCCGCGTACTCAGTGCTGTTGTACACACATTTGCGTGATATTTCTGCATTAAAAAAAACAGAAGAACATTAACTTTGATTCAAAAATCATTTGAATCATTTTCCTCCACTTCCAAATTGTGTAACTGCACGATGTCGTGGGGGGGTTGGGGGGGAGAAAGAGAGAAAACAACAACATTTCTCTTGCACAGGCATAAAAGACCACTGAACACATTTTTGACAGTAACGCAAATTCATGAGCATCTTTCCGAAATGATATAAATTGGTTAGTGTTAAACTTGGAGCAGCCACTGAGAAAGTATCTGCAGCAGCCTAAATTAGGTAATTATTCCCTTCCTAAGATGTGATTTTGACGTTACATGTTATTTTCACAGTAAATTTAAGTTTATGAATACCTGACGTCATCCGTCAAACATTTCCTGATTATATGGACCCAGCATCCATACCCACATACTGCAGATACTCTAACCATAATATTATAATCATTGTATTTGATATAGTGCCTTTCAAGTTGGAAGGACATCTGAAAGTGCTTTTTGCATTAGTATGCATATTTTTTTCTTTTTCTCCCATTTGTTAAGTTGCACAAACATCAACTAACCATTTATCTTGTTTCGATTTTCCGTCAGTCGCACAATGTGGCAAGATTTTCTCACTAAATTTCATTGATGATGTGTTAAATTGTCTTTTACATTCCTTCAGTTTTAAGAAACTAGTTTTGCAGATGTAAAAATTCTGGCAGCAGCACTAAACACAGATGAATTAATGCTCCATCCAGAAATTTCACCAAAATTACCCTCATTAACATTGTCAGTGAAATGCGTAAACAGGTCCTTGGTTCAATGTGAACCCTGCAATTTGTCAATAGCGGTCTGTAATACAGTACAATGTTGAGTCCACAGTATTCCCTCTTCCCTTCATTTTACACAACTACTCTGTGCACTTCACAGCTCAGACTGTACTGTTCTCTGCTGCTGCCAGCAAAATGCAGCTGGTTGAGAACATTTGTATAGCCAACAAAGAAAAGCTACAAAGAATAACAGCCAATGTACACATGACACTGCAACAATAAAAAAATCAAGCATGTTGTTGCACATGCTGTACAATAATGTGACTGCAAATAAAACCAGTGGATTAATTTTATAGAGAAAACGGAAACACTGTAGATACTGTATTAATAAAATAATCTTTGCATTTTATATAATGCTTTTAATGTCAGGAGAAAACTGCTTCACAGGGTTTTTACTGTAAAGTGTAGTGACTTTATTATTTAGGTGAATGCGATGACCAATTTGCATGCAGCAGTATCCCACCAACAGCCATGAAGTGAATGATCAATTTTACCAGGTGGATTTCATAGCCTGGACACTGGAAGAAACTCCCTTCTCTTTTCGGGTAGCACCAAAGATAGGTGCTTCAGCCGAATTGTTCCTCACAGTTATGTGACTGAAACTCTTGAAAGTTATATGGTTCCTACAATTCTCCGAGATTGAGTTCAAATGGTCCAGTCAATGTGGAATAACCATTAAAGTTGCAGGAACCCTAAGTGAGCTTTATTAACTAAACACTAAAATATTTTGCATAAGTGCAAGCTCAATCTTTGTAAATGGAGGAAATCACTATCTGATGTATTCTGATGCATTTTTAAAATCAATGGATTACGTTCCCAAAATAAATCAACAGAGCTGAACAAAGATGAATCCTTTTTTTTTAAGATAATCAAAATCTTGCAGTAAGAACAAATTACAGCTAATAAACTCTGAGACTGCTGACTAGTGTAAATTTGATGAAATTCAATGAAATATTGATAAAGGAATTATGGCGTGCAAATTCAAGGCGGTTCTCAGGGGCTGAAAATTCACAATTCTTTTGAACTGCATAATTCTGTGTAAAATGGTTGATGAAGCAGTCATTCTGCTCTGTTCAGGTTCTCTCACTGCACTGGCTGCAATGAAAGCTTTTTGTGGATGAACGGCTAAGCTACTCAGAGTGAAAACCATCTTCTCCAAACCAACGGCGTTTGATGTCAGCTTGCTGTCAGTGCACTCACTGCACTGGGTTTAATCTGCAGTGTGCTCAAAAAGGCCAACACAAAAGACTTCAACACTGGCCAGAAAAGAACAGCAGACATTTATTATCAAAACACTGATCCCTTTCCTGTCAGCCACAATTAAGCTGGTACCAAGCGCTGAAGGGAATTATTTTTCACCCTTCAGATGGAACAAAAATTTAAAACCTATCCCAACACTGAACTGTTGAACTTTTCAGCTCAAACATGTGACCGGGGAGAAAAAAAGCCCTGTTTAACTTTGTGCTTTATTTCAAGATATTTTATAGTCTAAGCAATTTTACTGTGACTCTCGTCTGATGAAAGTTTAAAGAGACTGAAGCAGCATACATTTACATTCGCAGGCAATGCTATTATCTATCCTGAAAGGTTACTTGTTCACCCTTAGATTCTACATCAAATTGCTACTTTTTCCCAATTCCCTTTTTTGGTTCGAAACATAAATGATTGGTTTCACTCACTACCTGTAGCCAAAAATGAAAAAAATTAAGAAAGTCAAGAAATCATTATTACATATTCTTGGTCGAAGAAAGAATCGAAGATACAGTGTTGATCATAATATTCTTGCTGATCCACAGAGAGCTATGTTCTCCACAAATAATTTGCAAACCATCAATATCACATTTGTGAAGCTGGTTAATTGGAACTGTAGTAATGTCAAAATTGTATTCAGGTGCTGAGATAAAGGGCAATACAAATAATAAGACATCATGTAAGGTCTATCACCTGGGAATGTAAACTTCTGATTTAGCATTCCAGCCATATTTACTATAACAACTGGAGATGTTATGATGTGATTAGGCGCTGAATTAAATGCAAATAGTGTTATGAATTTAACATTGCTAATTTGCAACTTGTTATTTGACAGAGAACTGAACAGGAGAGCATTAACCTTTTTCCACTAAAAAGAAAGCTAATGTATGTATCCCCTTTTCTAATGTTCAGAGAACAACATGGTTAAAAATGTCATCAACTACTAAAATTGTGGCTTTTCAAGATCAGATTAACATTCCAGGGTTAAACAGGCACCACATTCAGCAGGAGATATTGGTTAATTTAAGCCTGCATTGCTGGATTCCTGGCATAAGCTCAAAAGCGATCTTGAGTCAAACTCTGCCAGAAGTCAGTCTGCATGCACACGTAAAGGTCACACCAGTATTAACCTGCTGTACCCATGGTTCATTTGAAAAATCAGCACAGGGCTTAAGTGAACGATACCAGGCAGGTGATGAATCAGCTAAGCACGTCCCAATATCTTGATCAGTCTATCACGAACAATAGGTCAAACATGACTTGTATCAAATAAGAGACATTTCAAATACCCTAGGTTCAATTGTTTGACACTTGGTCCCTCAACAGCTCTTCGATTGACAGCGATGTACCATGCTGGGATGACTTGTTTTCACCACTTTAGTTGCTTCCGCACATCCTTTTGCATCCAAGTTCCAGGTCTTGAACCAATATTTTTCAATAAGCCTTAATTGTGGTAGTTTGGTTTTAGTGGCTACATACAAGGGGTACTCTGGCTTCCTTTAAATCTGAGCAGCACCATGACATTTGCACAATTAAGTAAAAACTACACTATAGGTCTTGTATGTATCCTGAGCATCCATCATGGCGATGCCTGTTTTGTGGTAACCTGGCATATCCATTCAAATCCCAATACAATGTGGGCAGCAATTATTGCGCAGTACTCAAAGTGTATCATTTGTCACCCTGACAATTTGGGACTTCTGTCAGGAAGGAGGTATAAAGTTATAATATTTATGGTCAGGAATTAAAGTTCCATTTCTTAATGGTTTCCTTTTGGGAGGGGGCAAAAGACTTCATGAAAGGCGCGAAGTGCAAATTGGGAACAAGAACATTTGTTTGCATATTGTACTGTTGTATGGATGGCAATGGGAAGGGAAATGATAGAATGGTCAATTTTGAGCAACTATATTGCTACTTTGTGCACAGGATGAATTTGTTAAGCACAAGTGGAAGATTGGACTTTACATCTAATGTGATTCAATCAGAATTATCTCATGTTACAAACACTGTTTTCACAATCAAACATTGAATCGCATTCATCAACAGATTTTAAAGGCACAATTTTTTTCTTACTACTGTAGTATTTTGCCCACAAAATAGTCAATTCACTTTACAGTATATTCTGTGAAGCGCTTTGAGACGTCTCAAAGACGTGATAAGGCGCTATATCAAATGCAAGGATTATTATTATTATTATTACCTGATCTGCATTCGTACACATCACAACACTCTCCTGGTATTCCTGTTGCCTCAGAAACCAGAACTTGCAGAAAACCAAAGGAACAGATTTCTTCTGTGCAGGCTTCCTTGTCACACTGGCAGGTGGAAGGTGTTGGGCAGCAATTTCCTGGTTGTTTGTATCCTTTAACAAGCACAGAGTCCTCAGGGCAAAGAGACTCAAAGTGCACTGGGCAACGAACATTGGCACAATCCAATTCCCTCCCTGTATAACAGAAACGTAATAATGTGAGAAACTGCACTTTTATTCAGGTAGAAGGGAAACTGCGGCATTACACATTATGTCTTTTAAAATGAAAATTCGAAATTCACATGGTCTTAGTCTTAAGATCATTGTTTTAAACCTCTATGATTGCCTAGAACTTCAATATTTTCTGCAGTTTTTTTGTAAAGTTTGCACGGTTTGATTTCCTGTGGAACACTTGAGCCAGCAGAGAGAAGAAACTTCCATTTTGGGCTGAATTAGAGGCGAAGGGGCAGCATTCAAGCTTCACTTGAATTTGCACCTCGCAAATTATCAGCTGTCCACCATCTAAATTCATTGTTTTTTTTGAGATATGCTATTCAATCTGGTAACAAGCTATGCAAAAGGTTAGATCAAGGTCTTTATAGGCAGCTCCATGCTGTTACAGGAATGTCTATAACTAAGTAAGCCAGGAATAAATTAACGTTTGGATAAAAATATTTGCATACTCCCCAATGGCTCAGCATGTTTATCGACTAAATTGCTTGGGTGCAATTTGTACTTTAGGAATAATTAGTGGAATATTTCATTACAGAAACGAGTGAATTTAATTTTGGCCTAATCCAATTTCAACATTTTTATTCTATTTTGTTTCATTAACTAGGCAACAAGAAGAACATATTTCATTATCCACATATAACTAGAACAACTTGCATTTCTATAATGCCCTTGAAGTGGGGCAGCATGTCACCGTGCTTAAACTTAGGATATGCACCAAGTCTTACAGTAATGGTGTAAGAAGCCAAACATGTTTTTCTGGTTTATTTTCTGATTTGAGGAGACAGAAGTTCACATAAGGAGAAAATTAGGAAACTTGCATTCTTCAGAAGATCTACATTTCAAATCTGCTCGCATCTGAATTCGAAAATCATGCCTGAAAAGGCATTCTTACAAGCCTTGCATTGTCTTCTAAATGATGTTATCAAGCTGCATGCTTTTAGCATGTAAAATGAAGCGGTACATTGTTGCGTTCTTGTATGCCTCCCAGAATAAAGTAAAATTCTTAGCTTGTTTGGACAATAAAGAACAAGTCTCCCAGCTGCCAATGACATGATCAGACTAATAATAAAAAAAGTGGTACACCTGCAAAAACACAGGTATCCTATGTACAATACACTACATAATGGGGGTAAAGCTAGGTAACTTGCCCACTTTACCTATTCAGTACTTACAATACAATCATTTGATAGTTTTGATATGTTGCCGTGACATTGATATGACCATGTTAAGCTTTCACTTGTGTCAGAGACAACCATCAGTGGTTTGGTTGTGCTGTGGTGCATAATTAAGGCAGCAGAGTCAATGAATTACATTATATATGTGGTGTTCAGCACAATGCCACCAAGGAATTTGCTGGGTTTCATGAAATGGCAAATACAACTATATAAAAAAAGGGTCATTTTTGTTTCATTTAAAAAAGAAACAACTCTACAGTTTCGAGGAGGACATGCCTTTATAGGGACGTAAATCCATCTGGGAATAACACAATCTCTCAATCTCTCTGTTTCTATATTACATATGCACTTGTGGCATAATGCCACGTCAAACCACTAGTTTATCAACTTCAGCACAAACCCCTTTGGCACCAACTTGATGATATAATACTAGTAATGGTACTTTGTGCCTCCAAACCATCTGAATTAGCTGAATTGTATTCTATGCGCTTACCACAATTACTTAAAATTAACTTTATGTGGCAAGTAAACACTAAAATATAGCTCTTACTTGTTCTATTTCCCACAATGATTACGTTGTTTGAATCTGATGAATAAATACGATGAATTTTTTCATATTATAATGCAATAAAATTAGATTATCTCAATCCAATTATAAAAACCTCTTTATAACCATCATTTTCTTTTGGATCTCATTTTAAATGACTATAGGATGTTAATTTCTCCATGAGATAATGTGCTCTCTTTCTCTCTATCTCAAAATACAATTAAACAGTTGTTAGTTTTCAAACCTTTGTAGCACCTCAATGTCTCAACTCCAGCTGAACCAAGACTGAAATATATAATTGAGTTTGAATTTAAAGGTTTAAATGAGTAATGTTATGTTGTTAAATCTGAGAATTGAACTGAATTGAAGATGGTTTCTTTACTAAATATTCTTATAATAATAATAGCATTGGATACAATATAGAAACATCCCGAAGTGCTTTACAATAATTACTGTTAAATATAGGGAATATTCATTATAAGAAAATGCAGCAGCCAATTTGTGCACAGTAATGTCCTACAAATAGCCATGGAGTGAATGTCCAATTTATTTTGGGGGTTGCTGGCCAGGACAAGGGAAGAAATTCCCTTCTCTTCTCAAATAGTGCCATGGTTTCTTTTAACGTCCACCTGAACAGGCAAACAGAGCCTCAGTTTAATGCATCACCTGAAGGAAGGAAATCAAATGCGGACAAGGATTTTACACTGAGGCTGAATTCCACTCTCAATCCTTACACCTGGTTGTTTTCCAACAAGACACTAAACTTTTGGTTGATAAAAGATGAATCATTCCGGGAATTCTATTCAACCATAGAACTGACATAAGCTGCTACATAGTTACTTTACTTACCACAGGAAGCATTTTTAAATGGATAATTGAACCTTAAAAACATTCACATTGGCTACCTTGGCACATGCTCTAATTGTACTTTTACGTAATTCTGTAGTAGTTATTTGATGGCTGATGCCAAATTGCAATTTTGGGTTTACTGTCAACGTCAGTGGCTGTGATGCACAGAATTTCAATACTCAGTTGGGGGAGTAAACAACAGTGAATATTACCAGGTCTGTTGGCAACAGAAAGGAACAGAAAGGAGAAGAATTGTTCCCACCAGACTGAAATTATTACTTTTGGCAAGGAATAGCTGAAAAATCACGTAGGGTCTGACTTACTTAAAAAAAAGTTCAATTCCATAATTTTTTGAAACAGTGTACTCACAGTCTATTATGCTACTATCATTCTGCCAGCCTAAGCAAGAGCAATGGAAGGACATTACTGAAAATGATTAAAAACTTATGTGAAGTTTCCTCTGAATGATCATGTACAGTCCAGATGTTAACAATAAGTTTAAACTCTAACTCACCACTGAAAGCATCTTTTGTCTTATTGAGTACGTTAATACATGTTTTAAGACTCGTAACAGCAAAATGCAGTGCAAGCGACCTGAATTTTTCGACCAAAAATGCTCAACCCCAAATTTTGTGGCATTAAGCGAATTTACATATTTTTTTAAAAATGTGCAAGAGGTGGGGAACTCTTAACTGCAAATGCTATACAATTAAGGCGGAATGAAAAAGAGAAAACAAAACTTATAAAAACAAAGTTGAGATGAACAGCTGCAAAACAGGGTAAAGGAAAGAAATAGATTTACATTGGAGTTTGTGTCTGGTGGGTCTGATTCTAAAACCTAAAGCATTATTTTTGCATTCCATCCATCCATATATTTAAACTACTGTCTGAAATCTGTACTCTGTCCAGCGCCTTGGGACGTCCTCCCGACGTGAAAGGCCCTATACAAATTTAATCTGGTTGTTGTTTGTGATTAACTAAAGACAACAACAAGACTAGTGGAGGTGACCCTATTTAATTGTCATAGAATATCAAGTGCAAAACAAATTAAAGCGCACCACAGTTCTGCATTAAACAAAGCTAAAAAAAGGTATAATTGGTACAGCATATAGGTTTGCCTATATTATCCTATAGGTTTGGAACTTATCTGAAGAAATATTCCAAAATCAATCAAAATTAGCTTACCAGTGCTTGACTAAAAGCTCAATTAAAAAGACCCAAACATGGGGCCAGAATTGTTAAAGGAAACTCCCTGGCAATAGTAAGGAAAAAAACATCCAAATAGTATTAACATCATTTAAATGCAAACACTAAGCACATGTTGTAGGCTTAAAGTTACAATGTTCCATGCAGTGTTTCATCCAGTGTCCAGATTGAATTGTCTTGAGACTTTTAAGCTAATGCAGCACATTTATGTCAATTTTGCAGAAGGATTTCAAAAAGACAAAAAAAACAAATTCATGGGCCATGCAGTCAAACCACTTTTATTATGTTTGCTTTACTTGTTTTAAGGGACAGGTTAAGAAACAAAATGCTGATTATGCCTGTCTGCTACTGTACTTGTCTGTTATATGTGGTGGAGTGCAGTTAAAGCCAAATAAGTAAGTGAGAATGTAAGTTAATCTAAAAGTAAACCTTTAAAGTTGTATACTCTCAATCTATTAGGTCATTTCTTAACCTGCAAAACTGTTTTCGCCCTTTTTCCAAGTTTGTATTTCATTTTCCATGTCAGATGACATAGTTATGAATAACATAGTTATGTCCATCTAAGTTCCAATCAGCTATTTAAAAGTTTTAATCGAAATCTATTTGTGTGTGTGTGGAAGGGGGGGGGGGGGGGGGGGGTGTAGGAGAGATTGCTTCCGTAACATAACTCTGAAGATGACATTTCCCTTGTGTCATTGGCTTGTGTCATTTGACGTGACATTGTTTAACAAGCAAACATGCTTCAGAACACAAACTCCAGTTGCTTGCATATGCCTTACAATATGCCCATTGATAAATCCACTACTTATATGCTTAAATGTGTAAAGCATCCAAAATGAGCCTTGGGCAAAACCACATTTTTGCTGCACTGGTAATCAACAGAGCTAAATTGAATACAGTCGCATTGAATTCCCAGAGGCTCCCAGAGATCCAAACTACAACACCTCTGATGAAATGTTATCAGTTTAGAGATGCTGCCATTCTTAAAGCAATCCAAATTATTTACTGTTAATTAAACAAATATTTCAAATTGATCCATTACGGGTTTTGACAGGGTAAATAAGGAAGAAGCTATTTCCACTGGTAAGGGAATCAATAAATAGGGGCCATAATTACACAATAGTCACAAGAAGAGTGCAAGGAGAGCTTAGGAGATTTCTTTTCATTCAGAGAGTTGTTGGGAT